CATACGAGATCTCGAAGAAAAAAGTATTAATATTATGAATCGTTTATAAAATTAATTATTTCATTTTTTTGTAATATAGATGTACTTTTTGCTTGTCTTTCTGATGGTACATTTCGACAACAAGAATGTTTTTCTATTATTATGTCTAAACGAATGCTCAATGTAAATGGAATGACAGCAAAGGGAAAACCATTATTAGTCGCTGCCTGTGAAAATGCAGTGATTATGGAAAAAATCTGTTTGATGTTACTTGAACGAGAAGCTGATGTTAATGCTATTGACAAAGTAGAGTGAAATCAAATAATATTGTATTCATTTGATTTTCAGGAGACAGGCAAAACTGCTCTGCATGCTGCTTGTGCTTCTGGCTCAATCAAAGTTGTACGTGAACTTTTACAACGAAAAGCTAAAGTAAATGCTCGAGATTTACAACAGCAAACACCTGTCCATGCTGCATTAACATCCAATGTATTTGAAGTAAACTAATTGAGTTATTCATATAAAATAATTATATTCACATGTACAACATTTAGCTTTTGCCAATTCTCTCAGCCTACAATGCGCGTTTTGATCTTGCTGATCAAACATTAAATACACCAATTCATCTTGCTGCCAAATTAAATCAAGGTAAAGCAATTAAATTTATGGTTCAACGTGGTGCTATAACTAGAACTAAAAATATTGATAATCAACTACCAATTAAAATTGCCATATTAGAAAGAAATAAAGATGCTAAAAAGAACATTCGATTAGCTGAAAAGAAACACTATTATCGAAAGATAATATCATCGAAATCAAATCCATATCGTGATTATAAAATTCATTTCTATGATTGGTTACAAGAACGATCTGATCGACTTTTACGAAGATTTCATCAAGTAGAAAATAGTAGTACTCATCGTATAACACCAACTGATCTTAAACAGATTATTAATGAAGAAGGTTTTACTCAAATTACATTGGATGATCTGAATGATTTAATTATTCGACATGAAACTAATCCAAATGAAATTGATTATCAAACATTTCTATCTGGAAAATTATTTATTGCAAAACCATTTCTTATACAGACATTTATTTCAAAAACAAAGAAAAAGAAAAAGAAAAAAAAGAAGAAAACAAAAAAACAACTACCAATTCCAATTGCAATATATAATGAAGGACCTCGAATATCAAATGGCAATCCACCTTTAGTTTATGTAAAAAAACATCAATTTACAACCGATCGAAATCGATTTAGTCGTGATCAAATTCCAAAACACATTATAAATGATGATTCAGCACATTATATGGATAAAATTCATCCTCAATTTGTACATATTAGTAATGCTAGTAATTATAATTTATTTGTTATATTCATCTGATATTTTTAACTCTGTCTAATAGCTTATCGAGGTGATTTACATACACTTCTTGATGCATTTAAATCAGGTATTTCGAAAAAAATTTAACTTTCATCGTTTGTTGATATAATTTTAGGAGTACCTGTTGATATACGAGATAAATATTATAAAGCACCTTTAATGATTGCTTGTGCAAATGGTGATTTAGAAACAACAAAATTTCTACTACAATGCGGGTATAGAATAGAAGCTATAGATATCTAATTTTACATTATTATATATATTTAGTGCGAATATTCATCTTGAAGATCATTTTAAATGGACAGCACTTCATCATGCTGCACATTCAGGTCAATTGGGTGTTGTTCGAACACTTATTGATGCTGGTGCTAAAATCAATCATGAATCATTAACATTAGCTACACCACTTAGTCGTGCTATTGAAAGTTCAGCTCTTGATGTAGTCGATTATCTTATTCAAAAGGGTGCAAATGTTCGTCATGAAAATCTTACTCGTATGTATCTTAATGGCAATGAAGAAAAGTAATATATTCTATATAGAACGAAATTTACTTGATTTGGCTACTGATTTTGCTTCACCGCAAGTAGTAAATGTCATTCGAACGGCATATGAACGAAAGGGAAATAAAAAAAGTAATCAAAAATTGAAATCTCGTCGAAGAACACCTACTACCGTTAAAAAGAAAAAGAATCATGAAACAGTACGTAGATTAACTTAGTAAAGAATAAAAAACTATATTTCTTCATTCATCTATAGCCATCCGTTTCTATAAAACCAGTCAAACTCGAACCATTATTACCAAGACGTGGTTCATTACTTCTTGCTGAAAAACATCTTAGATCATCGAATGATATATTCGGCGAATCTATTGCATATCATCCATTAACTATATGGACTGATCAACCAACGACCGATGAATTACTTGATAAAAAAGTCAATTTGAGAAATCAATTTACAATGAATATTGATTTTCTCAATTACAAACGACCATTATTAACTAACGCTCTAGCAAAAGTAGAACGATAGAAAAAAAAATACATTGTGTGATGACATCTATCGATAAAATTCTCTCATTGGTTTTCTAATAATTAAATCTCGAATGTGGTGCAAATAGCAAATAAAACAAAGAATTTATTTTCATGAATTATTTCATTTTTTCGTAATACATATTTTCATATTCAACAATAAATAATCTTTAACTTTCCATTAACAAGTAATTTCTTTCATGTTTACACCGATTTTAAATCCGAATTCTTCTTCATCATCAACTAATACAAAATCAAATTCAGCTATATCTTTATCACAATATCAAAGTGAACTTTCTAAAATTCTACATAAGCATGATCCAAATGCTATACGTTTATATGATTTTATTAATCATGTTAAAATATTTACTTATAATTTAAATACTTCTCGTTGGGGAGATAATCCGATTATTGAAGGAAATTTATTTGTTTACAAACGGCAAGAAATTATCAATAATCATCCGTATCAATCCTATGTATTTTCTATTATAAATAAAGAACAAATTTTTATACAATCAATTACTTCTGGTATGCTCGAACAAATTGATAAACAATGTTTATTCTATGAAGTTATGAAAAATGATAAACCTGAAATATTTAGTTTACATTTTTTAAATGAACAAGAATGTTTAAGATTACATAAATTTATTTATCATTGTATACAAAAACTTAAAGAACAACAAAGTCTTTCAATTACTACCGGTGCACATCAATTATTAACTCCAGTAACAAATAGTAATGAAGATCCTACATTATCACTTAAACGTTTACTTAATATTTCAAGTCAAAATGAATTAAGTCTTCCACCATCTGAATTTAAACAATCGAAACCAATGAATCGTGAACATTTTCAAAATGTTTTTCTTCATCTTATTCAAAATAATGATGAATTTCTTGATATCATTCATCAAGCATGTTTTAGTTCTTCAACATAATAAATTTTTTTATTTTAATAAACAAAATATTTATTTCATTAAAAATGAAATCATTTTTGTTATTCTAGATGTCTTCTCCGGCAAAAACAGTTCGATCACCAACAATGACAAGTATTTCAACATTAGGAAATACTCCAGGTGGTGGTGATATTCAAGATGATTTTCAAGCTTTTCAAATGCGTGCAGTTATACGTGATTTTAAATTAACTGCAGAATTCTTTGCATCAAACGGTGATGTTGTATTAATATGCGGAAGAAGTAATCAAGAAAAACAAGGCATGTTATTAGTATCCTATGCAATACCATCAACAGCTATATCCTTATCAGTATCTGTACGTTTACTGAAAGTAATAAAATTAACAAAAAAAGTTGTTTTACAACTTGAAACAATACCAATATTCAAATTAGCTTTATTATTAGGTGATGGAGTTGTTAGTTTACTTGATATCGATTCACTTGCGGAAATTACGTCTGTACCAGCTAACAATATTTCATTATTTACAACTTGGTATGAGGCTGCATCAAATCCATCGACACCTACATCATCCATTTCAAATAATTCTATATCAGTTCCTAGTGAACTTCGAATATGTGTTGCAACAAAACGTCGTACACTTGTTTTCTATAAATGGTTACCTCAACAACGACGTTTAGAAGAAATTAAAGATCCACGTGGTGCATTCGATATCATAGATATACCTCGTGCTTTAGCATTATCACGTGAAAAAGTTTGTATTGGTTATAAAAAATCATATGTTATTATGAATCTTGCAACTGGTACAAATATTAATGAATTAACATTTACAGGAGCACAAGAACCAGTTATAAATTGTCTTAAAGATCGATCACAATGGTGTATACAAATGGAAGCAAATACTGTATTTTTAAATTCAAATTTTGAACCATTATATGAAAATGGTATTGTATGGAAAGATATTCCATCTGCTGTTGTTCAATCAAGTCCATACGTATTAGCATTAATGAATCAAACAATTGATGTTTGTACATTTAATGGTTCACAATCAGTACCTGTTCAACATATTCCTCATAAAAATACAGCCATAGGAAAATGTCGTTTATGGATGGATGCACAAACGGATAGAATTTATGCAGCAACACCAACAGATGTTTGTCTACTTGAACCAATCCCAGTTCAAATACAATTAACAAATTATACGGGCATGTATAGATATGATTTAGCTTTAATTCTTATTCGAGCTGTACTTGGAATGTCGGTTTCATCATCACATGATCAATCAAGAACAGGTGATGGTCATGCAAAAGGAAATCTTGATACAACTATAATGCCTAAAGTGATAACATTTGGAAATGATGAACAATCATCATCATCATCATCTCGTTATAATCCAACGAATGAATCATCTCAAAATCTAGATGATACAGCACTTTGGCATGAATATTATCGTGTTGGTACAATGTATGCATTTCAATTATTTCATAAACAACAATTTGAACAAGCTTTTGCTGAATTTAATGAATATTTAACTGATCCAGCTGAAATTATTCCTCTATTTCCATTATTATCAAGTAATACATGGTTAAAAAATGCATCTAATGAATTAACGACATTTGTTAAACAACATCGACATTTTTCTGAACCAGCTGATTTTGTTGGAGTAAAATTTGAAAATGCTCTGCGAGAATTACAACATTACCTCACTGATTTACGTCGAGTTTTTCAAACAATTTTTCGACGTTCGCCAGATTCATATCTTGAAGTTCAATCACTTGTTCAAAATCGTCTTATATTAAAACCTGTTCGTGATTTATTAATGATTGTTGAAACCGCTTTACTTAAAGCTTATTTAATAACGAATAATAATACATTAGCAAATGCATTACTACGTAATCAAGATAATTGTTGTTTACCATCGGAAGTTGAAAGTGAACTTAAAAAACATCATCGTCGAATCGAATTAGTTTCATTTTATGAAAAACAAAATCGTCATCAAGAAGCATTAAAATTAATTACAAGTACAGAAGCATTATCATCACGTGAAAATATTCTAAATTATTTATCAAAACTTGATAATGATCAATTACAATTAATTTTTCAATATGTTCAACCAATGATACAATCAGCTTTACATGAACCAGATAATGACAAGATACTTCATGAAATATTAACATTATTTATTGGTGAATCAACACCGACAACTGATACATCTCAAATACAAACAATTAAACTTGAACCTATGGAAGTTTATAAATTTTTAAATGGAATAGATCAAGATTTTGCTATAAGATATATGGAACATATTTGTTTGAAACCAGAACTTGGCTCTAAACAACGTGATATTCATAATCGTCTTGTTTATGCATATTCTGAACGTATTAAACAATTATCGGATAAACTAAAACCAATGATTAAAGCAAATCAACAAGAAGTTTATACAGACGATGATGTTATTGCCACGCGAACATCATCTGTTGATGCGGAAAAATATTCTGCAATATCAACAATAAAAAAACAAAAAACTGAATATGAAGAAAAACTAAAATTCTTTTTACTTAATCGAAATTGTCAGTGTGATTTTGAAGTATTAGAAGCTTATTTTCCACGACAACAAACCAATCCAGCAGATGAACATCTATTTAGTTTACATTATGCTATTGTACTAGGAAAATTAGGACGACATCAATTAGCACTTGAAACATTTGTTAAACATGGATTTTATACAGATGCTGAACGTTATTGTGAAACAATTTATGCTAATGGTGATATTCAATTAGCTCGTGAACTTTATCGTCAATTAATTGAACATTATTTAGAAAAAAGTAATGATGGAAGTTTAAATGAAAATAGTTTAAAAACAATCTTACGTATTGTTAATAATGCATCTGAACGTCTTGATCCTGTTGAAGCATTAAAAATTTTACCCGGACAATTAAAATTAAATAGTATGAAAGATTTTATCGAACAATCAATACAAACATGTTCAATGAAGAAACGTAGTTCACAAATCGAACGAAGTTTACTTTTTATAAAATTACTTCGTACACAATCGAAACGTATCGGAAGTGAAAATCAATCATTTATTATTGATGCTGATTCTCAATGTGCTCGAACAGATTGTACACAACCAATAACAGCAACACAAGCTGTTCTAAGATTTCCAAACCATAAAATAGTTCATTATCATTGTAAAGCAAAATATGAAAAAGAACTTGAAGAACGACATAAGAAACATTATTAAAGATTTTGTTTTTTTGTATATTTATTTTTATAGATTAAACGTGATTATCTTTGTAATTTATTCGAGTATAATAATTTTGTATCTTTTTTTCTAGATGGATTTCGATGAATTTATAGAATCGTTGGAAAGTTTACCAATTGATTTAAGTCGTAATCTTCGTTTATTACGAGAGCTTGATGATAAAAGTTTATCATTAAAATCTGAATGTTCATCTATTGCAACGAAATATCAACAAACAAAATCTCATGATGATAAATATAATTTAATACATTCATTAGATGATTTACAATCTCGACGTTTATTAAATGCTGATGAAAAGATTACATTAGCAAATCAAGCATATGAAATGGTTGAAAAACATATACGTCGTTTAGATGATGTTTTAGAAGAACTAGCCAATCAACCACAAATTATCCCAGCAAATAATCGAAAGAAAAAACGAACAATATCAGCGAATGATGAATTAAATTCAAATAAAAAACGACGTAAAATTGACAAACCATTAAATCAAGTACAAAATAAAACATCAATTAAAAAGAAAGATCATCATCAACAACAACAACAACAAGATATGAGAAAAGTTGAACCTGTTGGTTTAGATTTATTTCCTATTGATCCCTATGAGCCACGATATTGTGTATGTAATCAAGTATCATTTGGACGTATGATTGCATGTGATAATCCCCAATGTCAAATTGAATGGTTTCATTTTGCATGTGTTAAACTTGAAGAAGAACCTAAAGGAAAATGGTTTTGTGAAAAATGTCGACCTAAAACAATTTAATATACATAAAACTCCGTATTTGAACAAATAAAAATATATATTTTTTCTTTTTTTCATGTTACTAATGTATTATTGTTATCCAGTGTATATAAATACTTTATTTATAGATAGTAAAATATATAACCTATGTTGCAATAGTCTTTAAAAATAAAATGTTTTTTTTTTCTGTGCAAATTTTGTCTATTGAGTCGAATTTATTCATTTCAAAAAATCATTTTAATCAAACAAAAAACAAAAAAAGAGAAATCACTGTAAGCGACAATTTTGCGGTAAAGTTGATTGTTGTTTCTTTTCGGAATTAATTAATTCATCAGGAATTGTATGTTCTGTTACTGTTGCATCATTGGCTGTATCTAGTTTTAATTTTTCTATAGCTAAATCTAGTCGTTGAGTTTCACTTTTTTGTTTACATGATTCAGCTTTACTCAAATAATGAATTATCTATTGAAAAGGAAAATTTGTTTGAAAGAAAAATCAAATTATAAATTCTTACCATTTTACGAAGAATTTCTTTTTTTTCGGTATCGGTTTCAGCTAAACATAGGAAAAATATTTAACTTATGGAATGAATGAATAATCTAAATTTACTTTGAGATACACGAAACATGACAGTTAAACCTTTTTCATATTCTTCAACAGCCTGTGCAAATACAAATTGATTCATCTATATCAGAAGACGAAAAAAAAAAATTATTTTTTCTATTTCAAATCAATTAATTCTATTTACAAGTTGATTTCCATTTAAACAATGTTGATAAGCATCAAGAAGTTCTTTGTCATTATTTAAATCAATGCCAGTATGAATCATAGTTGGTGATGGTAATGTACTTGTTGTTATGGGTGGCGTTAACCCAGAACTACCTGTTGTTTCTCGTATTCGTTTTTTTAAATCTTCAGCTGCATGTATACCTTGTGCTACTTTCGCTCTTAATGATCGACGATGATCAGCATCTTCATCAACTAAGACAAAAAGAAACATTAATCTATGATTAATATTCTAGTAAAAATACTTTTGATTATTGCAACATATTCATCTAATGCTCTAAGATGATAACCCAAAGCTTTTTGTAAATCTCCTGATCGTTCATAATCGCTTGATTGTTTTAAGAGTTCATTCTACATATATAGATTTAATTTAAAATTAATAATAAAGATATATTTACTGCACGATTTATTTGTAATGAATGATTATTAAAAATAAATGGATGTCGAAAAAAATCTGTAAAACTTATTCGTTTATCTGGATCACGTTGTAATAAACCTTCTAATAAATGACGACATTCCGGTGATAATCGTACATCATTTGGAATCTATATTATCATTTAAATAACAAAAAAAACATGAAATTTGAAAGAATTTTTCTTTACTTCAATTGGAACATCGGATTTAATTGTATCGATTAAATCATTAATTGATATAAAAACAAAAGGTGGACGACCGAAAAGACATTCTATAAATCGAATCAAATGAAAAAATCATTAAAAGTAACTTCAAATACCATAAAGTATAACTCCAATTGACCAAAGATCAACTCGATTATCATATGGATGAGAAGAAAGAATTTCTGGTGCCATATACATTAATGTTCCACGTATACTTCGACTTCCCTGTGTACCGATATGTTGTGCTACACCAAAATCTATTAAATATATATATGAATTTCTTAATTTGATATTTAATTATTTGAATTATACCAGCAACTTTTAAAGTTGGTTTGTCAGTTGATAATAATAGAATATTTTCAGGTTTTAAATCCATATGTGTAAGATTTTTTTCCTTTAAAAATTTTAATACTTTAGCTTTAAAGATATAGAAAAAGAAATGATTAGTTTATTATATCAAACACTTACATAGTCTTACCAATTTGTTTTACAAATGGACGTGCACGAACTTCAGATAATTGTTGTCGAGAACGTATAAACATTGACATATCACCTCCAGCACAATATTCCATTATAATATAAATATAATTCTCATCCCACTTTAATAAATCAAAAAATAAATCAAATAATAAACTAGAAACAAATATTTATTTACCTGAAAATCATACATTTCAACAATATTTTCATGTTTTATATGTTTAAGTAATCGTATTTCATTTATAAGTAAATCTTCTGTAGTTTTTGTTAAAGATTTACGATTAATGCATTTAATAGCATAAAAAGGTGGTAAAGCACTTGCAGGTCGAGCACTTGAAGGACGACTACAAGCAGCTGAAGCTGGTCTTGATGGAATATTCTTTAATAATAATATAAAATTAGTTAAACAGAGCTAACTGACATTTTTTTTATTTACATACTGATATTAATCTTGCTTTATATACAGTTCCTAAAAGTAAATTACATGAAAATTTCATTTATAAATAAATGCGTTTACCATATGATCCAGCACCTAGTCTTTCTCCAAATGCATAATCAGGTAAAGTAGGAGTTGGTAATGATTCGGTTCGAATATTCATTAAATATTTATTTACAAGATAGAAAAAAAAACAATCTTACATCTAAAATAATTTAAAGACATATATATATATTACAGATGTAAAATGCAAATCTATAATATTATCATGTCAAAATAAAATTATTGCATATTTTTTAAGATTTTATCTTCCAATCTTGCATAACGAATAAGCATTTCATTATACACCGGTGTATATTCATTTCTAGGTTGAGCTGAAACTAAAAATTGTAATGTTGAAGTTTGAGAATTTGGTATATGATTAATAACATCAATAGCACGTAAAGCACCGCCAAGACAACCAGAATTGGGTGCTAAAGTAGCATAAACTGGTTTACTAAATATATCAGCTAGCATTTGTAAGAAATCGATATTAACTGATGCGCCACCTATCGACATAAAAAAAAAGAAGAAAAAAGTTGTTATCTTAATCTTTTTGTTTCGTTCTTTTTTTTTTGTTACCATTAATAACAATCCGATCAACATTATTTACTAAATCAATATTAGCTCGTTGTAAATAAAGTCTTTTTGCAAGACATTGTGATTCAAGTAATGCTCGTACTTTACATGCTGGTTCAAGATCATCAATTTGTTGTCCATCAGAATTAAAATAAAATCTTCCGCGTAGATTTTCTGGTATAATTTCATTGTCATCATAAAAAAATCCAAGATAACCATGATTTGTTGGTGGAGTTTGACATAGAAGTTCACTCATTTGTTGCCAATCATTTGAAGCAACTTCTTCACGTACACCTATAAAATATAATCAATTTATTTTTTTTAATCTTTCTCCAGAATAGATTGCCTACGTTCTCGTACAAGTGAACCATTTTTAAAACAAAGAAGAATCATTAATAGATCACTTTCAGAATTTACTATTAAAGGATTAACAAATAAATGCCCATCAAATATTTCATTTGGTATTGATGATGCTGATACTGATGCCATGACCGTATCACTAGTACCTAGACTGATAACAATTGTTTTTGAATTCAATGCTAATGCATAATATGATGATGGATTATCTCCAGTAAATGAGACTATTTGACAAGTATTATTAAAACCATATCGTTCAACAAAATATTTTGCAATTGTTCCAAGTATTGTGCTTGGATAAATGAGATTATTCGAAAGTTTTTCTTCTAAATCTTTCGCACAAATATTTAAACAATCTTTTGACCATTTACGTTGACGAATATCAAATAAATTCATTCGTGAACCATCAGATAAATCAATTGGTGCATAATCACCAAGTAAAATACTAGCAAGAAAATTGCTTAGTAATTGAATACGTTCTGTTTGCTCATAGATTTCAGGTGTTGTTCGAGACATTTTCATTATTTGACAAGCAGTAAATCGATCATAAGCTTTCGAATCTGTTATTTGCAATAATTTTTCATTACTATCAAGATTTTTTTCAATAAATTGAACTCCATCCATCCGTATAGAACAATCCATACATGAAAATGATGAATGTAATAAATCTACTAGAAAAACATTTTTCGGTAGATTATGAATATTCGTTATTTCGCTTTTATCTTCAATTGATGAATGTAAATTTTTTAAACGATCTAATCCAATTTTATTTTTCCAATAGATACTACCATGCTGTTGTGCACATCCTGAATAAAAACAAGAGGAAACTTCTTAATTATGATTAAAATATATATGAATATACCTGAGATTCCAATAATATCTGCAAAATCAAATTTTTTTTGATCACGTAACTTTTGAAAAAGTACATCTAAAGTAACAAGGAAAATAATTATTAAGATAGACTAGTGAGATATGTTTTTTCTTTACCGAGTGCTTCTAAAAAAACAAGCACTGGTGTTGTTATACAATGATTATCGATGGCAGAACCATGAGATTGAACATAGTTAACAAGAAGTGATTTATCATTAAAATGAATTGCTTCTTCAGCAATCGTATTTAAATGTTCATCAATAATAACACCTTTGAGCTGGTGTGTGCTCAAATCTAAACCAAGATAAAGACGCTGATGATTTTTTTTATCTGTCATCTACGATTTAAAAAACAAAAATATATAAAAAACACTCCGCCATGATATCTACTATATTTTTATATAAAAAAAAGGACTGGAATAATAATAATAATAATAAGCAGCACCGATATTACACTAAAAAAACTAAAACGATCGGATGATTTAATCATAAGCCCATGTACCATTTGGATATTTTTCATAAAGTTTTTCTATTTTTTCAATTTCTTCTTTGTAACCGAGAAAAATAGGTGATCGTTGATGAATTTTTTCTGGTTGAATTTTTAAAATTGAATGTTGACCATTTGATGAAGCACCACCGGCTTTTTCAACAACATATGACATTGGAATACTTTCATATAATAAACGAATTTTGCCATCTTTTGCTTCTTTTGTTGCTGGATACATGAAGACACCTCCATAAAGAAGTGTACGATGTACATCAGCAACCATTGAACCAACATATCGATTAGCAAAAGGTTTATCTTTACCCTAAAATAAAATCATTATTTTCTTTTTTCTCAATTAATTATTTCGATCAAACCTCTGGAAATTTTTTCGCATGAACATATTCTGTTGTTGCTTTATCCCAATTTCTTGCATAACCTTCATTGATACTATAAATTCTTTGTGAACCTTTTGCACCTAATTGTGGCATTTGCATATTTGGTGCTGTTAAAATAAATTCACCAATAGACTAAAAATAATAATTTCATTAAATAACACATGAGTAGTTTTTCTCGCTTTCTTACTGGATCAAGAGTGAATCCATTAACACCATCTTTTGTAGCTAAAACAAGCATACATGCTGAACCATAAACAGCATAACCAGCACAACGTACATTTTCACCACTTTGTAAAATACATTCTAGTGGTGTTTTAGCATTTTCAGGTTTTTTCCATATACCAAAAATTGAACCAATACTAAAACATACAAATTTATATCATTGATTAAATATTTTCTCATTTGTGTATACATACGTTACAAGACAATCAATATTTGATGAACCATCCAAAGGATCAAAACATATAACATATTTACCCTAAAAATAAAATCTAGAACAATTTTAATTTACAAAAAATTCTACTTGTTTTGGAACTTCAACTTCAATTAAATTTTCATTTTCTTCTGATGCCATTGCATATACTGTATAGGATGATTTAAGCATATTGATGAAAAGTTCATTTGCAAGTACATCTAATTTCTTTTGATCATCACCAGTTGTATTTGATGAACCAGCTAAACCATATCTAAAATGAAAAGAAATTTTTATAAACAAGAAAATAATAAATATTTTCTTTTTCTAACTTACAATTTTGCAATACCAGCTTTTCGTACAGCTGCTGCACAAGCTTTGATAGCTGTTAATAATGCATTTAATAATATGGTCAATTCACCAGACGCACCAGGATATTTTTTCTTTTGTTCAAGTACGAAACTTGTTACAGTTACACATTCAGTATCCATAATCAAGATTAATTTTCACAATTGTAATTTTAATATGCAAGACACACCTCTTTTTCTGCTGATAAAAACACACCCGTTTAGGCTCGAGAAAAATACGTTTATGCATGTGGTGGTATATATATATATGTGGGTTAAAATTAAGAGAACCGAAAGAAAGAAACGTATATATCACATGATTGTTTTTTATTTAAAGGGCGCAGAAAGAAAATGTACCCAACGATCCAGGTCTAGATTTATCCACATTATACGAAATACGTAATAGAATAATGATTTTTTCTTTTTCTTGTCGCAATTTAAACATAAATGACTAACTCGAGATTAACATCGATACGCCTGAAAAAACAAACTCAAAATTAAGATAAATCAACTTTAAATGAGTTTCAACTAATCAGACAGAGAATCTACAGATGGAGTAAATGTGTATATATTTCTTCGACATATAGAAAGATTTCAGATGTCCATAAATAACGATTCATAACTCGATTATCTCTCATTCCGATCTATTAGTATGTGTATAAAAATATATAAGTAAAAAAACATGTTCAATCATGAACGATTTAGATGAAGATATTTTTAGTAATAGATGAAAAACAAAAGAAAAATGTTCTATGACAAAAATAAAACAACAAGCTGTATTTAATAATTTATTATTTGAGAATATTTTATAGGTTTGTTTTACTATTTTTTTCTATGTAAGACTATTCAAAAATAAAGGAAATGTTTACTTAAAATATCAAACAAGTACGTACGTGTTATTAATATTAATCAGTATTTATGAGTTAACGTTCGACTAAGCAGAAATCTTATTAATAAATTTTTGATTATTGTTTTTTTGCTTTTACTTTAAAACATCTTACAAGTGTACGAATCTAATTTTACATCTTAATTTTAATATATTTAATATTTATTAGTAAGAATATGAATTTAGATTTTTTTTAAGAGTATAATAAAATAATCTCTATAATAAGTCGATAACAATTTTTGATGGATTTTTTTATCCTATTAAATGCTAAAAATAACCATGAAAGGTAGTTCAACAACATGCTTTAATTATAGATTTATCTTCATAAAAATACTTTTGACCCTTATATCATTTCCTGATCTTTATTATTCACATAGAAAATTATAGGTTATTGTATTAACAAGTGATCAAACAATTTTCTAGAATTATAGAAAACATTTATATCATATTTATATAAATATATAGTGGATGCACTGATCATATCAAATAACATACGATCAATTAACATTGAAAACAATCTATTTTCATAATTATTAACTTATCTGAAAACACAAAAAAGAAAATAATTAATATGCTTTTCTTCTTTTAAAGCAGATGTCTTGATAATCGATGACCATAGGTTATATTCTATAAACATTCACATATTGCTTAAAATATGAGTACAGCTGTTTTTCTGTACGATTACTATCTTTATTTTAAACAATGATAATATAACATCTGAAGTGTGTCTGCCATAGAATACTTGGAATATTATATATTTATAGATAACAGAGAGGATATATCAAATCATCGATCATCATTATATATACACAAATATGTATCAATATACATGAAATCTCACCATCATCATCTCTTTTTTTTTTCTGTTAAAGATAAATACAATTAAAAAAAGAAACATGAAATAAATATCCTTTTTTTCTTTTTTAAAATAAAACAAAAGAGACTGTCAAGTACAACAAATAAATTCGGAAAATAAAAGGAAACCGAATATTCACTCTCTATTTACAATACAACAAATTAGTTTTTAAAACATAGACACATACAATAAACATTTGAAAGAAATTAATAATTATAATAATAGTAATAATAATAATAATAATAATTCGTGTTTTGTTTTTTAAATAACAAATCTCACCAGGCATATAATTTGGGATTTGCTTTTTTTTCATATATATAGATCTATATATATATATATATATAAATATAAATAATTAGCAGCAATCAATGGATGCAAGTATTAACAATTTGTTACGCGTGCATTATCTGCAAACACACAACACAGCAAATCAGTAAGTTATAATAAAGAAAAAAAGAAAGAATATTTCATGATATATAAATATGTGACTAAGTATTCAAAGATTTTTACGCGATTTAGTTGAACTATTTTTAAATGACATATATCGAGTTGAAAATGGATGTTTATCTACTGTAGATGTAAGACGAACTGAAGAATATCTTTTACCTAATGATGTTCTTATTGGTTGTTGTGTTGATGGTTTTAATGATGAAGCTAAATCATTTTCTGTACGACTTGCATGACGTGATGCTCTTGGCGATGATTGAATGTCTGGTTCAGATGAACCTTGACTATTCAGAGATGTTTGTTTATTGAGTATTTGTTGTCGTTGTTGTAAATAATTAGCTAATGTCATTTTACGTGTTTCAGCTGCAATTTTTAATGTTTCATAAACAGGATCAATGATTGTTTCATCTAAAAGAAAAACAACGTCAATATTTATTAAAATAATTTGATAAATATTTTTTTTACCTTGTTCTTGATCATTATTGTTATTATTATTATTATTATTATTATTATTCTTTTTCTTTCGCAATGAAAATCGTCGTACAAATGACTAGAATAGCAAAAAAAAGAAAGAATATTTTTTCTTTTTTTTTGTTTTGATGATTAAATGTGACAAATACTAACACGCTAGAATCTTATTCTAATGAGTACACGCAAACTAACTAAATCTTAAGAGACTTTTACTTTTGTCATACGTTTAGTTATAATGAAAAGAAATAAATATACTACCTCGACCACTTGTGATATAACACTTGGCCGTTTATTTTTCAGTAAATTTGTATTTGATTTATTATCAAAAAAAGAAAAACGACCTGTTGTCATACGACGTTGTCTATTTGAAGCCATATATTGTTCTTCAACTGAGAAAACAGTAAAACGTCTTTGAAATAATGCTGCTGATGGACGTCTTGGTGGTGGTGTATTTATCTGTTCATTTTCATTGTTATCAGCTGATAGTTCTAAACGTTTAATTGCTAATGATGGTGCATCAGCAGCTGATTTACGTCGAATATAATCTTGTTTTGAATGTTGAGATTTTAATGAAAATGATCTCGTAAGATTTGATGGAGGTGATGGAACATGTAAATGCTGCTGTTCTTCAGTGGCGATTGAGCGATTCATTATAGCAATCTTTTACTTAATGAGAACTCACTTAATGCGCGTGTGACCAAGCGTGAAAGGCAAAAAATGGTTTCTCGTTATAAGAAAAAAGAAAAACGAGAAAAGAAAAAAGTTACAAACTCTTTATTTGAATAGACGATGGCAACAGGAAGTAAACTGAACGGCAACAACAAGAAACACGGTTTTGCGGCACACATTTTGCAATCTGATATAGGAGAATAAGGATAGAAAATGATGAGATGAAGAGAAAAGAATGAGAGTGAAAGCGAGGATGGCATGATAGACAAAAAGAAACAAAGATTATCGTATTTTTTATAGAGAGAACAATAGCTAATGACTCTATAAAAATGAAGATCAACGAATAACAGATTCTAAATATATCAAATGATGATGATGACGATGACTCCAACAACGAAAAAACTCATTTTCTTTAATTAATAAATAGATGACAGAATAACATTATCTTATTCTTTCATGGAAACAGAGAGAGAGAGAGAAAAAAAAACAAGAAGCAGAAAAAGTTCATTCTTAGCTTTTATTACGAATGCATGCACACATTTATTCTTAATTACATCTATTCTATCCGGATGTGATATAAGTTAGTTGAATATACTTATGGAAATTTTATTTGATATCTTCTTCCTATTTACTTTTTTTCTTTTATATCTCAGTCAATGTTTAGCTTGAATTACTTAATTAGATCGATTATAAAAACATATGAGATCAATCAACTATGCATATATACAATAACTTACCGAACGAGATTCGTTAGTAGTACTAGAATTATTTGAAGATGTTGTCGGATGTTTCAATGTACGAAATGCATCATGCCAAAGTCCCTTTATATTTTTCATACCGCGCTTTCGCGCGTCATGTTCACTGTCGCCAACTCCACTCATCGAATGCCGATGAGACTTGAGCAATTCTTGCTATAAAAAAGAAAGAAGAATAAGATAAATTAATATAAAATAGAAGTTTTATAATATGAAGAAGAAAAAAATAATTTGCATACACGAGAACAACATTTGCAGATCGACATTATTTCCATGCAAAAATGATTACATTTCCTTACAAGTCTCAAATCGTTACCTACAAGCTGTTCTTCTCTTCTTCTTCTTTTCGAAAATAAATTAAGTCTTTCGTGACTGTATCATTAGCGCTACTACCATATATCACAGACACCTACGCGACAAGTGTTGTAAGAAAGTTAAAAAAAAATGCATTAATATCAAGGGATAAAAAATAAATTTTTGTTCTATAGAAAAACTAAACTTTTTCTATGGTACTACTCTATCTATATGAAGCTAGTCTTTCAAGTAAATGAAAATATCGATGACAAATGTCATTGTTGAGCACAACAACCAAGTAAAATATATACACTAGAGAGAAATCAATCAGCTAAAGTATATGCTCTAAGGAATATTAGTTTTTCCTTTCCTCATGATTGCTTTATACATAGGAGAAAAAAATGAATGGACCCATCAATATATTTTCTAATATGTTTTATCTTGATTACAAAACGAGTATTTTGAAAAATAGAGAAGAAAAGCATATCCTCGTTAATTCATCTCGTATCTACATTCTTTTTTCTTTATCTTTCCTCAACGTCATGTAACAGTATCTTTTTATATTCTATCGAACCTGTCAAGTTTATGATAGATGTCCAAGATACTACAAATAAACAATGTCGTTTTTCTTTTAAATGAAAATATATAGTTTCGTTCGTGCTATCATGATTTGTCATATTACTATGACTTTATCGTATCAACTAAAGCGGAGTCTAATTGGAGAGAAAGACAACACATGTATTTACATATATCGCTATAAGAGTCTTTTCTAAATAGATGAGATCATTTTTCAAATTAATATATCGTCTTTCTTTCTTTTATCTTATATAAAACTTATAGCCCTAAAGATTAATCGGAAAACTTGAATTATGAAAGTTTTTTCATTAATAACAATTAATCATTATTAATAAGTGAAGATATTAATAGAAAAAAAATTTTTTTTCGAAAACGAATTTCATTTTATTTTGCTTTATATTTATTATTATTATACATACATAGATTCTCGTCTCTCTTACCAATATCCTAAATTCATCAGTTAATGTCGTTGTCTCTGATTTGACTATTATTAGTCTGATATACATAAATCTTTTTCTTACAAGATAATATCAAAGAATTATTTGTAAGACACGCTGTCGTAAGTCTAGGAAAAAATAGTCGGTTATAAAATGTGTTGATAGGAAGCAATGAGAAAGACAGTGATATAGCGAGTCGATGAAAGGATATTATCGACTCATCAGACCGATGAACTCGTCAACCATATTTTGTTCTTATTACAACTATATATTTAATGGGTGTGTGCGTGTGCGTGTGTGTGTGTGTAGGCATATATTGTTATTGTTTGTTGCGCTCGGTTGCATTATCGCGATGTGTTTTTAACATGCGCAAACTGGTTCATCGGATACTAAAATATTCGACGCGTCATTTGGCAAAAGCAGCTTACTATGCATAGATACAAGACAGATGGAATATTGCATCAAAAAAATAAGAAGAGAATTCTCCAATTATTATTTCTTGTCTCTACTTTATAAGATTACGCTTGATTTCACTAATTCACTCGTATTACTCGGTACTTCATAAATCTGCCTACGGTTACTAGCCATTATTATCTTGTTGATGAAATAATTTTCTTATTTATATGAAGATTAATGGTTTTTCTATTTCTGGAGAAACGAGTTTTTTTTCGTCTAAATAAATTTTGATATTATATTTGATCTGTCAAAGTGGCCATTGGCATTTTTGAAGAAGGATAATGATAGGAAAAAAAAATATATCAGTGTCATCTCCAAATGTCATGGATTTTTCTTTGCTTTTGTTTATTTAAGTATACATTGTATTTGACCTTATATCTTGTTATAGGAAAGAAAAAACAAAAGTTTATAATTTAAGAATTATTTTTACCTGAGCTATCAATACAGATTCTTCAAGTTCAATTATACGTAACTGATGTTTTTTCTTCATTAAATCATTCATTTGATGAAGTAATTTTTTTTCTGTTCTAAAATTACATATATATATGTATATTTATATAATTAGATTACCGTGACATAAACCTTTGTTTGCTCTTTTTCTAATATGTATATATACCCTTTTTTTATCTTTGCTTTTTCACGTGTATAAATAACAGATCCCTAATGTATTGGAAAAAAACTTATCATCAATTATATTGTATGAAACACTCAAGATCAAGGGGGATATAACTATACATGACAGATATTTTTATTGAAAAAAAAGAAGTTATGTTGAGTCTAGTTTCCTTACTGTTGTTGATCTTCATGTGGTTGTTGCTGTTGCTGGGGTTGAGATTGTTTTACGGGAGTTTTCGAAATATTAGTTAACAATGTTGATTTATCTTTTTTAATTTCTTTTATACGTTCACCTGTTTGTTTACAACGTGAAGATAATTGAGATTGAATAACTGGCGCAGCGTATACAATTAATTGATCCGTTGATGTTGTATGTGGTGATAAATAATGCGAACTTATTGTATTTCGTGTATTAACTGGAGATACAAATGATTCAAATTCAATATGTACTGGTGGCGTTGATGAACCACCACTTGTTTCATTCATTGAACATATATAATTTTCTAATTCTTCATTTGGATTTGTTGCTGTACTTGTTACAACAAATGATGCCAAACTACAGTGACGTTGTTCATGCTACAAATATCAGTTAATATTATTTTTTTGAATTAATCAATAATAAAAAGAAAAAAGAATATGATTGGTAATTTCAATGATAATATCAACTAGAAAACAGACATATACTATGTTTTGATGTCTTATGGAAAAAAAAATCTTTTCTAAACTAATGTCTTTATATATAGATATATAAATAAACAAATATTAATTAGTTCGGTTAATGAATAAAAACGATCCATATGTATTTTTTTTAACTTATTGTTCGATATATATATTTTTATACATTATTGAGTAAAATACGAATTACTTTGAGTACTGATTGAGAATATCACTAGTTGATACAGCTTGTTTTCATTAAGTAATTAGTATGAAATCTGAATTTACTTTACGAAAGGAATATATAGATCTATTTTGACTTACATAATTTTGTATAAGAGAAGCAATTAATTGTAAATTTTGACAAACAGTATCAATAATTTCAACTTGTGTTTGTTCCATTCCCTAATTAGAACAAAAAATATATTTCAAATCTTATCTAACAAATATATATCAATTTACTTGAAGAAGTTGTGGTAAAATATGATATTGATATTTTGATAAAAGACTATTAACACCAGTTAATTCAAGCACATACAAATTATGAGCACGATGAAATTCTGGTGTTACACCAGAATCATTATAGGTCTTTGCATATTCTTCCTGTAGCTAAACAAATAATTTATATTGAAGTAACTAATAAGAAATTTATCAAAATATTCTTTACAAAATTTCACAAAATTATTTTTTGTACCCAATAAACTTTTATATGATCAAGAATACAAAGTCATTGATAAACTATTCTGACATATGTCTTATTCTATATTATGTTAATAGGTACCACATAACTAATGGGAGAAAACTAGGTCTTTCTATTTTTAATTGTAATAATGTATGAAAAGAATTTGATATTTTTTGAAGCGAAATAATCTTATTATATCTGATTCTTTATTAATTAAACATATATCTTACCTCTCGAACAATTTCATGACTTTTTTCTAGAATTTCATTAAGATCACTACGATGTTGTTTATTTATAGATAATTGAACACTTTTACTTGTTATAAAACTTCCTAATGGAATACAAATTTCTTTTTCCATTAAACATGCCATTTTCTTCAATGACTATTAGATAATAATAAAAACATTTAAAATAAAAAATCTTTTTATTTTTACTTGAGATTCTAATTCTGATTCAAGTAATAATGATTCCCATAAATCGTACATCATACCACCAAGTTGACATCTAACAAAAAAATTAAATTTAATGAATAATTTGCTGATGTTTACTTAACGTACTTTCCACGTATTTCAGTTTCAGTTTTCTTTCGAAAATCAATAACAAGTTGATGTAATTGTGATGATGCTAAAAAGCATATTTTAGCCCATTGATTGGTAAAATCAGTAACTAAATTCTTATAGAATGAAAACAAAAAAGTAAAATTCTTCTTCTATTCCTAACTTAATTTAGTAAAAGCAATTGTAACTTGAGCATATTCTATTAATTTATGCCATGCTTGTGGATGAGCAAAATCGACAAAACTTAGCCGACGTCGACTATTACTTGCCATGTATATATTATCTAGAACTGATAGATAAATTGACTTCTATAAAAGAAAAAAGATAAGAATAATAGTTGATCCAGTCTTGATAATATTTCTATGAATTTATTATAGGAAGAAAAAAGTCATTTTCTTTTTAAAAAGAATATAACAACATACTTAGATTAGTTTTTAAAATAATTCTTTTCTCTATTTGATTATTTTTCTTCTTCAACTAATACTTGAATCAGCATGCGTATAAGATGATGGTGTCAATCATTTTACTTCCAAATGTTGTCAACGTATTCTATCCACTATCACAATCTCATTCTTTCTTCTCTCTGTCTACTCTCTGATGCTTCTTTTACAACGTTGTCTTTTTATTTGTGTGTTCATTTTTCTGCATTTATTTCTTCTTGTGCTTTTTGCGTGACACAAATCATTTTGAATGGCGATCTACAAGCTAATCACTAACAGGAACTTCGTATACTTTGGTAGATTCCCGTTTTTTTTCCTCCTATAGAAAGATTAACTATGATTATTAAAGTACTATTGTGTATTTCTCTTTCTCTGTCTCTTTTGTTCATATTGATTCTTTAATACGCCTAAGGTGTTATGGTTTATTTTTAACTAACTGAAGAATACATTTATATGATCGGTAAAAATCTCAGTAGAACTTAATCAAACAATGAGGGAGAAAAAAAAACTCACACATCAATGAATATATCATTTCCGACAACACGTCGAGAAAGTGACTATATGTAAAAGAAAGAGAAAAAAAAGTTCTGGATAATTTAGTTGTTATTGATGAAATTGATGATTCTATATGAAAGATTGAGTTTTGAAAAAATCAATGATAAGACAAAAAATAACATCTTGTTGAATTTCATTTTCTACATCACTGATGTTTCTATTAAACTGGAAAAGTTATGCACTTTCGTACATCAAAAAGCTCTCTAAGTTTCTATAGATTAGTTGCTTAATACGATTCATTTATATGGAAACAAGAAAGATAAGTTATTGTTAATGGACAGACTGTTAATCAAATCAATGTTATAAAAAAAAGAAAAGAAAACTAATCGTCTTTTTGCGAAATGTAATGTGACATAAAATGTCTTTTCATTTATAATAATGTTCAATGTCATCATGTAAGGACAACTAATAATGTTTGATTTCCTAAAAAACGTTCATTTTTTTTTTAATTATAAAATGTGTAAATTTGCTAGAAGAATCTAGACTCTATATGTGTTTATACGAGTAAGATGCACTTTTTGTTTGTTTGTTTTATCATTAAAAAAAGTACGTAAAGGGACATATTGACATTACATCTTTACGTTTAGTAAATAACAGACTATGTACTCTTTATTAGTAACCATATTCAAGATTAACGACATCTTATCCATAGATTATGCGCAATAATAATTCATTCTGTGTTTCAGTGACATTTTTCTTTTTGTACTCAAGTTCGCAGTGCATATTGAGAGAATAAAAAGATAATATACGAAATAATGATTGCATTCTCCTTCTCTTATTCATACTACAATAGCTGTCCGACCGTTTGTTCTGTTTCTCTTTCTTCTTCTTCCTTTTTTATAACTGCGTACGAGAAAAATAGGGGCACGTTTTGTACCATACAATATGCATTAACCACACCCACCTTTCTTGTACACAAAAACACGCTAGCATCATCCGTTAACTTCGTGCCTTTATTTATATAACGTACACATTCGACCGTGTACCTTGTCCTCATTACAAACATATAAATACGTCTATGAATTAAGTATTTCTATCTCATATATTTATTGGTAATTTACGTCGTTGTGAAATAAATATTCAAAAATAGAAATGGCTTCAATGAATTATTGTTTCACTGTTTGTCGTGCATCAGAAGAAAATATTCAACAAAAAGATCATTTAAATAAATCAACATCAACAGCAATTGATATTCCCAATTCATCATCACCATCAAGTCCTGGTGCTTATTTTTTTGGACGATTCTTTTCATTTGCTTCAACACCATCCCCATCTCCATCTTCATCAACAACGACAAATCCATTTATTCTTAATGCATTAAACACCAATGATATGATGAATTATATATCATAATTCGATTGTTTTATCAATACTACTAGCTAAATCTCAGATAAAAGAAATGGACGAACGATCGTTACAAAAAAACATTAGTGTCTATTTCTAATTTTATGCATTTGTTAATTTGTTTTTTCATTATTCAAAAAAAAAGAAAAAAACAACTATTAATAAAAATCAGGGAAATTCAATATTTCTTTATATCATGTTAGGATTTTTTTATTTAAGAAGTGATTTATGGATTTATCTCAGGAAAAAGAAAAGATGTACAAGTGATTTATATAAAAACATTAGCAATTCCTTTTATCATGAAAATTTTGAATATATAAACAGTTTCTTTTCTTCTAATTTTGTCATGCAATAGAACGGAAATTAATGATTGATGTTGTTTTTAGTTTTTTTAATGTATTCTATATGAAGAGATCAAGTTCGATTAAATCGATACTAATTCTATTAGAATACAAATTAGAAAATGTTTGCATTTAGTTTGTTTATTTTTCAATCGAGAAAGAGAAAAAAAAACAGATTATAGTAAAAATGACAATACCAAAGAATTACCGGTTAGAACGGTAAAACATAACAAGAAATAAATTTTCATTCTATGATGAAACATTAAGGTTTTTTTTTTGGTTTGTTTGTTTTTATCCACAACAAATCAATACACTCAGACACACATTGCTAGGCTATAAAGAAAAAGATATAATATACATTTTCTTGTTTGACAAATAAATAAACAAAGAAAATGAAAATATAATCATATAGATAAGATATATACAATAGAGAGAAGGAGAGAAAAAATGAATTGAATATTATTTTTATTGTCGTTTTGCTGTTTGTTGTTCGAGAATATGAACTTTATCTTCTAAATCGGATTTTTCACGTTCCAATTGACTGATTGTATTTTGTTGTTCGAGAATATGAATTTTATCTTGTAAATCAGATTTGTCACGTACTAATTGATTGATTGCATTTTGTTGTTCTTCAAGTTTAGCTGTTTCTGATATTAATTGTTCAAGTAAATGATTGCTGACATTAGGAACAGATTGCGAATTTGTTGTTGTTGAAAGATTTTCAGGTTGATTCTCACCTAAAATAAAATATGAATAAAATAAAATAAGTTTTTCTTTGTTTAAAACCTGTTGTTAAATTTTGATCGTTGATATTTTCTAAAAGTAAATTTGGTGTTTGACCATCAGTTGATACTGCCTGTAATAGTGGTAAAAGTAATTCATTATCTGCTCCAAATAAATCGTCAATTGATGTACCATCCGGTAAATTATCGAACATTAAATCACGAATATTATCAAGTGATGATTGAATATGATCAACATCACCTGTTATATCATCAAGGTTGAAACTAAGTTGACTATTTGTTTCACCTATTTTATGTTGTTGTTGATTTTGTGAATATAATGTTGGTGATTGACCACGATTTACAATCGGATTATTATTTGGAAGTTCAATTAATTCTTGTTTTAATATTGGTGGAAGTTGAACTTGTTGGGTTGGATTTATACTAGACTGAAAGAAAAATGATATGAATATTTGATTTTTATCGATTTCTATTCTATAAAAATTATAGGAAATGAAAAGCTTTTCTTTCTATTAGTAAAAATAGAAGTGAATATTTGAATAAAACGTATATATTTATTACGGTAATAGAACAAACAAATGTTACATCATAACTAAATAACATTCAGCATCAATAGTTACCGTTTTAAGGCCTATTGATTTTCCTCCATTTGCTTGTCCAATATTTGAATTTGTGTCGTTCGTATTATCAGTTCGTAAGAAAAAATCAGGTACATAAGCATTTCCAGTTTTATCTCCGTTGCCAACTGCTTGAAAGTTATTATTTTTTTGATCATGTACATTAGGATTAATAAGTTCATTTGATGAAGTTGTCCATCGATAATCATGTGGTTGTTGTTGATAGTTATCATCTGTACTATGTGTTGACTGTGGTGGTGATGGAACAAAATCAATTAATGGGGGTGTATTCGTTGTATGATGCCATACAGTTGTATCATTATCTGCTAATTCATTGATTGTTACACTTTGTTGTCTACCAAGATTAGGTGGATGTGAAAATTGTTGCTGTTGTTGTTGTTGTTGTTGTTGCATAGGTGTTCGTTTATTTGATTCATCACCATGCATAAGTGCAGAATGTTTACGTTTAAGAGTATTTGGTGATAAACCTTGATCATTTGCTACTAATGAAGAATTATTTATTTGATGTTGACCTTGTCCTTTTTGTGGATGATTTACATCAGTTATTGGAACATCATTAGATGTTTGTTGTTCAACTGACTCATCATGAGAATGTTGTGAATTCGTTGAGATAAAATGTAAAAGAAATTCCATTAATTTCGAAACGATTTGTTGTTGTTTCGAATGTTTTTGTCTTAATGAACCAATTTCAGTCCATAGTGCTTGATTTTCAGTTTGCATATATGAAAGTTTATCACTTAATGATGTTTGTTTGGTTTGTAAACTTCGTACATCATCAAGTAAATGTAAATATTCCATCGAACGACCTGATTTAGAATCAAGATAATCCGTAGCAACAAGCGCAGATGATGGATTGATACCTTAAATAATAAAATATAGTTAGTTGTTTTGTTTTTAATATAAAAGAAAACTCATAAATACCTCCTTGTGTGTTAGATCTTTGTTGGGTCTCTGGTGCACGTCTTTTAATTAATTCTAAAAGTGATTCTTGTCCTCGAATAAAATGTGCATGTGCAAATTCAATATCATCTCGTTCGTTTTTCAATGAACCATGTTCAATATTAGATATTTTTCGAAAACCATACATATTTAATTGACGTATAAAAGATGCAAAATTATTATGTTTAAAATATCTTGGTAAAATTTCACGTGAAAATCTTGCTTGATCATATACATGAAATGAACCACCCGATGGATCCCAACTAATAAGATCATCACATGATGCATCATTAACAAGTGCCCATAATTTTGCTAAAAATGCTGTGATTGTATTTTGAGATGATTGACTTGAATGATGAATAAATTCTCCATGGTTTCCATCACCCATATTTGATGATGAAATATTATTTGAATCCATATCTAAAATAAAAAAAAGCGCGTCAGTTTCATTCAATTGCGCCAAAATTCTGAAAGAACTATTTGATTGAACTCATTAGTGTGTGTGTGTGGTAAAATCAAACGTACTTATTGATAATAACGATGAAAATAATTATTAATATATTTTTATATAATATTATCAGTATAAATTTAATTAATAGCTATCCTGATCAACAATGTTATATATGTGAAAAAAGTGGATGTATGCATCCAGGTAAAAGTGATATTAAATCTTGTTCGGATTCAATAAACGTCGATGGTCAAGAAAGCAGTGGGAAAGTTTTTGTTAATGGTGCTTTTAACGGAACAGATTCAAAGAATATTTATGATAGATTGGCATTCGAATTAAATGATTTTGGGACTAATGACGCTAAAATACCTAATACAACTATGCCACTATGGGATAGTCTTACTCGATGGGTATATTTCTTTTTGGTTAATCGTAATAATTTTATTAAATGTTTTTTTTCTAAGGTATGTTATGTATCGAAAGATAAACATCGTGGATGTTTAGTTATGGGTAAAGGTCTTTGTGAAGAGAAGAAAAGTTGGTTAGGACAATTTCCTAATGTTGGAGATAAGATTAATAATATAATAAAAAAAGCCAAAGAAACTATTGGTAACATGTTTACAGATCCAGCTACTTCTACAAAATTAAATGATACACAAAAAATGGTGAGTTCTAAAGCATACGAATATCTATTTATTAAATTGATGATAATTTTCAGAATATTAGTAATTGGTTTGCAGAAAATTATATGAAACAATTAATTAGTAATGAAAATGCTCCAAAATATCAACTTGATAGTTGTTGTGAAGGTAATTTTAGTTTTTTTTTTTTATTCTAATAATATTTTCTATGATTAGGTAATGCTTGTAATAGTTTTGATTTTACAGCAAATAAACCAACAGCGGTACTTATTTTTCTTTTTCTTTTAATTTTAAAATCTGCGAATAATTACATGATTTCAATTATATATTGAATGATTATTATTCTGTTTTATTTGAAAAAAATAAAAATTCTATTAGTCCGAAGATTAATTTATTAGGAAATAAAAACACATTTTTTCTTATAAAAAAAAACGACTTACAGAAATCAGGATTTTCTTGTTTCATGAAGGACATTATAAAATTTTTGACGGGTCACGTACTTCGTCAACTTTGCTCTCGTTTTATATAAATGATGTATATCTAAATACAATGATGAACATTTACATATATATATAAAGATATTTTATTCACAGTCGTAATAATCAATTATCGAGTAAAATAGGGTAAAAGAATAAAATGAACTTATTGACACGAGATAAAAATGTGTTATGACACAGCGAGTCATTGAGAATAATAAATAAATAACGATTCGGTAACTGAAACTACAAAATACTTTATGGACAACCAATCATCTCAATAGACGTAAGCAATAGAGAATGTTAATTACCGACATCTGTTCGAAATAATAAATATGGATATTTTTCTTATTAGTAAGTTTACTAGAATAGAAATATCTATCGGTATATAATTTGTTTACAAGTTACAAATTTAATTAGTAAATGACAAATCTTTTTTCATACAGACAAATGTCCATAATAAATTCATACACTTTTTCTAATCATACAAAGTGCTAAATTATAAATTTAATCAAAATATTTCCATATGTTCTTATTCAGACATAATGATAAATGAACTTCAAAATTTTTATTGTGTTAATTTCAATCAAATCATTTTCTTCTATAATCAATGTCTCATTTAACAGACTATTGTATTTTTTTAAATAACATCAAAGCTTCAATGAAATGTCTATTCGATAAACTGAGCATAGAATTGTCTTTTTCATGTATCATTTAACCACCCGCTAACCATCAAACTTGGCGTCATTGCTCTATTTTCCCATCACTTGATCTCAATAGTCACTTATTCTTCATCCATTAAAATAAAAGTACAGATCAAAGAATCAAAAAAACAATGTGTACTTCATTCTATGATAATGATATTTTCCAAAATAAAATAAAATAAAATAAACTAGATTTGTTATTTTGGAAATAGACACGTGTGTGCAATCGAATTGTTCAAACAAACATGCAATTGCTTGACAACAACGATTATGAACACGCGTCAATATCTATGGTGGGAAAAGAACAAAATGTTCGTTTGTTGGAATTATCGCTGTTTGCTATCTCTCATCGTTGATGAATCTGATTATAGTGGTCGACAAAAAAAAAGCCATCGACAGCTGACCAATACAGTATAGAAAGGAGGAAGAAAAAGATTGAATCGTATTTCTCCTTCCTTCCTTTTTCTCTCTCTTCCCCTTCAAATCGAATATATAAATATCGATAGGAAGAAAAAAAAGAAACGAAAAGGCAAATGACCTCTCTTTCATATTCGTTTTCAATGCCAATCTATCACCACCACCATATTCTCGTTTAATTTTACTATTCGTAATGTTGTATGACTACAAATTCGACCTATGATTTTAATCATTTAATGTATCTACTCGATACAGATAATGTTGATGATGCCCGAATATTACTTAAACGACAAACAATAATTATGCTTAATAATCTTTTTGATAAATTCGATAATGATAACAATCCATTATTACATCGTTATGTTCTTCGAAATCAAGCTGATGCTGTACATTTATTATTAGAATATGGTGCATCAGTTTATTCAGTAAATAAATATGGATGGTTACCAATACATTTAGCTGCTTATTGTGGACAAGACAAAACTATTATACAATATTTACTTGAATTTGAAAAAAGGTAGATGAATATTTTCTTTCATGTCCTCTCCCGATCTTTTTTTTTGCTTGTTATAATTTTTTCTTTAATAAAATATTTCGATTTATTGTTAATTGGATTCAAATGTCTTGGTAGACGACAAAATGAGAGATTTCATTTAATGAATATAAAAATCAGATGTGAATTAAAGTGATGAAATCGTTGATGATAAACAGTTGACAGCTATGTTAACAAGAAGCAGAAATAGCAAAAATGAGTATTATTACACTTATAGATCGGTTTAATAATAGTGTTGAAATTGAAAGCTGAAGAGAAAAAGGTGTTAAAGAATTATTTCGCCTTTCAAATTTTACAAAAATAAGACATCTCCTAATGAACAAAATAAATTAATGTCGGTTCTTGCGCGTATATATATTTTATTTTTTATCAAATGTAAAAAAAATCGAAAACAAATAGTATTTCTTAATTTAAAAGAAAAATGCAAATCAATCAGTCCAGTATGTTATAAATCAATATGTAGAAGTTTAGTTGATGGTAATGAAACACGACAAACAACAGATCTCGGTATCACTTTATCCCAAATAGTATCCTTAAAAAAAATAATCAATAAATTTTATTTTTATAAAAGAAATAATTTTACATTCGGTGGACATGATTTTCTTGCATAAGCTTCCATGAAATAGAAACATGATTGAAGACCAACACCGATTAATAAAAATGCCCAAAGTAATATATTGTATACAACACCTTTATTTCTCGGTAAAAAGAAAAGAAAAGCCACTGAAAATAAATTAAGATAAATACGATTATTTATCTTTATAAATTTACTTACTTCCAACAACTCCAAATAATAAAAACATAACTGGATAAAAAAATCCAAGTGCAAATATCATAACATATTCATGAAAAGTAGCTGATAAAAGTACTACACAAACAGCTGGAATAACACGATTTTTTCTTCCACTAAGCTAAAATAAGAAATTTAAATTCATTAGAATTCTTGGGTACAGGGTTTCCGATTAGGGGGGGTCTAGCCGCTGCAAAATTTGAAAAGCTATCTGTCTGTCTTTCTGCCAAACTTTTTAAAGTTTTGCTGAAAGCTTGGTCAGAAACCTGGTTTTTATGCTATTTTCCGCCAGAAACTCCAATAAAAACACTTTTTTCGGGCAAAATTCCGCAGAAAGTGTATAGCTTAAGTATTTTCTACGTTATATGCGTCAGAAAGCTATATGACGGCACTTTCTGCCATATTTTATCCCCCCGCACTTTTGAAAACAATCGGGAACCCTGCTTGGGTAGTGTTCCTACTATAAAAATTTCTTTGTAAACATATGTATAAAGCCAATCATGTACAACAACATTCCATGTTCGATAATAAGCTGCAAATGAAGTTGAATTCCACCAATCCTATCAAAAAATATATTTCTATAAAAAAAATTTCTAACGTAAAATTTTTACTTTATAAAACATTCGATCAGCAAAACGAAGCATTTCTGCGAATGCATTTAACCAACAATGTAGAAATCCATAAAAACCTGTTTTTTGGAAAATTCTATAGAACAAATTGAATGAGAATCTAATTATTCTTTACCTAACAATAGAAAAAGACTTCCAGGCATAATTGAATTAAACAGAACAGTTATAAATATTGGTAATGTTATTTCATTTTGATTTAAATTTTCAAATGTTGGTACACAAAATCGAACGACAACATAATAAACATAAACGATAGATGCAAATACTTGTCCAAACATTTGTAAAACATAATCCCAATGTATCACTGCAGTACGAGGATATGTATCACAATAAATTAATGTTGGAGCAAATAAAAAATATAAATATTTTGAAAAATCTGGTGAAGTTATTTTTTCTATATCATTATCTTCATTTGAATTTAATTCTAAAATAAGAAAATAGAATGTATATGTCGAAGAAAATTTATAATTTTCGAGCAAATTAATCATGCTTTATGATATAGAAAAGTAAACGGATTGTTTGTATTAGTATTTTTTTTTTCGTTCTAAAACAAACCCATTATTTTATGACATTGTAAACACACTTTCTCGACATTTTCACGAACAAATGAATAGGTTTTCATTAATTGTCGAAGCTAGAGAAAAAATAGTGATTTGTCTATAATATTCTATAATTCTTACTTGTTCAAGTAAAACAATAAGAGATGAAGCAACAGGTAACTGATGTTTAACAATTTCACGACATGGAAGTACTAAGAATAAGATTATATAAGCTATATAAATAGTTAACCATATTGCATCGTAGGTTTCTAGAAAAATAAACGAAAGAAACTATATATTTTAAATGATTTGCTTTATTTTGCTTTTCAATGGTACTATGAAAACAGTTAGTCCCAATCTCGCTGTTCATATTAGATGTTGAAGAGATGTTTTGAAAGTTATGACAATTATGTAGTTGAACTTTATTTGAATAGTTGTTCAATCATAATTATAAAATCAAGAATTATTGATGAATACTAATTATGAAAATATTTTACCATACTAGTATTAGACGATATGAGTATGCATTCAAGTTCGATTACTGGTCACTTTCTCTTGAGTAGCAAATCACAAACATTAATTCTTACTTCAATTCATATTTATGAAGAGTTTATCCAGTAAAATTCACAAAGTATGAATAAAAGTCAATTATAACTTCATAATTCTAAGATCAATATATACAAATTATTAAACGACAGAAATTCTTATTTATCAAGTATCTAACAGATTTAAATATAAAAAACTTTTCCTAATAGTCATGAGATGGAGCTATTCTAACTGTTACTACAGAGTATGAGAACATTAACTAAACACCAGAAAGCTAGACTATCTTCATCGTACATCAGAGCTGGGCAAGTACGGACTTTCTCGAGTACGAGTACCAGCACGAGTACTATTGTATCGAGGGTGACTAAGAGCTTCTGCCATAGTTGGTAGGGAGAAAAATCTATATTTAAACAGTCGAAACAAAAAGACGACGAAAATTCATATCATCCATGCAGCACATAATCACATAGCAACTTTTTATGAAACATAATCAAGAACTCTAAGATCATATCCTCGAGTATGAAAAATAATGCATTCGAGTACGTGTAGGAGTACCGACCTCTCGAGTACAAGTACTTCGAGTACTTTGCCCAGCTCTGTCGTACATTCTATCAAATCAATTGATATTTTTATTATGAATAAATGAATGTTCGTAGTTCACATTCATAAAGGAATTACCATACTGTAAAATATTTACAAGTCATTTCAATAAAGAGCGGCAACCTTTCACACACTACAACTTACAATTTTTATCAAAGAAAAAAGTAAACACTATTCAAGTTTTCTTTTGTTATTCGCGAAATGATTTCTTACTTAAATATTTTGCATTTTTTAAATAAGAAATTCTATTATTAGACCAATAATGAAATCCCATAAAGACCACTACAGATGTACATAATTTCATAATAAGCCAAATAAATAATGCAATATGTAAATTAGCAAAACATTGAAAGATTAATTCAAAATGTAGATTTAATCTTCAATTAAAAAACATGATAAATTATTTTTGTTTATATTGATTTTTACCTTCCATTTCCAACTAAATCATTAATTGCAACTTGTATAACAAATATAATTAAAACTGCAACAAAAACATTTCTTAAACTTCGTATATGTGATGTTTGAAATAAATCAGTTAAAATTGAATTTCGTGCAATAAATAAACGTGTTTTATTCAATTGACGATCTGATGATCTAAATGAAACATATAAATTTTAATATAAATTCAAAAAAACAAACAAATTCAAACATTATTTTTGATGTTTGACATATTTTTGGTTGTCGTAAATCGAAATCAGTTTTAAATGATAGAAATTGTTCATTAACTTCATTTTCAATTCGATGCAATTCATTAAGAAGTGATAAACGAATTTTCTAGAAAAAATATTTTTTAATTAATAAATAATTTTAAAAAAATATTTACGTCAGTTTCATCTTGAATCCATTGTGGATTAGGATTGTTATCTAGGATTAAAATAGAATTAATTTAAAAAAATTAAGAATAGTAACATGAATTACCTATTTCCATATTCGTTTTCGTTTCAAATGATAAATCTAGAAATTCTGATTGATTCTATAAGATAACCAATAAAATAAAATAGAAAAAAATTTTGAAATTAAAATTTTAAATTTTAAATTCAATTTAAAAAAATGAAATTTTAAATTAAAAAAACATTTATTTTGAAATAATTTGATAAATTTCTTGAACAAATCAATTCATTGGTCTTTGTTTCAAATTTTGGTTCAGAATTCAAAAAATCCAATCAGTCATTGAATACATGGCATCAGCAACAATAAAACCTAAAAAGCAATCATTTCATGCAACTAATGTGGTAAAAATTCATTTAATTATAAATAAACAAACATGATTTACATTTCTTTTGTCTCTTATTAAGTGGAATGAACTTGTTTCGAGTTTTCGTTCAAAAATTGAATTAAGAAAATATCGTCGAAATTATTTTACACAAACATATGAACAATGTTTTTCATCAGCCGATGCAATCAATTGTATGATAAATATTCTTAAAATACATCCTAATTTTGAAACAAAACAAATTGAAAAGTTTGTTGAGAGTCTTTTCTTATTGTTTAAAAGAAATTTTTGTTTTTCCTTTGTTTAAACTAGACATCATGCAATTCGTCTATTAGAAAAATTTTATGAATCAAAAGTTTTTACAGATGTTATCAAAACTGAACGAAAAAAAACATTTGTTGTTGAAAATGGAATTTATCAGTAAGTTTTATATCTTTATAGATATTCGTTTGTTGATAGAAATCAGGTGATCCTAATTATGAAAATTTGATATTGTTTTATCGTTCGATATTGGCTGGAAGTAGCGTTAATATTAACTGATAAAGTCCGAAGCAAGGGGGAAACAGCGGACTTCAAGAGACTTTACAGAGTTCATGTAAATAGTCTCCGTTGTTTCTTCCTCGTCTCCTCATGAAATACATGCATTCACAGGAATTCTAGAAGACTTCGCGGGACTTCATGAGGCTTCAGGCATGAAGTTTCTGTTGTGTATCCCTTGGTCCACAGTGACAGTAGCTATAATAGCGGTAGAAAAAGTTACCTAAGTCGAACTTTTTTGATGATGCACTGGATTTTAAAACGTGTTCGTAACACATGATCTTCTTGCTCGAAAAGCTCGATTATGTCATGTGCTTGCTAGAAAATGTTCGACTAAGGTAGATTTTCATAAAAGATCTGTACTGAATTGTGTAATTAGGCAAACGTAATAGCCAAGCTCATGTGTATCTGAGTAGTTAGTCAAGATCTCCTGATGAAAACAATTCACCCGAAGAGAAAACGCTTTATTATTGATGAATTAGTGTGTTTCGTTTAAACACACATAACAGATTTCTTTATATATCGTTCATTAAAAAATTTTAATCTGAGATACATAATATATTTTCTTTATTAGATTGTTATCAAAATCGGATGAAAATGTATTTCAGTCAGTGCTCAATACCAATAAAGTACCTGATCAACAAATTCATTCACCACAAGAATCATCATCATCTGCCATGAGTGATGTAAATTGAATTTTTTTCTTTTTAAAAAATTTAGTTTTGATTGTTTAATATAGAGTTGGAAACAATATTTTCTTGAAAAATTAGAAAAATATTTATTAAAAACACGAAATCGTCACGGTGGTTATCTTCTACATCAAATTGAACAAGAATTAAAATTAATAGATGGATCACAAATACTTTCAAATCTACATAATAATATGCCAACAGATCCATTAACTATTGCAGGTCAACTTGTTGATTGGTTACCAGAATCAATGTCCATTGTTATTAATTGTATGTTTATTTTAATTAGTATTTTTCTTTTAATTATATTATTGATTTCTTTTATCTAATAGTTCCAAGTAGTCTTGATGGTCGTAATTTACCTGATTATCCGTCATTTATTTTTGATTTATTTGAAATGGTTATTGATACATTTGAAATGCAAAAACAATATTTATCATCATCAATGACTATTTTTAATCTCATCATTCAACTTATTGCCAATAAAGGTAAACTTAACGATTCATATTTCAATATCAATAAACATAGACGAGTGTTTATGAAATCATCCTCATCTTCCACATATCAAAAACAGTTATTATTTTTTTGTAATAAATATTTTAAACTAACATCTTCTATTACAATCATAATAAATATTAAAATTCTGTTTTCTTTCTTCTATAAAGGAAATCCAACAACAATGGAAACTCTCTATGATCGTGATGATGGTCGATCAGTATATTGTTTTCCAAGTGAAATCTATGCGGGTCGATCAATAAATAATCCATATACAACTTTAAAAAATCGTTCATGCTATACAAAACAAACATCACGTGTCCATCGTGTTGATTCATATGATTATAAAAAAATTCCTTCACATGATGATGATAAATCATATGGTTTAACAAATCTTCGTCGTAAATCATTAAGTTCATGTGATCTTTTTCATGTTACATCAAAAACATTATCATCACCATTTGATGAAATACACAACTGGCTTAATAATAAATGTAAATAAAATTATTGTCCTAAAAAAGAACAAGTAACGCTCGTCCCAGGACTCGCTTAGCTCTTTCTCGTAGAAATGCTTCTTCTTCACATTTACTAGAAAAATCGGTTTTCGATGTTTTTCTTACCTTTGCACCCTCTTCACCCAATAGACCTCAGATTCGAACTCTCCGCATCGAAATACCTCGAGAAATGTCTTTTTTGAAAAATCGATTTTCGATGTTTTTTTGACCCTGCGGACATACAAGCAAGCAATCAGACAATTTATGTTTACTAGACTCTTCTCTACGAGAAAAAGAATAAATAAAAATTCGTTTTATATTTAGATACAACATCGACTAATCAAGATAAAATGAGTAGTGACGAATTTGAACTTATTCAACTTGCACTTATTCATTTAACAACATCGAATAGACAATATATTTATGTTATTCTTTATTTTTTAACTAAATGTATACAAAATAACGAATTTTGTTCAAGTGATACAACTAAATTACGAGTAAAGATCATTGATTTATATAATAAAATAACATTTGTTTTTATTTTTAATTAAATAGATTTATCGCAGTTTTACAAAATTAATAACAATAAATTCTGATGAAAATACTTGTTTCAATACGATTTTTGATTGCTTTATTGAATATTATGGAAAATTATTTGACATTTCAATGGATACGAAAAAAGCTGTGTCAAGAAGATTAACGAAATTAAAAAAAGAAAATAAAGTAATTAATTTCGATATGAAAAATATTCATACGGTTTTTTTGGGTCAAGTTAAGTGAGCTCCAAATTTGAAGTTTTTCGAAAAATTATAGCTTTTAACTATGAGCTCTTTCTTGTTGAGCATTACCAGTCGACTCAATACAGCCCATAGTATCTATTAGAGCAATCAAAAACAGATGATTACAGTTTCAGGTAGAGTTTTTCGCGAAAACTTTGACATCCGTAAACTCCAAATTTGGAGCACACTTAACTTAACTGTTTTTTTATGTACAAAATGACTTCTTAAGAAGCACCTCTGGTAGCGTATGAATAAGTTTACTTAAAATCTATCAGTTAGTTTCATTCATCTCAATTTTCAATTTCTCTTCTAGCCTGTTAATTTAACATCTGTAACAACAACAAATAAAAAATGTTCTGATGATCGCCAATTGCGTCAAACATTCAAACAAGTAACGTTTTTGTAATGATATTATATAAAATAATATTCATTTTTAGCTTCGTGTAAGTCGTCCATTAACATATAATGAACATCTTGATACTGATGTTAATTCAATGCCATCAACAAAATTTGCCCGTAAACCATTTTTACACTCACCATCACATCAATCAAATGAAAAAACTTGTCTAACAACAATATCAACAAATTCACCACGACGTCGTGCAAGAAGTTTTGAACCACGCGCACATGCAACAACTTTATTTGATAAAACAATCAATCCGTTTCATAAATTACGTGTTATACTTAAACGAAACGATTAAAAATAATTTACATATATAAATATACATATATATATATATTCCTGATCTTATTTGTGTTGTATAGCAAAATATTGTAAATAAAATAAAAAGAATATTATGTCTATTTACAGATTAATTCATTATTTTTCCTTAAAATTAAATACATTAACTAATGTGAATTAATTGGTAGATTTCGAAAATACTGAATCTAATAAATCATTTAGTTCCTTCTTCTAGAGATAATGCTCTACGTTAGTATATACAGAACAATGCCAAAATTTATATAAAAAATTGATGCTGCAACCGGAAGTACAGTATCATATTCTTTTTAACTAAAACTTCCAAAGACGAAATAAAATCCTGCGGCGAAGACTTTTCTCGTTTGTGTATAGCCTACTCAACTACAATTGCATAATAATAAAAAGATGGAAGTAAAAATCGAAACAAAATTGAAAAATATGATTGAGTATCGATGATTTATAGCGACATCACATTAATTTAGTTTCATATTTTCGACTTTTTGTTATTGATTACTTCCGCTACGGTCATATTCGCAATGTTAATTCTTAACCAATAGAAATACAGTTTTAATAGTTTTTTTATTGATTAAAATATTCAACGAATAAAAACGTTATTGAAATATGATTGGTTTATTTTATCAAAATTGACATAACATTTATTGTTTTGTTTTCCTTCTTTCATTTTCTTGGTAATTTCATAGTGAATCATGGCTCGGACAACTCGAAGATCACGTTTTGGCTTGCCGGACGTGTTTTTACAAGAGCCAAAACAACGCGAAGTGAATTTAAAAATAAAAATTTTTATATCTTAAAATAAAATTTGTTTTTCGTGTCTTTGTCTAGGATGAATTAACGGCTGAAACGGTGAAAAATGGTTTTACATTTAAACCTGTTGATGGACTTTTAGAAGTAAATTTTTTTTTTGTATTTAATTTTATTAAAATAAATTTTCTTCTTTTAGCATGAAGGTTTTAAAGGTCAAGATTTTTTTAAGAATGCCGATGAAGGTATTCTGGAATTCTTTCGAATTATTTTACTTAAAAAAGAAGAAAATCATACTATGAATGATAGTACAAAACGAAAACCACCAACGATAAATAAAGCTCACTTTTGGCCATTAATGGTTTGAATTGAATTTAAAAAAACAGATAGAAAAAAATAGTTTTTCATTTTTTCTAGGGTCCACGAACAGCAAAACCTTTTGAACAGTGGCTATCATTATTAGCATCAACAGAATCTCTTGGAAAATTAGCTAAACAAGTATGAGTAAAAAAAATATAGAATTATTTAACTTAATCTTTCGTTATATCTTTAGGTACCAATTATTCTTAAAAAAGAAGATGTTTTTCAACATTTATATGAACACAATGTTTCACTTGTACGAGCATGTTGGTACATTAAAATGTTAGCATTGTATTATAGTGCAAATAATGATTCAAAACAAAAGAAACGGCATGTTGCAACTGATCCATGTACTGAATGGACAAGAATTACAATTGAAATATTAAAAGTAATATATATGCATATCTAGGGGAAAACAGCAGACTTCGAAAGACTCCAAAAGAGTTCGAAAGAGTTCGCAAAAGTTTGAAAGAGTTCGGAAGATTTCGAAAGAGTTTGAAAAACTTCGAAAGATTTCAGGAGACTTCAAAACACTGCAAGAGACTCCACGAGACTTCATGCATGAAGCCTCCATTGTTTCCCTCTCGATATATATATCAATTTTTCTCATCTAAATACCGAATTCTATGTTTTTAGGAAGTTTTTGATCGTTTAATAAAAGAAAATGCTCAAAGTCAACGTGCAACTCCTATACCGGAAATGTCTACAAGTCATTTACCTGATTTAAATAATGATCAACATGGAATTTCTCTAAATTCTGGCTCAATAACTCCTCAATATGCACCATCAACTCCTCAAATGCATCATCCATCACCATCAACAACAAATCCTTTAACAGATAAAACTCGTCGACAATGGGAATATTATAATCGTCTATTACGAATTTTATTTGATCAAGGTTTACTCGATCGTCAAACAGTTGTTGAATGGATTGTTGATACATTTATTGATCGAATTAAACATAATGATGATATTAATCTTCGTTATTTAATTCCAATTATATTTCAATTTAGTAATGAAATATTAGAATATGAAATATTTTCTCGTAAAATTTCTTATTATTGTTGTAAACGTCTTGGTCAATATCATACTGATATAAATCAACCTATTAATTTTACTAATTTAATAGCATGTCCACAACATCGTGTAATTATTTATTCCTTATCAGCAATAATTCAATGTATTACATTACGTTGTCCATCAGCTCTTCTTTATAATAATCCAATTGATGATCAACAAAAATCTGATACATTATTATTAAATTATGGTTCACCATTAGATTTTCTACCCTGTTCACCATCACAACTTCCATTACCAATTGGTATTGATCAACAATTAATAAAACAAATGTTAAATCAATCTGAAGATGAAATACGTTCACGTAGTCTTGCTATTGATCATAAATGGTCAACAGAAAAATTACAACAAAGTATATCAGGTCAAACAATTCAACGTGTACTTTCCGTACTTGAAATACTTGATGAATTTAAAGAAGAAAAATATTTATTAGATAATGTTTATAATAAAATTTATTCCAATACATATAAAATGGAACCAACATCACCTGATATTGAAATTGAAGTTATACATTTAATGTGTGATTGGGCTATAACAACACGTCGACATGGTGTTTATCGAGCATTTTTTATTGCACGTTTACTTGAACGACGACAAAATGAATTAAAAACAATTCGTTTACAAGAATTAAATGAAACAATAGATGATAAAGAAAGTACGACATCATCAAATATACAAATAAATCCATTTCAAACAGCATTAACTGAATATGTATTAAAAAAAGCACCATATATTGATGAAACATCAACAAATGATCTTGATTTAGCAACATCATTTTCATCGTTAGTTATGCTTTTCTCGGAATTTATGCGTTTAAATTTATTTTCTCCAATGCAATTTATGTGTTATCTTGTTGCTTATGCTCTTGTACCATTAACAAATGACAATCATGAAAATAATAATGCACATATAAATACAAATCATAATGTATATAAACAACATATGTATAATAATAATACAATGATTAGACATGATACATTTAATATGGATTCCAGTTATGATAGACGTCAAACAAATACATTAATTGATCTGGATCCATTAGAAACAATGAATTCATCACCATCAACAACACCAAAAACTCATCTACGACAAACATCAAAAATTGAATTAAATAGAAATTCTCATCAAACAAATGAAGATTGTAATAATCAACAAAGAAATCGAAAACGTTGTTTATTTTTTCTTGAACAATTTCCATATCCACTTGAAGATGATTTTCGAGATGATTTTAATCAAAGAAAAATTATTCTTTTTGGTATTACACCTAAACGGTATGTTAAAAAACTATAGATTTCCATGCGATTAAGAATGATTGATTTATTGAATATTGAGGGTGGATGTGAGTGTGGGGGTGGGGGTGCGAGTGAGGCGGGTGTGGGTAGATTCATCTTCTCCTAGAATCACACCCATACCCACCCACCATCACCCACCCACCCTCAACCACCCTCGCCTGCACCCACACTCCCCTCAAAGAAAAAATGTATGTTTTATTTTAGTGATGAAGCAAAACGTCAATTGAAAAATAATGTTCGTCTATTAAGTTCATTATTTAAATTACATAATTGTCTTGAAACAACAATTGAAAGTCCTCCATTTACTCGTCCAACACCATTTGCGTCTTATCTTAAAATTCGAAAATCAATTTTATCATTATCCTATCATGATCAATATTATGTAACGAATCGTGTTAGTAAATTATTAATTGAACGTTTAACAAATTTTATTGAACGTCGCACAAGTCGTTTACCATGGCTTGATGATGTTGCTTTCTTATTTGAATTAATGGAAAAATCTTTAAATTTATATGGTTTAATTCAAACATGTGTTGATATTTTACGTATATTTAGTCGTATTGAATCTATGGGTTCATTAAAAGCAAGTCCAGGAATGTACTGTTATCGATTTGAACTTTATCTAGAAATTACATCTATATTTCGTTTCTATACACCGGTTTTAATATTAATACCAAATAATATGATACAAGTATTTGAAAAGTAAGATTTAATTAATCTTCTGAAAAAAAAAGAATCAAATTTTTTAAATTTAGTCTAATACAAATAACACAACATATTCAAGATCCTGTTCGAACAACATCAGTTGAACGTGCATTACTTATGCTTATGCATGATTCATATTTTTCATGTCCTTATATAAAAGTTTGTTTATCTTAATTTCATATTTTACTTAACAAATTTGATTTTTTTTAAAGAGTAAATATATGGATCGTGTACCACAAATAATTGCTTTAATAAAAAAAGAATTATATACTCAAACATCACAAAATAATAAACAAGATGCAGCAAATGCAAATTGTCAATATGATCCTCATGCATTTTCTGCAATCATCGAAGAACCAAGGTAAATAAAACATAGTTTAATACCATCAATCATATGTATTATTTTTGTAATTCAGAAAAGCATTAACAGAATTTCAACTTGATCGAGAAAAAATTTATCATACAAAACAACTTGATGATAGTCCACAAGCACGAGCAAGTTTTGTTATTAATACATTAATCGCAGTTGCAAAAGCAAAATCATTAACATAGTAAGTTACATTATTAATCTTGAATGTACCATATGTTCTTTGTTTAGTATTCATGATATTGCACATTTAGCAACTGAATTAACATGTCAAGTTGCATCACTTGGTTCTATTTGGTTACTTGCTATAAAAGCATTAAGTACTTGTACTCCACCCAATCGTCAAACAAATGCACCAAATCATGTTAATGTTTTCGAAGAATTACGACGTATTGATGTAAGTCTTTCTTTTTTTTGGAATTAAATCGAAAACAACAAGTCATGTATGAATTTTTTTAGCCAAATGATTTATGTATACATGATAATTTATCAGTTTTTATATCAATATTAATTGCACGTCATGCACTTTCAATCAATGATTATATTATTGTTAGTGTCCAATCTATAATTGCATCGACACCAAAAGAACGTCTTGATCCATTAGCATCACGTTCAAATCCTTCATTATCACGTGTACGTGGTTCAAGTGGTGAAGAAGCGAATGAGCCAGGTACAAGATTTACTTGTGATGTGATTGAACATCTTTTCTGTGCGAATCATATCCCATGGACAATGATGATTTCATCACGTGAACGTCGTTTATTAGCATCAAACTATCGTTTAGTTGCATTTGGTGCATTTTTATGTGTATTAAAATCTTTATTAATTATAAGTCAATCATGTTTTAAAGATTGTAAAGTTTATTATGATCTATGTCGTGAAGCAACACATCGACATAAAGAAAATGATCGTCTTTTAAATGTTACAAATATGGATATAAATCATCAAGCTGAAAAAGAATTTCGTTTATATCGTGAACCAATACCAGAAGAATTACTTGATTTATCAATGCGTGTTTTAAAATTATGTTGTGATCAAGATTGGATACAAGAACGTTGTTTAAAAGAATCGGATACATTATGTAATCAAACAAATCTATGTGATAAATTATTAGATGATGGACAAGCACAACAATTACTTCGTTTTATATGTTATAAATCAACATCTGAATTAACAAAAGTATCATTTGATAAAGGACCTAAACCAATCATATCATCATTATTACAAAATCTTAATCAATGGACATTACGTGCAACAATATTAGAATTGAAATTAATGATAAAAATTCTTGAATATAATATTCCATCACAACGACCACAAGATCAAAGTTTTAATTTTTCATTAGCATTGAAAACACATGAACATAATACAATGCATCTGTTACAATCAATAGCTAGTGCAACTATTGAATTATTTCAACATCAAACTGAAGGAAGATATGGTGGTTCAACATCATTAACACAATATAATGAACACTATGATAGAAAAGGAATTTGGTTAATTGCACCATTAATATCACGATTACCTGATAATGTACAAAGTCGAATTTTACATATAGCTGGTAAATAATCTATCTGACTTCAGTCTTGAATTGAAATATGTTTTGCTCTTTAATATATAGGAAGTGTACTTGAAAATGGTAATTCAATGTTGAATTCATCCAAGAGTAAAAATGATAAAGAAAATCAAGTTTTACGAAGCATATCATTATTAAGTCATCAACCATTTTTATCACTTGTTTTATCATGTTTAAAAGATCAAGATGATCAACGTTCGGGTTTACTTGATTCATTACGTGGACAACTTGAACAATTATATAAACAAGTAAGTTAAAAACTCATTAAAAATCTTTCTATTGAAAAAATTAGGAATGTGAACATTGTTCAACACCTGGAAAAAATCTTTCAAATATATCATTAACAGTCAAACCATCAGGTAGTAATAGTGGTATTGGTAGTGGAGGATCATATCCAGATTGCCGTTGCAATTGTCACAAAACTGATTGGCAAATTTATTCGAATAATCTGGTATTAATCTATATAGATAGAAATCTAGTCGCTTCTTCTCTATATCTTTCACATTTATTATTCGCTTCTATGCACTTATATATATATATATATACATACATATACCTATATTTCCTTGCTTTTAAATTGAGATCGTAATGTTGGTGATTGGAATATATATTTATCTAGTGCATGGTCTATATATTTTTTTGCTTTCTTCATTATTTAATTGAAATTTTTTTCTTTTTGAAAATTAATTTCATTTATTTTTAGGCACCTATTGTTCAAGATGATCCAAATATGAAAATAATTATATTTGAATCACTACAACTTCGACTTAGTCTTATTGGCGGAATGTTTGATACGATTGTTGTATGTTCTTTTCTTTTTTTCCTTCTTTTATTTATACATATATGTATTATTCGTAGCGTAATAATAATTCAGCAATTGAATGGATATCTGTTTTTTCTCAATTGATCGCATCAGGTGTAATTGATACAAAAAATAATTCACCATTATTAAATACTGTACTTGATATGCTTGGTGTTCTTGTTCATGGAATTGCTCCAGCTGAAGGATCAGTTGAAAATAGTCGAATTTATATGACATTAGTACGAAAAATTCGTAAAGATATTGGTGAAAGACGTTCAGAAGCATTAGATGAAGTGAAACGATTTTTACCATTACAAAAACCATCATTTGATATTTATGTTGTTGAACCATTTGATGGTGTTAATAATCGAATGTTAAATCCTGAAATGAAAAAACATGGATTACAAGTTGCAAGAAAAGTACAGAATATTTTTAAAATAAAAAATGATGATAATAATAATTATTGATTTATTTATTTTTAGGAAAAAATTAATAGTTGGGAAATGATTGAAGGTTCAAAATCAGCAACATCGATATGTTATTCATGGTTTTGTGCAAAGAAAACTGAACGTAAACGTTTAAGATATGAAGAACAATATCGTTTATTACTTCGACATAAACATAATCTATTTGATAAAAGTCTTACTTATTTTCGAGTATGTTCTTTTTCTTTTAAATCTAGAAATTGAACATTTCTCTCTTTTACTAGGATCCACCAACTATTCCAACTGAAGCACCAGAACATCCCGAATTAGAAATTGTTAGTGAAAATCGACCACCTATTCATCCTAATCAAATGTCATCAGGTCCGGGATCATTTGTTCCCATGCAGCCAATGCATGGTATGCAAATGCCAATGCAATCACCAATGAATGATCTTTCAGGTAAACAAACACCGACACATATGGGTGTACAATCTGTTCGTGGAACACCTGAACGTAAAATACGTGGACCAGCAGCTGCAACTGCAGGAGGACAACCAAAACGTGCAACACGTATGCCACGTAGTTCATCAACACGTGCTACTACAATACAAGCTCAAGCACCAACAGCCCCGAACATATATGCATCGCAACAAGCACCACCACATCCTACAATGTTTCCACAAGCAAATTATAATCAATGGATGCAATCACAAGCTATACCTGGACCTCAACAACAGCCAATGATGCCTGCATATCAAAATGCACCACAAATGAAACCACAACCACCACAACAACAACATATGATGCCAAATGTTCGACCTGCAGGCGTTGTTCCTGGCCGTCCAGGTGTACAATATACAAATCCAATAATGCAACAGCAACCAGTGCCTCAACAACAACCACAACAACAAGGACAACCACCTCAAATGGCAGTTGGATATATGAATGATCAAACATCAATGATGATGTCATCAGCAGGTGCTAATGCACTACCTCAAAATGTCAATCGACAACCAGGTGCAACAGCTGCAGTTAAAAGAAAATTAAATGATACAACTATGTACAGTAATGAACAAACACAATATGGAGCACCACCTAAAATAGCAACTCAATCAACAGGTAAAATTTCAATATATGAAAAAAAAAGTTCTATTTTACAATTATTTATTTAGGTGGTTCAATACCTCAATATCAACAAAGTCAAGTTATAATGCAACCTAATAACTATATGCAACAAGCACAGCAACAACAGCAGCAACAAGCACAACAACAACAGCAACAGCAACAACAAGTAGCTCATGCACAAATGTATTCTCAAGGACAAATGTCTTCAGGTCCTTATATGAATAATCAAATGCTTGGAAATCCAGCAAAGTAATTTATTAACACGAAAAAAATTTTCTTATCAATTAAGAATTTTTTAAATTTAGTATGATGCAACAACAACAACAACCATCTGTTTATCCAAATATGATGAGTAGTCAACCACAAAATATTTATAATCCAGGAACGGGTAATCCAACTCTTAATCGAACACCAAATCAAACACCTATGTCAATATCAAATCAACAATGGCCAAACAATCAAACAATGAGTGTTGGAAGACAACCACAGAGTGCATATAATCAAGTAAACATTCTTTTTTTTTATTAACTTCTCTATTCTCATATTCATTTAATTAAGATGATGCCACCTGATCCACAACAACAACATTATGTTCAACAGCAACAACAGCAACATTATCAATAAATCGAATATTGTCTGATAGATTGTTTTCATTTTGTTTATTTTTACTGTTTTCTTTTTTGACACAAATACATTTAAATATTAGTACTTTCTTACTATTTGTGTTCTCCGCTAAGCGTCAATAAGCAGCATCTATATACATATGTTGTTATTTCCAATCTATATTTTTTGTTTGTTTGCTCATTGTTGCATCATAGAGAAAAAAAAAGGTTTTCTTTTTAAATGTATATATCAAGCTTTATTTATTGTGTTTATCAATATATATATATATAAAGAAAATATCTCGATATGAGAGAAAGAAGATTGAGAAGGATTCTTTTATTTATATTTTTCATCAAAGTATCATCCTTAATTTATTTTCATAAATTAAATCTAACTGAAAAAGTAAAAACTGGGATATATAATAAACAATTGTACTTCTATATAATATCAAGTAATCATAATGCTGGACTAGATATAGTAATAATGATAATAATAGTTTTTTTACTATTTCTTCATAACTTTTTTCGGTTTTTGTGCTCGTTGTGCTTCAGTTTTTTCATTTTTTGGCATTTGGTTAATTTCTTTGATTATTTCATCTGACGGTCGGATATCAGCTTTAAGTAATTTGTGCATTTGTTCCAAACAAATGTTATTTTCCTATAAAAAAAAAATATTTTAATTTTGAATCAAAAAAACAGTAATTCATTTTATTACTTCAACAGTATTTGATCCAATACAATCGCTTGGAACAATTAATTTCAAATTTCTCATATAAGCATCATTAGCTGTAAATAAAACACATATATTTCCAGCAAAACCAGCTAAAATTATTGTTTCTGCATCTAAATGATTGAGTAAAATATCAAGTGGAGTACAATAAAAAGCTGAATGCTTTGGTTTGAGAACAAAATCTAAATATTTATAATATTTTTTTTAATAACAAAAAATGAATTAATAAACTTTACAATCATCTGGACCAGGTTGTAATAGTTGAGCTAATGGTTTACCAGGTTTATTTTCATTGATAACATATTCAATAACATTATGAAAATCTGATGTCCATCTACCAAAATTATCGTTAACATAAACTACTGGTATACCAGCTTTATGTGCTGCTTCTTTTAACTTAGCAATACGTTTACCAATTTCTTCAGCTATTGGTAATAATTCTATAAAAATCAAAATATTATTCGATAGAAGAATAAATAAATTTATTATATTTGACCTTCGTTTCCTGGAAAATCTAAATGATTAATAACATCAATAAGTAGTAGCACTGTATCATTAGAATCTGGGACCATGCCATGAAGATCGTTTGATTCAGACGCCATTCGTAAAATCTGTGAAAATAATTGTGTTTATTTGCAAAGAATGTTCTCAACAATTTATATACAACTAGGCACGTGGCAAGAAAACGTGAGCTTGCTTGAATAAGACAGAGTCTAAGGACATCTGTAGACTACATATATCTTAGCAAAGATGGAGCAATATGGGATCATTTTTCCTAAAAACTTTGATCAAAAAAAGTAACTAACAAAATTCAATATTAATCGAATAAATAAGGCGCTTTATTCAATTTAAACGAATATTTATTTCTTATTTAATGTCAACTTCTGATGAACATTCTTCTACATGTCATAATTGTGGTACAATAAATACAAATCGAACGATATGCATTCAATGTCAATCGGAATTACCTATACAAACATCTGGTAATATTCCACTACAATTATCCGATGAAAATAATGATCAACAAATACCATTAATTCATCAATTTCAAAATTTATTCAATAATGATTTTGATATTCAATCATTTAATAATATTTTATTACCAATGCTTATTTCACAAATACAATTCGATCTTCCACAACATCAGCATCGTCATCGTCGTGGTCGACCACCACGGCGTATTAAACGTATTACTCATTCATCACATGTACATCGATATTTACCTTCACTTGATATATCACCTTTTCAAACTATTAATACTCCGACATCTCTCATACAACTTTTAAATATCAATGAATTAGTACCTGGACAAGTACTAAATACTCAAGTTCAATCAAATATGGCTCTTGTACAAATACCATTACAATTATTTAGTTTAGAATCAAATAGAGAAAATTTTAATTCAGAAATGTTAACACAATTGTTAAATGAAGATCAAGATATTTTACCTGTAACAATAAATGATATTAATCAATTACCTATATTAACTAGTAAATATTCGTATTTTTCTATATTTGATATATTCAAATAAGATTTTAGTGACTTCATCAAATCTTGTAATCAATCCATCATGTGCTATATGTCTTGAAAATTTCGAACTCTTATCCGAAGTTAAACAATTACCAATATGTCATCATGTATTTCATATAAATTGTTTAACAGAATGGCTTCTTCGTCATGGTAATTGCCCAATGTGTCGAACAATAATTTCATCTACTCAACAAATACCAATCACAATATTTAATGATCAATGGATGCAACAATTATTCTTACGAACATTTCAACAACAACAACAATCTAATACTATTGTTCCATATCATCCAGTTAAAATGGCAAATCCATTACAAATTTCATTAGATACAATAGAGTCTAATCATTCATTATCGTATACTCCTCAGTTACCACGTTTTGATTCATCATCAAATATAGAATAAAGATTTATACTTACCTTTATATGTCTAGAAAAACATGTATCAAAAGAATGAATTTAATAAAATAGAAATTTTTGTTTTAAGTTTTCTTCTTGTTCTATATTTTTCACACATTTTCTTTTTGTTATATATCAGTTCTGCGAACACAAAAATATATAATAGAGACAAATAGTTCATTTCATCATCATAAACGATTTTACGAAAAAAACACGAAACATTTAGGTGCAATGGTGCATGAAAATAAATATATAGATATATATATGTATAAATAGATTCAATCAAAGGATGTTGTTAATGATGATGATGATGATGACTGTAAGAGAACAGTATTATAATGCAGTAGAAAACAGCCAAAAAAAACGAGAACATTTGCGAAAATACAAGATGTTCAAAAACTAAAATTAAATATACACAGAGAGAAAGAAGAAAAAGCAAAAGATAGAATAGGCGGCTCACTGCGAGATGTACTGTAAACATGAACAAAGAAGATATTTAAAAAAAACAAAAAACACAATATTTGATCGTATCACTGTCTATACACTCATAAAAAAAAGAAAGAAAGAGAATACAAGTCACTGTTCTTTCAATGAATATTTCTTTTCTCTATCTGAGTGTTAACATGATATAATTATTTTAAAAACAAAATAAACAATGCTCTCATATATATATATATATATGTAAGTATATATACATATCTAATTATGGCCAATGAGCAGATAAATGAATTGTATGTGTTTGACCTTGAAATTGTTGTTGTTGTTCAGATGAATCATTAGCACTATGTTGTGATAAACTATCTTCGGCATCATCAGCAATATCATCATTTCTTCCATCCTCACCATTCATACTGTGTATCAAATTATTAGTTAAAATTGATAAGGAATTTAATTGTTGGGGTGATTTTGTTAATGAATGATGAATTAAATTTGTATTACGAGATTTTTGATGAACTTTTGCATGACGTTTACGTTCATCAGATCGAGCAAAACGACGACCACATGTATCACATGAAAATGGTTTTTCTAAAAAAAATATTTATTTTATTAATCAATTTTATTTTTTTAGTTTTACCTCCAGTATGCGTTCGGATATGTGTAGTTAAATGATCAGATCTTGAAAATGCTCGAGCACAAATTTTACATTGAAATGGTTTATCTCCTGTATGAATTCGTATATGTCTAGATAAAAAAATAAAAAATAATGAAAATTATTTCGTATGATTTATACCTTGTTAATTCATCTGATCGGGAAAATCTTCTTGGACAATTTTCAAGTGGACATGAAAATGGTCTTTCATGTAATGGTGTTTTCGATGGTCTATTTGTATAAGTTTTTGGTTTAATAAATTGCATTGGTTGACCATTTACACCCGATGTTGGATAATCTTGTGGTTCATCTTTAACACTAGATGATGTTATAGGTACTTGTAAAGTAAATGTATTTGTTGTGTTTGTTGTCCAATCATTTTGTAAAGTTGTTTTTCCATATGAAAGACCGGTACCATTTATATTTAATGTTGGAATAAAACCATTATTTGTTGTTGATGGTGGTTTAACAAATGAGTCATGATAGGACGGAGGTTGTTGACTTGTTCCATATTGAACATAATGAGATTGATCAACATAATTCATTGTTGTTTCTGATGTTGATGTTGATGATGATGATGGTACTGTTACAGAATTTGATACTGATGATGTACTGTTCGATGGACTTATATTATAATCTGTAACACTTGGATTTGATGTTAATAATGTACGTATTTGATCATTAACATTTGATGTATCATGAACATTATTATTATTTGTATCGCCTAGATTTGAATTTTCGGCTAATGTTTTTGATAGAGATGATGATGACGATGGTGATGGTGGTGATGTTGATATATGTGAAACAGGTTTTTTCAATTGAAAATTTAATTGAAATGGTTTATTTTCATTAATTAAACTACGTGGTAATTGCATTGTTGTATCGTCATTGATATCCGATGTGGATGTTGACGATACATCAACAACGTTTGATAATGTTGAATTATTATTTATAACTATTGATGGAATAGATGACGATGATGATGATGAAAGTTCATTTGAAGAATTTTGATGGGATGGTAATATATCAATAGAAGACGAGGAATCTGATAATGGTCGAGGTAGTGATGGTGCTAATGTCTGAGAAAGTACTGAGACACTTGATGATTGCGTCTCTAAACATGTAAAAACATTACGTATTGTTATTTTGGTGTGAGAGTAATAAAAGAAAGAATATATATGAATAGAATGAGATCGATTAGACGTTTTTGATATGCACTGTCAAATCAATAGATGACCGCCTATGTGTATAAATGAGAATGACTAATGTTTTTACTGTAGAGCACGTTTATTTGATCATATGAATGAATAAAAAAAGACTTATATTCATCTCTAATATCTTTTTGAAAACTTCGAAGAAAAGAAAAGAAAAAAGTGGTACGCGCCATTATTTTTAACATAGAAAAAAAGAAAAGAAAAAACATGCCCATATCGAATCCATTATCATTAATTGTTTCTTCAACATTTAGTAAAGATTCGAAATTCTATTTCAATCCATTTACTTATAAATTTAATTTAAACGAACTTAAACCATCTATTGGTGAACCATTTTCTTATTTTACACAAGCATCATGGACAATATTTACTTCATCTATACATAATAGTATTGGATCAAAATCATCAGACATACCTGTTCTTAGTTCGTCAACGGAAATAACACTGAATGAACGAATGATTACAATTGAATGATAATGACGGATAAATGCTTTTTTTTGTCTCTCTCTCTCTCTCTCTCTCTCTCGCTCTGTCCCTCTGCCTCTTTTTCTTTCTTTTCTTTTTTTCTCTTGTTCTCCTTCTTCTTTTCGACTGGTGCTATGCTACTTGATGATGAAACCTTTTCTTTTCGATCGACCCAAAAAAAAAAAGGAGATGTAGTAACATCAATTAAAGTAGTAGAAACGAGCGAATCGTCCTCGTTGTGCTAAGACCTCGTGTCAACAAAAGCAGCAAGCTCAGCGCAAACACGCCCTTTTACAATTCTTTCTCTATCGCAAAGGTGGATTATACACTTGATAGTAATAGGAGTTCAACGAAGACGAAAGAAGTTCGAGGATTTCCTTTTTTTTTCTTCATTCGGATGGTGATCGATCATTTAAATCCGAAGACGAAAAAGAAGAAGAAGAAGAAAAAAAGAATTTAAACATATTCTCAATATGATAATCAAAAGATAATCATTATCTTATCTTCAAATAAAGACACATTGACAAATATTAACATGTTGATGACACAAAAGAGAAGTAAAAGAAGAAGAAGAAGAAAAAAATTAAATTGACAAATACAATATATTACTTATAAACTATTTGTTATAAGAAATACATATTCATTTCAAATAAGATGGAAGATAAGCAACGTTATCCATCATCACACAAAACTACTTGCTTATGTTGTTAATCATTATCTATATCAAGGTTTTCTCTGTCTTTCCTATCCTCACAAAAATAACATATATATATATATATATGACTTATGTCTTGATATAGTCTCTAACAAAACATAGATCAACTCTATCTGTTGTCTATTTATTATTCTGAACTGATTTGTTTTTTGTTGTTGTGTCCTTTTCTGTTTTTATTAATACAATTATCCATAAATACAAAACTATATTAAACAAAAATAGATATTCAAACATATTAAATCTCTCTCGCGCTATTCTCTACTAAATCTGATGACTGACAGGTACGTGATTAGAATGCTAACTTTCATCTTTATTATAAAATAGAAAAGAATATATATATATATATATAATACAAGAAACAAGGATGAATGGACTCGATGAAATCATATTAGAATATGTACAAATAGAAGAAGAAGAAGATAGAAAAACCTTGAATATGATAGACATATACATATATACACTTGACAACTACTAGTGAAATGTTAGATAACATAAATTAACTATATCGACATCTGACATATCCTTATAACATTCATTGTCTAACTGTCGTTACAATTATATATACTCGATTACACTATATTATTGAGAAGAAGAAGAAGAAGAAGAGAAAATAACCGGTAAATATAAATGATAGTTTTAAAAATAGTTAATATTATAATACTATAACGAAATGAAAACAAATAATTGTTTTTATATGTAAATATTAGAAGAATTTAAGCATATCTTTAGTTTTTAATTTAATAAATAATCTAGAATGTGTAAAAGAAAAAGAAAATAATCTTACCCGATAATGTTGGTGTATGCATAGAAGATGGAATTTCATAAAAAAATGTTAAATTTTTTGTACAAGTATTTGGTGTATTTAATACACATGGCGTTGTTGGTTCTTGGGATATATTTCCATTTAAGAGAAGCATTTTATCACTATTAACAATAGAGGGCATATGATCATCAGAAGATAATGATTGATTTGAATTGGATACACCTGTACTTGCTTTAGTCAGATGGTTCATTCTGACAAAAGCAAGCATCACCATTTGATATTAAAACAATTACAAACGATGAAATATAAATATTTCAATTGATTTCTTATCAAATATCTTATATTCCCCAACAATATGATATACCTGACTTGAAAATAAATTAGTAAGACAGTAATACAACCTTGTATATAAAGACCAAGAAAAGCGTGGGTGAAATCAGTATATATATATAGGTGAGCAAAATGTGTCGCGTGTGTCTCTGTCAAATAATAAATAGATCGTCTGATTAGTAAATAAATAAATAAATAAATCTAAAGAATAATATAATATGACGCTTATACCAAAGAACAGAAAAAGAAAAAAAAACAACAATATGATTCATGCATCTTTTCGCTTGCTAATAGTAACCGTAAAAATACATCAATTCTTTTTTTTTTTATCTCACTTTTTTTTTCTCCTTATGTCTATACATAAAAAAAGAAAGGAATGATAAATAAAAGCAGTCAAGCGGTTAAAATATATCTAACTATCATTAGAAAAGATAATTCATGAGGTGACTGACTGATGTGACAAGAATAGCAAACTAGATAATTATATAGAGAACATCAAGATTTTGATAAATCCTTATAAATAGTATTAAATAAGGAAAAAGAAGCTTTCTTATACTATAAAGTTCTTTTTCCACTTAGAAAAATATGCTCAATAGTTGTCGTACTTTTATCAACTTGTAAAAATATACATACATAAATATATATATATATAGAAAAAAAAGAAGAATTGATTCCTGTTATAAACTCGCTTTTGTCTCGTCGACGACGACAACGTTCGTTTTTAACCCGATATTTTTCTGCAACAACAGCGCACACATACACAGAAAAAGAAGAAAAAAAAATGCATTTGCCCTTGCGCGCCTTTCATCGTCCTTTACACACAACTAAATTGCAAAGAAAAAGCAAAAAAAAAGAAGATTGTGAGAAAAAGAATCATCAGTGTAGATAGCACGAGTATTCTCTTCTCCTTTAAAAAAAAGCACATGAATAACCAAGGAGAGTATATTAATTGTTGTGTTTTTTCTTTTTCTTTCCACACACGTTGAGCAATACAACAAAACAGATGCTAAATATTCTTCCTAGAATTACAAATAGAATATCAAGTGACTTTTGTCTTGTTATCAGGTCTGATGAATATATTTAATAGGAAAATTAACACGAATTTATTGATATAAAATAAGATAATAACTAATATTATTCCTTTTTTCTTTCTTTTATGAACAATATAAAATATCAAGTTTTGAAAAAAATGGGCATTCATAAGTTTTCTTTGTATTTTGAATTTTGCTTGAAAATAATAACCTTCATTTATGAATTCGAATGCTTAATTATACGTTATGACAAAAACCTTTTTTCTTTTCTTTCCTACTTTTCAGAACTGAAAAAAATAATATATACAATCTAATTGTTGATTGGAGATTCTAGTTAACCAGTTAAAAATATACTTAAATGATTATGACATCTGTAAGAATACCATTTATATATCTTTAACTTCGAAAAATCTATTTATTTTATTGAATCAATATTCATCATCTTAAATTTAGATAGTATCGAATTTTATATTAAAAATATCAAGCTAAAGAAAGATTTCTATCAAATTTTTAGTGTGACGATAATCATACATTAAATAATCGTCTATTAAAGACGAGCGTTATCACTTAGTCACGTATCTATATCATTAGTTTATAATCAAGAAAGAAAATATAAATAGTCTAATATATTCTATTTATGAAATCTTAATTATTAAAAATTTTCAATTAACATAAAAATAATCAATTGAAGTATTTATTCAATCTACCTTGTTATAAATATTTTGTAGATTTTTTAAACGTCAAAAAGGAAACAATGCGGTCATCGTTGATTTCTCAAGAGTATAAATTAAATTTTTGAATTTAATTATATATATGTGTATATCTTTTATTAGTTCAAAATCTGAAGAAACTAAACGACTAGAACAACGACGTAATCGATTTACTAATGAATCAACATCTACAATTAATAGACCAGTTAGTTTATTCTTTGTATCTATGAAAATTTTATATATAATCATATAGATAAAATCAATCAATGAACCGAATCAACCTTTAATTGGTACATGTGAAAAATTAGAAAAAAATTATCTACGTTTAACAAGTGTAAGTATAGCTTTTATAGACAACAGAATTTGATTCATTTTTTCTTAAGGCTCCTGATCCATCAACTATTCGACCATTAGCAATTCTTGAAAAATCTTTCTCTTTTGTTATAGATAAATATAAATCAAATAATGATTGGTCATATGTTAACAGTCAATTGAAAAGTATTCGACAAGATCTTATGGTACAAACCATACGGAATGATTTTACCGTATTAGTTTATGAAGAAAATGCTCGAATAGCACTTGAAATGGTAATTAGAAAAGAAAAACGTGAACATATTCTTTGAATTTTTGCTATAAGAATAATTAGTTTTTAGAATGATCGTGAACAATTTATTCAATGTCAAACACAATTAGAAATTTTATACGATAGTGGCTGTAATAATACTCATTTACAAGAATTTCTTATGTATCGTTTACTCTATTTGTTGTTACTTAATGATTATAAAAGTAATATTTAAAATTATTTATTCAGTTATTGATATTCTCTTATTTTTATTAGAAGTCAATAGAATTTTAATCGATATTGATCAAGTAACAAAATCAGACGATCTTAATATAACTTTGGAATTCTGTTCAGCATTTCGTCGGAAAAATTATAATCAATTATTTATTCTCTATAAACATTTACCAAGACTTGCTTGTTGTTTAGTAAATCTATTTATTGATATTTATCGTAGACAAATAATTGAAATTTTAATTTGGGCGTTTGTATTCATCGTAAACAACAATTCGAAATTTGACTATTTTTTTTGTTTCTTTTAAAGGTTTCTTCCAACATTTCCAATTGAAATTGTGACTACAATGTTAGTTTATGAATCCAATGAAATTTGTCAAGAACATCTTCGTTCATTAGGTGTAAAATTCCTTGATAATACAATGTTAATTGATTGTAAAACAAGTCGAACTAGTTTTAACAAAAACTGAAAGAGATTAACAATTTTATTACGGTGTTAGATTGATTTATTAGTGTAATTTATCGATAAGATAATTTTTCATTTACATCAAGGACATCCAACATTTTTTTTTCTGCAACAAAAGAATTCTTAAGTTTTTTTTCTTGCATCATGTGGTTTTTAATATATTGATGTGTTTTAACGTTCCGATAAGAATTACTATTGAAATATAAAAAAAGAACCAGTGATATTTGTGATAAATATGAATCATTATGACTTGTTAATAATATTTATATTTTATTTCATATACCAGATGTACATTCTACGAAATTTTCCTTCGTTTTTTTAGCTATAATAATGTAGGAAGTTTTCTTTCTTTTTTTTTCTTCTTATGTTTTATCAGTGAAACCACTTGGATGGCGTGGGCACTGCAGTTTTATTGACATTGGCTCATATTTACCGGGAGAAAAGAAAAAGGCAAGAAAATAAAATAAAACGACAGTGGCAATCTCGTTCTTTAGTAGTTTATAAAAGAAATACTGACTATTTTTGAAAGTTTATGTTGACAATAACTTACTAATTTTCAATGAATTAATGTTCTCAATAAAAGTATCTATCTATTTAAATATTATATCTTTAATAATTGTTCTAAACAAATATCATGCTCATGGTTCATTTAAATTCAATGATGAAAATGATCTAATTATTGGTATTATAAAAAAAATTTCTTTTTTCATAAATGCTTCGTTTTTTTTTTATTCAAAATTTAGATCCATTAGAATTAGTGCTCAATTCAACAGATAGTCAAGGAATCTTTTATTGTAATAGTCGTGTTGAACTAACGAAACAAAAAAATAAATTAACAGCTTCAATTAATCATCTAGGAGCAAATCCACCAACATTTCAATTCAAAACTGAACCATTCAATTCTACGACAATACGTATTGTTATTACACCAAACGGTTATATCGGTACTAGTCGTATTAGTTGTCATTGGGATAATAATATCACTTATGGTCAAACAGTCGATCTGATTATCGGAGGTAGGAGAATAAAAAAAGCACATTTTACAAAAAATATTTAAGGACAATTCTTTATCGAATTGTTTTCTTCAGTTGTGATTCACATTAGCATATTTCAACAATATATGAGATTCTGAATGTAAATTAAATTCGATGAATAGGATAGAAAATTGTTCGATACCTTTTTCCAGGTATTTTAGAGGTCACAGGGCCTGAAAATAATGAAAAGTTTTCTTTACAAATCTTTTTATTTAGTCGTAAGTATGGCCCAGTCGGGATGCATCGTTTTTTTTTCTTTGAAAAAGAATGTTTTCATAGGTTGAAAGTAATACAAAAGGACAGACATTTGAAGAGTCGGCAAAATTTCTCCGAAATATTTCGTAAACTTGAAGAGTCGGAAGAGAAAAGTTCGTTTATTTTACACTCAACATTGCTCTTCGAAAACATTTTTCTTTATTGTTATTCTGAATCATTCTGTAGAGTTTACTTTATGATGTATTGAATGCGCATGGAAAGGATTATTTTGAAGGACTATTTCTATAACTTAATAATAAACGAGAAGCACAAAAGATGCCGTTTTAAAAATACATACATTTTTCTTTATTCAAAATATAAATTCTTAACCTCCATTTTGTTTTTCAAAAACAGTGCAAAATATCTTAGGCATACTTTTTATAGCACAGATAAATCATACTTCAATACATCTATAGAAATTACAATCCAAAAAAACCAACATTTTAACTTTGAAAATAAAATGTGTCCTTGAGCTTTACTTTTATGCATGAAACAAAAAATGAGATTCCTTTTCCTTTTCTTTTCTTTCATATAACATATACTTGATAAAAAAAACTATTGAAAGTGTCATTAAACTGAATTATCATGTAGTTAATTTTATAAAATTCTCAAGAGATAGAGATGCTACTTTATATAAAACTTGTTTTTTATAGAAAAACCTGGTATTATTCAATTAAAAGAACCTTGTAAAGCATATGATTATCGTTATATTCAATGCATATTTAATTCACCTATAATTGCACGTGCATTTCGAAATGGTTTTCCACGACTTTATAAATTTTCTGAATTAAATAATGAGTATATATAATTATATATATATAAAATCTTGATTTATTTATTTAATTTTTTTAAGTGAATTCTCTTATCGTCATCCACCAAAATACGTTAATAATACTAATAATAAAACTTATAATAATGAACTTATCTTTCATTTTGAACCTCGAGATCAAAATGCAATTCCAAAGAAAACGTTAATGAATGTGAATATGTCAATAAGTCGTTTTGGTTCATCTGTGTATCAGTTTTCTATTGAACCAGGTAAACAAAAACGTTTCGAATTATTTTTCATAAGTAAAATTTTATTTCTAGTACATACAACTCTAGTGGATTTTGAACTAAAAGATATCTCATGTAAAAAATTAACTATTCATATTAAGCATAATAATACTAGAGCGTTAAATGAACGCTTATGCTCGGGACATATACATCGAATAGATGATCAGAAAAAAATAAGTGCTATTCGGGTTAGATAAATTATGAATGTATTAATAATAAAATGGGAGATATATTTCTAGGATATTGCAGAAACATCAGATCAAACTATTTTAGTTGATCGTCTTCAATTATCAACAAAATATAGAATTTGTCTTCGTTGTTATTATAAACAAACTGATGAATCTTTTAAAGAAAAAACATGTGTTACAATAACAACAGGTATGTATTATTTTGAGAATATATTTTTATTTTAATTTGTCATGTAAAATTAGATGCATGTAATAGATGGGTATATGTAGTTGCTATTGCTGTCGGTGTACTTGTTCTTGTGATATCGAGTATTGTGTATGTATGAAGAAGAAGGAGGAGGAAAACTATATTTATAATTTTCTTGTTAAAGATTTGTACTCAAATATTATCGTGGTTATAAACTATGCCCGGCTTCATCGATTCAGGGTTCACAACGTGTAAGTTGTTTTTCCTTTTTAGTTACAACAAAATAAAAATTAATATTTTGAAATTAATAAATTACTTTCTAAATACGGAAAATAGTAACTTTCAAGGAATTTAATTCAAAACTGCATAGTATTTTCTCATATGAACGTTTTGAAAAATCATGATAAAATGAATTTTGTGATACAACTATAGAGTAATATATTTTATGTATTTAAATAGAAAGAAAAAGCCTTTCATCATAATTATTTGCTTTTCAATGATTTTGACTTGGTTAAGAAGAAAAAAAAATTTATGAATGAAAACTAACGATCATCAGTAAATTTTATTAGTGATAAATTGTGCAAAACGCTGAATTATAAATATATAAACATTTTCTTCATTGATTAGGATCGTCGCGAGTCTGATACTGTTAGTATTCATACCATTCAACATAGTGAAGATGTAAATATCAGAAACAATCACTTGATTATATCTAATAATGGTTTCTTTTGAATTTCTAGGATCCGTCAATTTATCAACCATCAGAAAGCGAATATCAACCAGGAGGTCCCGAATATCGGCTACTACATAGCGAATGTCTAACAGATGACAACAAATATCTACCAGTAGGCAGTGAATGTACAGGATTATTTCCAAATGAACATGATTTAGCAGAATACAATGAAGATGAATCGAAAGTCGGTAAAACTTCTAGGAAAACAAAACGTGAATTTATCATATTATTATTATTTAGATGGATTTTATAGGACCAACGACAAGTATGCTTAACATTTCGCCAGATACAAGAGATTTGACAAACTCAAATAGCAAAAGTTAAATATCATACACATCATTATCTGATGGAAAATATTTCCAGCTCAAATGTTATTAGTTGATATAGAATGAAAAACAACCGGCGTGTGATTTGTTTTGACACTTCTTATTTATATGTGTATATGTTTGTTATTTTATGCATTCACGTTTTTTTTAATAACAATGCAAAAGAAAAATCAATTCAAAATCTGTAATCGATATAAATCATGCGAATGCACAGTAACAGTTTGACATATAAAGAATACATGGTCATATATAGGTGTATATTTACTAAAGCAAGTATTAATAACGAAAAACGCTCAAGTAGTGACAGCATAAAAAAAGAGAAAAAAATCAAACTGAATTCTTTTTTTTGTATGGATTGATGTAAACTGTATGCCGGAAGAGAGAGGGTGAGAAAAATCGAACCAATCAAGAGTATTATTGATATAAACCTTAATATAATTCTACATATATTACAAACATTTTACATTTATATACGAATATTCATACGTAAAAATATTCATATATACCAATGTTAATGTTAAAGGTGATCGTATTGCTTTTAATCATCTCATCGACTTGTAAGTTATATGATTTATTTCTTTTTTTGACCATGAATATAAATATGAACGATATATATAGTTGTTGATGCACGAGCACTTCGTAAACGACGTCAATTATCCTCATCAAGTTATTATATTTCAAATATAAATCCATATTCCAGTTCTTATAATCCATCAGTTCCATTAACATATCCATCAGGTTCATTTTATAGTGGTCCTAGTTATGGTTATGGTTATCCAAATCAAGGTACTAGTGGAGATCAATATTACAATACGAACTATTATGGTGCTGGATTAGGTCAATATAGTCCAACGTATTCATCTGGAATAGGTCAAACTTATCAATATCAAAATTTAGGTAGTACCTATGGAAGTGGATTAAATGGTTATGGACCTACTGGATTTAACAATCAATATGCCAATTGGAATCAAGGAAATAGTAATCAATATTATACAGGTGGAACAGGTAATGGACTAGTTAATACCGGTTATTACTGGAATCGAAAATCAGGAAATATACCCTTTCAAGGACCACCTATGGATAATAGGAATTTAATGGAATCAGATCCACGTGTATTTATTGAAAATTCACCACCAAATCGTCCTCCAGGCAAATGAGTTACTCAACACTATTTATCTATGACATATTGATTTATTCCATTTTTACTTGCAAAAATTTACTTCATTTAAATGACATTGAACAAATAAACTATCTATTTCTTTATTACGTTGTCAAAAGCTTTTTTTATTCTTTTTTTTGAAGTTAAATTCAAATTATTATTACTATCATTTAGTATAATTAGAAAAGACAAGAATTGTCTACTAGCTTAATTATTTTCTCGTTTAATTAGTAATCGATTCTTATCAATCATAAGAAAAGAAATAACATTCTTTCTCTTTTTACCAATAAAACACAATCCTTACTTCAAACAAATCGATGATTCTATACAATCAATTTCATACGTTTGCCTCGATTGAGAGACAAAAAAAAAAGTTTTCATTCAACATAAAATAAGAAGCAATGACGAACGAATAAAAACTGTATAGACATATAAGGTCTACATAATTATGTTTATTATTACGGTTGCTTGTAGGCATTTGAAGGAGAAATAAAGCAAAGAAGGAGAAAGACCGATGAATAGTGGATGTATATTATTGACGGTATGCATAAAATGAAAAAAAGAATGACACAGGAAGGAAAAAAAAGGAGAAAAAAAATTGTTGTCGTACCTAAGGTTGTACATCTCAATTGGATAGGCGAACTAACGGTAATAGTAGAATCGAGAAAAAAAAATCCTAGAGGAGAATAGAGAAAGAAAAAAAAGCCTCGGTTTAACGCCGTTATTGTCGATGAATATATATGTACATTGAGTGTCATTTGGTAGGAAAAAAAAAAGGCTAGAACTGTCATCGAGCATGACCTCTTATTACATGTGAATAGTGTATCAACATCATTGTCCGTGTTCATTTTTTGTTTCTAATCAAAAAGTAAAAGTCATCTATTATTATATATAGTTTAACAAATCAAAACGATATTATGCAGTGGAGTAATATATTCATTGTTGTACTTCTCGTACAATCATTATTAATTATTGGTAAGCATCTATTTTGTTTTTCAACATGATAATTTCATTTTTCTTTATTTAGATATCGATGGTAATGCTAGTCGTCGTCGCCAACGTCGTCAACGTGGCGATACATCAGGATCATTGTATGGTACAAATTCGAACTTAGGCGCAAGTGCACCAGCAGGTTATAATTATCCTTCAAATACGAATATACAAGGAATACGTATGAATAATGCTGATGCACGAGATAATATGGGTAATCCACTCATATCATCACAATATGCAGACAATTCTTTAAGTAGTGTTAATTATTATAATCAACCAAGACCACAACAAAATCAAGTTTATGGAACAAGTGATCAATCATCATCAAATTCTTTATATCCTGGAAATAACTTCTATTCTCCTAGTGGTACAAATCAAATTCTACGCGATACAAATGGAAATCCTCTTTCATCAGGTTATTTATCAATAATAAATATTAAATTTAAAGTTTTTCTTTTTTGTTTATATTTAAAGGATCCATTGGTAATTCATTTTATTCTTCATCCAATACTCAAATGGCTTATCCACCGAATACAAATCAAGTTTTAACTAATAAAGACCAATATGGTACATCAAATATAAATACTAATCAATATGGTTATAACAGCAATCCCTACGGTGGACAAATGAATAATAATAATAATAATCTGTTACCCAATAGTAATACCTATGGTGGACCAATGAATAACAATAATAATTTGATACCAAATAGCAATGGCTATAATGTGCAAACGGGTAACAATTTAGTACCAAATAGTAATACTTATAGTGGCTATATGGGTGTTAGTAATACTAATAATCGATATAATCCAAATTCTGCTAATACTTGGTATCCAAATAAAGATACAAATACCAATAATAATAATAATTATAATAGTTACGGATATTCAAATCCAAATTCAATTTATTATAACAATAGTTATCAATTAGTAACATCATCTTTAATTATATTTCTTTCATTTTTGGCTACTATGATCGTACAATAAACAATACCAAGACATTTCTTTTTTTTATACAATTTTAACAAAACAACTTCCAATATTGTATACTAACTTTTTATTATTTTATATAAAAGTTTATCCTTGCTCAATAATGAACTTTATAATACAAACATTTACTTTCGTTTTTTTTTCTATTAAAAATCATATAGATCGAATTATAGGATCTATGAATACATAAAAGTTCTTAACAGAACTATGATAAAAATAATTTCAACAAGTATTATTTTCTTTTTTGAATAAGTAGCAAATGCCAAAAGTTTATTTCTTATTGAATGAACTTTTTCTTTGAATGTTTGATCTCATAAAACATAAATTAACTAAACAAACAACTTAGCTGTTGTGTTGATTTGTCCTTGAAGTTTATTTTTTTTCAATCTGATGAAATAACAAAGATAATTATGAATTCATCGTTACAATAATTTGTTTGGTTTTGTTAGCCTATATTATTCTGTAAAAATACTGGTAATTCATTAGTTTAATTGCAAATGTTCATTGAATTGCATCATATTTGAAGTGAAACACATACATTCATAGTTACTACAACACTAACAATGTTAGGATCGTCGACAGTACTTCTCACCAGTTTATTATTCTTAATCATCGATAAATAAAGTTAATTTTATGTTGTACTGATTTTTTTTCTCGAAAGAAGCCTATATGTAACTTCAATTATCATTCCAATAAGAAACCAGTGAAAATCAAGTGACATCGGTAATTGACTATATTTGTTGTCATTATTTTCAGTTTAATGTTTAACACTTGAAAATTTTTATTTTATCTCAATAGAATTTACTTTGATTTTGATCCGTTTCTATTCATAAAAACGTTGTATTCTTTTGTTTGTCATTTTTAGATGAGAATTGTCATTTACTGAAAGAAAAGAAAAACGAAACAAAGTCTCGCGACAGAATATGTTTGTCTTTGTGAGTGAGAAGCCAGTTGCTGTTGCCATCAACTTACTTTTCCTGCCATCGGCACGAAAATATACTTCTCATTTGTTGATGTTACTTTTTAGAGTTTTTGTTGTATCCCTTTTCTTTTTTTCGTTGGATTCAAGTGAAAAACGATGTCTGTGTCGTTCTTTCGTACTTTTTTCTTTGTCAATCATTCACTGATGACAACGTCAAGTATAAAAAAAAAGAGTATAAGAAAAAAAGAGAGATTAAAAAAAGTAGTTGTTACTGCTATGTCAACGAAACGAAAAGCATAATCGACGAACGACAACAGTGAGAATTTATTAGAGATAACAGCGAGAGACTTTTTTATCAGATAGATTTGACGTCTGAATTTGTATTGTGAGTAAAAATAGAATTTTATTTTTCGAATCAAAATTTTTAGTTATTTCGAGAGTAGAAATTGTAATCAGATATTTCGAATGAAATTGAATACTAAAATCTTTTTTTTTGGAATTTTTCATATTTAAAAACAATGTTGAGCATTGTTAATAAAAAAGGTTTTTTTTTCTTATATTTATATTGTAATATTTAACTATCATTATTATGTATTTACTTTTTAGTTTGATTATTTCCTTTAAATATGTTAACAAGTGCTTTATCAAATCCAATGACCGGCAATTTCTATCGTGATAAAGCTAAACAACCTAAAGCTTCACGTTCGAAAAGTCAACCGGGACATGAAAGTCGTATTAGTTTTCTTCCACCCATAAGTACATCACCAGTACGTCCAACGAAAAGTTTCTTTGAAAATCTTCTTCATTTAAAACCATATGGCTCTTTATCAACAGCAGGTGCAATGGATAATCGAACAAGAGTATCAGCTTATGGTACAACTATTATAAGTGATCGTTCATCACGTGCAAAAATGGGACATCATTCAGTTGTATCAGGTTATAGTGCTCATTCAACAAATGATCATATGCCACATGATGCTCGCGTATATTCTTTAGGCATAAATTCTATCTTTATTTTCATTCAATTTTTATTTTAGCCTTTACCAACTAGATTAACATTAAGATTTCGCCGAGCAGGTGATTTAATTTTATTTGCAATTCATTGGTGTAATTTTGCCCGGAAAAAGTAAACTATAGCAAAAAAAGAAGAAAATCAAATTTCTAGTTTTTTTTCTATTGTTCTATTGTTCTATTATAATAGAAATCAGTTACGTTCTATGGAGTATCAATCTTATTTGCAAACTAACGATACACCAGATAAACGTATGTTCGATAAAACAAATTTTAAAATTCAAACAGTAAGATAAAAATTAAATAATATCATTATGTATAATCCATGATTTTATTTTTAGTTAGATATTCTACCTGTTGTTCAGGAATTCTTTAAACAACCAACTGGTGAACGTAATCTTGACAATGCTGATCAGGTAAAAGTTCGATAGCAATCACATAACTGATTTAAACGTTTAATTATATTAAATAAACCACCCTTTTCTTTTGATATTATTCGAAAATAATTATCCAAAATATCTTTTAATAATTCTTCATAATTACTCCTTGATGTTATTTCATAATGAAATAATTTAAATTTTTTTACAAACATTTCTAATTGATCATAAGTAACTTGTCGTGATTTTTTATATTTAATTCCAATTAATGAATAAGAACATATATATTTAAATCGAGAATTTCCAATCAAAGATAAACATCGATCAATAAGATGATTGAACGATATTTGATTATTGATATCATATATCAAAAGTAGACAATGAGCAAAATGACAAACTGAAATCAAAGTCTCGTCATTTTGATATGTCAAATTGATATGATAAAATTTTAAATGTAGTCTTTGTTCATATGATTGATTATCTTGTTTATAGATAATATCTAATGAATTTTTATTTTTTTTTCTTAGAAATTCTTTGATTAATTTTGATTTACCAATATGTTTATCACCGATTAAAACTATATTTAATTTATCTTGTTTATTAATGAATAATTCATCATTATTTCTATATATTTGACTATCGATAAATGCATTATTATTTTTATTTTTTACATGAAACGATGCTAATTGAAATTCAGTATTTTCATAAAACATTTTCTTTTCAATTCTTATGTTACTATGACAATAAATAGTCTTGTTTATTTAGGTTCGAAGATGTTTAGCTGATGTTAAACCATTTTCACGCTTACCAAAAGTATTCCAAGATCAATTATTACAAAAAGCGTGGTATGAATGGTAAGAATATTCACGTTTTTCTTAATAACTAATGAAAAGATGTTTATTTTTGTACTGTAAAAAAAGAAAGACATTAATGAACTCTTGTCCTTTGTATTGTGTTTATTAAACCTTGATAAGATGAGAAAAAGTTTAAAAGTTTAAGTAAATCTTGAAGGTTTAAACATTAAATCAAAATAATATAAAAACTGACAATTTTTTTTATTTCAGTTATCCTGAACAACGTACAATTATACGTCAAGGTGAACGACCTGCTTATTTTTATATAGTTTTATCCGGTTCAGCTATTCCAACATTTAAACGAGAGAGTGATGGTAGCGTGGAAACATTAGATGTTTTAAAACGAGGATGTACATTTGGAGTAAGAGTATATAATTTTATTATAAAATCTTAACTTTTGTTTTTATTTAAGGATCAAAGTTTATTAAATGATTCAAAACAATATTATACTGTTATGTCAAAAACAAAACTTGAATTATTAGTTCTATGGAAAAATGTAATACATACATACATATATAATGATGAAGTTATTTTTTTGTATGTATAGGATTTTAAATCAATCTTTGCCACAAGAGATCGACATTGTAGTAAAGCTGATTTACGATATTTAAAGTAAAAACAAATGTTTTTTTTTGCTCTTAGAATTATTTTGTTTTTCTTTTTAAAAAAGAAATCATATATCGTTTTTACGAGGTTTTCCATTAGACCGTTTGAATGAAATTCCAAATGGAATTCAACATCATCATTTTGGGTATATAGATATTTATTTTTAAATTTGTTCATTGTTTTTTTTTGTTCATATAGATTATCGGAAATAATTGCAAGAGATAGTCGACGTATGAAACATATATTTATTGTTAAAAAAGGTTCACTTGATGTATGGAAACGTCTTGATCCAGTTGATAATAATCAAGATTTAACTAAATCAACACTTGAACGACTTGAGAATGAAAAAGGTTTGTTTAGATTAATTTTTATTTTTGTAAAACGAAAATTTTTATTTTAGTATATGATGATCAAAATGATTTGACAGGAGATTCTCGAGCATTATTTTCTGATATTCGTCTTGGTGCTGATAGTAGTGGATCTTTAGCAAATGCACTCGATGGTGCTACTCGTTCTAATCATTCACTAGGTGAAGATCAACGAGCTGCATCAGCAGTATCAACAACATCTCGAAGTATTATTAATGAAGATAAAGTAATTTAATTCATTTTTTTGATTTTATTCTATTCTATTTATTTTATTATATAGAAATTTCCTGGTTTAATTGATAAACGTGATCGAATACAATTAATTGATTATGAAGCATTATCAATAAATAGTACTGGAACAAAATTAACATTAACAAATGCATTATTAAAACAGAATCAATCAGCAAATAAAGTAAAATAAAAATATTTTTAATTAATATTCAACCTTCTACTTCTATAATAGGAAACTGTAAGACGAAAATTAGCTCATCCTGATAAAAGAATTTATGTACATGTTAAGACATTGAACGAAGGTCAACATTTTGTACGTATAACCTTGCGTTGCCTTTTTTGCGCTCTATAAATATGATTTAATTTAGGGTTTGACGGATATGTTATTTCCAAATCAACCAGCGTTAACTGTAATTAGTAATGAATGCGAATGTTTTCTATTAGATAAAGCATCTTTTACACAATTTGTAACTGATCAATATAAAAAAGTTGTTCGTCGAACAGAAACACCATTTCCAAATGATGTTGCATTTGATGAAAAATATCATAAGAATGAAGTTTGGAGACGTTATTCAAAAAAATTATATTTGGAAACACTTGATCGTCTTAATCAACGACATCCAGAAACTATTAAATCATCAGTTAATATTAATGAACCAAAACATTATCAACATCGACAATCGATTCTTATTGATGCTATTTAAAAAGCGATTCTTATTATTTTTTTTTTTTCTGTATCTATTTTACTAAACATAAAATATATCTATATACATTGATCGTAAGACAAAAAGCTGTATTCTTTTCTATTAAAAAAAATAAATGGTGATAATCTTACTGAATAATTTTATCGATTTACTCGCTTTTTTTATATGATCAGATGAACTGATTCATTGACTTGTCGGATTTATTTTTTATTTGATACATTCATTTGAAATATATTTTAATGACAGATGTGAATAAGCGACCTCTGCGAAAAAAATGACTATGTCACTTGGTTAGTCAGTGAATGAATCAAATGATTTTTTTATTTATTTCTTCTGTTCTATTCTCTTTTTCATTCACATTGTCATTGTTTTCTTAGATTCTTTTATTAATGTTATTCTAAACGAATAGAACTGAATGTGAGAAAAAGAAGACGAAGTGTTTTTTGTTTTATCGTCGATTAAAATCATAGTCTATATATGGAAATCCATTAAATAATTTCACTTTTCGTTCTCTTGTTTTTTTGTTATGCAGAATTCGAAGTACACCCTAAAACGTGAATCATATTATTTGCCATTTTTATTATCAGTACATTTTTACATATTAGCATACATGTATCATATTCATTAGAATGTAAAGATAGACTTGTCTTTTTCTTTTGACATGAATAAGCATTCGTACATCGACTATTATCATTCATTTCATTTCATTTTTTCGTAGAAATGGACGATCAATTGAAACGTCTCGAAGCTATAACAAGTCGACTAGAATCTGTTGTTCATCAAATCTCACCATCATCTGCTACTAATGGTCACTCAAATGGATCTGATAATTCAACAGATAATATCGATCATTTACCTATATTACATGATTATAATTCATTAGTTAATGATTCGGTTAAACCATTTTTAGCTCTCTCAAAAAAGATTGATGGAGATCTGACAACTATGAGTGATCATGTGGGACGTCTTTTTGAAGCTCAACAACAATTTATAAAACAAGCTGTACAAAGTAAGAAAGGAAATGATCAACAAATTATGGAAGCAATTAAACCACAATCAACTGAAATTGAAGCAATTACAGGTATGATTTATAAGAAACAAAGAAAAAAAGATTATTCAATCTTTTTATTTTTCAGCTTTTACAAGCAAAAATCGTAAATCACCATTATTTAATCATTTATCAGCAATTTCCGAAGGTATTCCAGCACTTGGTTGGATTCTTGTTTCACCAACACCTGGTCCACATGTTAAAGATATGACAGAAGCAGCTCAATTTTATTCAAATCGTGTATTAAAAGAATTTAAAGACAAAGATTCTACTCATACCGAATGGGTTAAATCATGGACTAAAGTATTAACTGATCTTCATACTTATGTTAGACAACATCATACAACTGGTTTAGCATGGGCATCACAAGGTAAACGTGATTTTGGTTCAGTTAATGTATCAACAAGTAAACCTGCTGCTGGTGGACCGCCTCCTCCTCCACCACCACCACCACCACCTCCACCAATGCTATTCGATACAACTCTTAGTGCACTTGCTGCTGATAATAGCCGCAATGACCTATTGAATTCTATAAATGCATTAGGTCAAGGTGCAACATCTCATTTAAAAAGAGTACCTGATGAACTTAAAACTCATAAGAATCCACAATTAAGACAAGATGACGATGGAAAGAAGGGTGGTTCACATTTCGTCGATGGAAAACCAGTTGTACCACCTAAACCTGGTAAACCTACGTCTGCACCAGCATCTGCTAAACCACAGGTAAATTAATCTATATATATTTATGTAATAAAAATATTCTTAATCTTATTTTAGGCAGTCAATATATCAAAATCAAATACAAGTGGACCACCTAAATTAGCTCTTGAAGGTAATAAATGGGTAGTTGAATATCAAACAGGTAAATCTGATCTTCGAATAACAGAAACAGAAATGAAACATACAATTTATATATATAAATGTACAAATTCAACAATAATTGTTGAAGGTAAAGTTAATTCAATTGTACTTGATCAATGTACAAAAGTTGGCTTACAATTTACATCAGTTGTATCATTAGTTGAATTTATTAATTGTAAAAGTATGAAAGCTCAAGTTATTGAACGTGTACCAACAATACAAATTGAAAAAACAGATGGTTGCCATATTTATTTATCAAATGTATCACTTGATACCGAATTTATAACATCGAAATCATCCGAAATGAGTGTTAATATTCCATTTGGCGATGGAGAATATAAAGAATATCCAATAGCTGAACAATTTAAAACATATTTAAAAGATGGAAAACAACTTGTAACAGTAGCAAATGAATCTGCTGGTGTTTGATTCTATTATATCTTAACCTCTTTCTTTCTTTTTCAAACTTTATATAACATAATATATACGTGATTTTTCTTTTTATTTGTATCTTATTCTATTCATTTATTTCCAACCTATTTACGCAATCAAAATATTTTTTATGCTTTCTTATTCAGAAAAAAAAAACTTGTAAAACTAATTCATCAACGCCTGCTTATTTTTTATCTTTATTTAACTAGTGACATAAAATGCTTCTGGTATAAAGAGTAAATATACTAAACAAAAAATAGAATTGTATATATTTTGTTTATCCTAAAATAGACTGATGAATGATAAAGAAAAGTAATGATCGAGTCAGGGACACGTATTATACTTTGTGATTCATAATGACTAATTTACACGATCGAACGATATAATCAACAATGTGTACGGATTTGATAGCGAACGATGAAAATAAACAGATGAATTAAGAGAGAGCGGGTCTTATTAGCTCGATATTTCATATATGTATTAATACGTTGTCAGTTGATTTGTTTTTTCTTTGGTTAGTACAAACCAAAACATGCAATTTGATGATTTCTATCAAACTATTGGAACATTTGGTCGTTATCAAAAAATGAAATATTTCTTCATATGTTTAACTTATCTTCTACCTCCAATAATGGTTTATACATGGACATTTACAGCGGCTATTCCATCTTTTCGTTGTCAAATATCACCCGACGATAATTTTGATCTTGAAATACCTAAGCAAATTTTAGAACGTTATGTACCAACTGAATCTCAATGTCGTCAATATAAAAGTAAAATTTCTTTGAAAGAATGTCAAAGATGTTATCAAAATATCAATAAAACTTATCGTTATAATGAAAATAATGAACCATTAAAAGCATGTACTAGTTTTGTATTTGATCGAACATATTATGAATCAACATTAGTTGAAGAAGTTAGGATTTGTTAAAAAAATTAACCTTTCATAAGAATTTATTATATTTAGTGGTCTATGGTTTGTAATCGATTATCATTTAAAACTTTATCTCAAACAATTTTTTTCTCTGGTTATATGATTGGTTCACTTGTATTTGGTATTTTGTCGGATAGGTATTTTTAATTAATAATTATAGATATGAATAATTCTTTACTCTTTTTTTTGTATTAAGATTTGGTCGGAGACCTATTTTAGGTATTTCTTTTTTTATTATTACTTTGGCTAGTTTTCTTTGTGCATACGGACCACAAGAAGATCTTGGATTTGATATAAGTTATGCACTTTTTGTATTTGGTCGATTTTTACTTGCATGTGCATCTCGTGGTGTAGCACTTACTGCTTTTGTTATTGGTATGTAAAAAAAGAATTTCTATTGATTTATATACTGAGATTTCTTTCTAGGTGTAGAAATTGGTTAGTTCATAATTTTAATTCATATTTTTCTATGTCAATATTCATTTATAGTTGGACCAGCACAACGTGTGTTTAGTGGAATTGTTATTGAATATTTTTTTGCTTTGGGTGAATTAATTCTTTTAGTATTTGCATATATGTTTCGAACATGGCGTTTATTACATGCAACTTTAGCTGTATTATCAATACCATTTTTATTTTTCTATTTGTTAGTTATACAAAACGTAAGAAATATTTTTTTGTTTATTATATTTTTTTAATTTAGTTTAATACCTGAAAGTCCACGTTGGCTGATTTCGAAAGGTTATTATGATGAAGCAGAAAAAATTCTTTGTCAAATAGCAAAAACAAATAAAACTGAATTTGATTCAATAGCTTATCAACGGTTAAAAACTGAAGAGAAGAAAGTAATTAATTATTAGACAAGAAAAATCAAATCATTATTTTATTTTCTAGAGAAAAGCTTTCAATTCAGTAAAAGGTTATGGATGCATGGCTCTCATTCGATCAAAAGTCATGTTGATCATTGCTATGAACATGTCATTTCAATGGTATTTCTAAATCAAAATCTTTTATTCGTCGTTCAACTATTTTAAATCATAGGTTCGTACAAAATCTTGTTTTCTATGGTATTTCACAAAATACGGGTAAAACAAAATCAATAATCGTTATTTTTTTCTTCTTCTTAAATAAAATATCAACATTCTTCAAGGTACTTGGTTACAAAATCCATATATATCATTTGCAGCAGGTGCTTTTGTAGAAATTATTGCGTATGGTATTGTTCATCTTGTTCTTTATCGATGGGGTCGAAAGATAACTTATTGTTCGTTTGTAATGGGTTTTGCAACTTCTGCACTTCTCGTTGTACCTATTCAAATGTTAATGATCAAAGGCAGTCGCGGTATTTATTTATTTTAAATATGATTTGTGTTAATGAAATATTTTTCTTTCTATTAACAAAGGTCAATATGTTCTTATGTTTATAGTCAATACTATTTTGAAATTTTTTGCATCTGGTTCTTATGCTATAATATATATTTATGCTAATGAATTATTTCCAACACAAGTACGAAATACAGGTATTGGTATTTGTTCGATGATTGCTCGTATGGGAGCTATTGTTGGAACATTATCAACTGATTTCTTGGTAAATGAGATTTATATCTTTTTCTTTTTTGTTTGTGTATATTGAAAAGATTGATTTAGACTCGAGTATGGTTATATTTTCCAATTGTTGTCTTTGGTGTTGCATCTACAATTGCAGTTATATTTATTACAATTTGTCCTGAAACTCTTAATAAACCATTACCTCAAACAGTTGATGATGTTGAAATTATGGGTCTTGCTTTGTAAGTGATTTTTTTTTTATTAATAAAATAAATAATCTTTATTAATTATATTTAGTCCATTGGGAAAATCAAAACCACTGACACGTGTAAAAGTTGATGTTAGTGATGATGATGATGATTCAGATGAAAATATATCATTAAAACAACAATCAAAACATGATATTGCTTCGCTTTAATATCAAGAATTTTTTTTCAAATTTAGTTTCGATTGTAACAGTAGATATATAGGTTGATTTTTATAGTGAAATTCAATGTATAGTATATAGTTTTATTGAAAGATTATTTTTTGATTCATAGTATATTTAATAAATCAGCAACTTTATTTTCATGTCGTTTTTATATTATTCATATTGATATTATTTTACAAAAGAATCGATTCCTCACATCTCTTTATCTTGTTCAGTAGCGCATATAACTACAATGATTGAATATATCTATAACATATATTTAAATATAAAGTAAAAATGCAAAAAATATAGTTGAACAAGACATATATAAAGCTGAAGCTGCTCCCACATGAGATGCTAGTGTTGTAGTTAAAATTACAGATGTCATATTTGCCATAATTATTGAAAAATTATTTCGAATAGGTGGCATCTGTCCAATACCTGGTCCCATCTCACCACCACCTACTGCTGCTGGTGTGGCACTTGAATTTACACCAACAGTTACTGCTCCACTATAATTATTTGCTGAATTTTGTATTATTGACACAATTGTAACAGATCCATTTGCTGATGCATAAATACCATCTTCTGAATTACGTGTACGTGTTATTACATGTGTCGAATAGGGTGACATCGTTGCTACTGAATCTGTCAATGTATCATTGAAAAATAATTGACCAGTATGAGATACATGTCCACCAGAATATGTTCCACTTGAATTACTTGTTACATTCGAACCAACATGTACTTTCATATGAATATGAGTTGCTCGACCTGAATACCATCCCGGATAGATTGTATCAAATATAGCTATACCATTAGCATTTGTTAAAGCAAGTCCTATAAACAATAATCAATATTTATATATATTTATGAACAATGTACATAGTTTGATGTGAAATAAACATACCTCGAAAAAATGTTTCATTATCATTTCCAGTACCTGCAATACCTTGACTAGCTGCAATATAATGTGAATAGATTCCAACTGCATCACAATGCCATAGATCAACTAATGCATTTACTAATGGAGCACAAGTATTCGTATCAATAACAGATATTGATAAACGAAGTGGAATACCAGCTTTTCCTTCTCTATATATTATAATCATAATTATCAATAAGAATATGTCATTTAATATACTAACGTAATATTTTGTCGGATAGTAGCATTCCAATAGTAGGGTCCTTCAGTCGCTTGTGGTGTGAGAAAGCATATCGATGCTCGAGAAAGTTGACGTTTACATCGAGCAGCTAGATAAAAGATAAAGTTGTAATATATAAAATAAATCGTATGCAGAAAACTCTTACCTAAATGCGGTAGATCATCCATTTGAACATGATGAAAACAAATAGAAAGAAGAATAAGAAGTTGAATAAACATCATAAATAGATGTATTAAATTTATATATATACTAGTAAAGATCTAAGACAAAAAAAATAGATAATGAATATGAAAGGAATTATTTGCATTGGATTTTTTCTAATATTAAGGTATATTGAGTAAAAATCATTTCATGACAGTTTTTGATGTGAATAATCAACGGTACTCCTACTTGCCAAGTGTAGTCGTTGTTTTGTAATGAAGAAAAGTTTTGTACAAAAGATCGGTTATATATTTATATATGGACCCTTCCAGTACTCAAATGTAAAAAGGACATACTATAGCATGTAAACGCCTCTGCCTATATTCGTCATAATCGATAATATATGAGATCAGGTATATAAAAAAAGGACGATTATATATAAGTATAATCAAAAAGTGTTAATTTCTATTCATTCAATACAAAAACAGTACGTAAATAAACTGACTCTAGTACTATATGAATCATCAAGAAATATCATGAGTACACCTCCATTAACGAAAACATGAATAATCGAATACAACATATATATTTAGAATAAAAATTTTATTTAAAATATGAAAAGAATTATTTTCAATATGATTATTATTATCAACAAGTTTTCTAATTGTAATTGTTATTAAAACGAATATCGAGGGTATTCTAGCACGTGTTATAAACAATTATAAAATTTTCCAGTAATTTTAAAATATATACTCATTGGCTTGCTGTCTCGATGAACTCATGTCATCAGAGAGAATTTTCTAATACAAATATATATTATTTATTTTCAGTATCTTTTTGAAGTTTTCTAGATCATAATGGGTAATAATACTTATGAAAATTAATTTTTTATGAGTTTCAATAAATAATAATAGAGCAAGTGATGTGTTAATGAAGTCCAAGGATCATAGAGGAATGAATCCTTTCTATTAGGATTCGCCAAAAATCTTTCATCTAATTTTTTGTCTATCTAGAAAATAAAATATTACTATTACATGTTATACAATAGATAGTTCTCCCTATATAAAAATTTTTTCATCATATTCTTGTTATATTTAGTAACTACACGAAAATATCGTGTACATTTTTTTTCCTAATATTGTTTATGTTCAATTATTTTTAACTGATTTCAAATCTCAAATCAAGTATGTCAAAAACAGATTTCAATATAAAAATAATTTTAACGCCTTGCTATCATAAACACACTCATATATTAGTCGACAAGGTTGAAGAATTCTTTTATTTACGATAATATATATTGTACTCAGAATAAACTAATTTTTCTGACAATTGTAATTATCACATTACAATCTCTCTCTAGGTGTATGATCCGATGTGTGACAATTCTATTTTGGTCGATTGTGTCAAGTAAACGTTGTTTTCCTATATATATTCTTGATAAAAAAAATATTATTTCAAAAGTTAATTTTGAATCGATCAGTCGAAGTTTTAATATATTCTTCGTCATCTATTTCAGAGCTCAAACTATTAATGAAATTCTTTGACTTATGAATATTGTTTTGTGTTTAAAAATTACTTCGGTTATTCACAAATCTGATATTCAAAGCCTGAACGAAAACATGAAGAATGAAATTTCTGATAATTAAAACAGTTTGTAATTTATATAACGTACGATGAAAATATTCTCATATTCTACAAATTAATACTGACAAACTAAATTAGTATAAAATGACTGATACGAATGTCATTTTTCTTATAGAATAATTCAACATGACATTAGCTTTGCGCTGACTTTTCATTATATATAGTATCTCTGTAGGTTACAAATAAATCATATATGCTTGAAGTTATTTTCAATATATATCTATATTAATATTTCTATGCTGTTAAAACATATTGTGTCTGATAAATTTATTATTTTTTTTTAATTTTAAAATTTTCTCTCAATTAACATTGAATTTATTTTATTACGAATCGGATGTTTTGTTAATGGTTGTGACCATGATAATGATCGTTCAAATAATTGTTGTCGTCGACTTTGAGGTGATCGTTCATATTTAACGATTTCTATTGGTGGCGGTGGTGATGACGATGTTGAACTATTTCTTGTTCTTATTACTGTCTGTTGTTGCTGTTCTTCTTCTTCATCGATAGATTTTAATTGAGTAAAATATTTAGTTATTTGTTCAATAACCGATTCAATTTGATCATCAAGTGATCGATTTGCTAATGAACTATTTAAACGTGTGAGAATATCATTAAGAATTTGTTTATATTCAACATTATCTGTTGACCAATTTGATTCAAATTTATGTAATATATCATTATAAATACTTTCACATCTTAAATCTATTTCAATATGACGATAATGATAAATACAAGCAAGAATAATTGTTTTACATGTTCGTTCTTGTATATCAATAGAAAATGTTGGATGACGATTATGATATTTCTTAATTAAACGATGAATTTCTTTATCAGTAATAGTTTGTCTTGCTAAAAAAACGAAAATTATTTTATATAATCCATAGAAAATTTATTGAAACCTTGACAAAATTTTTCGTGATATGATAATTGTTGCATTTTGAATACAATGATTTTGCTCTGTTACTCTTTGTACTAGTAAATATATATAAATTCTGTTCTTTTTCTTCTTCTTTATTTTGTATGCTATTCAAGATTCGATTTTGTTTTAATATATACAATATTTGTTTAACTGAACTGAATACACATTTTTTGATAAATAACCATGAGCAAGGTAATTCTTTTGAAGAAACCGACATGATTTAATCTATTAGAACTATGTCCTGTGATGCTCAAGAACAATTAGAGCAAAATATTTCTTTAATCTCAAGAGTGCAATGTGAATATTGAATAGGAATAATACTCTTATCAATTGTAAGAAGATTTCATCACATTCACTTCTTTTATTATAGAGATAAAAATCTATTTCTTTAGCTTAAGCAAAATTCTTCTTTGTTTATGATAATCTTGTACTTACATAATATTTTTCAAGACCGGAAATAATTCTTTGACAATATATATATCATTATTAAACAGGCAATTTTTTTTTCTTTAGAATTTTTTAACCCTTTCAGATCTACTGATGTATATATTCATTTTGAAGTTCTTTGTAATGACATTAAATCAACCTTGAAAAGGTTAAAGGATATATTCACTTCAATATCATTTTTTATATTATAGCACTCAGTTACCTTATTTTATTTTCCGGATTGCATTGACACTTTATATATATATATATATATAACGCCTCTCTATTCAAAAAAAGGCTTAATGCTTTTTTTATGAATTATAATGAGACATTCATCTGATTTAAAATATTTTATTCATCATTCTGTTATTAATATTTCAATACAAACTTTGTTTATTTTTAGAAAGTAGCATAACACTGTCTAGCAAACAATTCTTTAATTTCATAAATCATATCTTCAAGTAAGTTAATTTTTTGTATACCAACTCTTTTAAAAATAAACTGATGCTAATGTTATGTTTTTAAAATAACATCTGAAATATAGTCATGTTATTTCTTACAGAAAAAAAATTATTTCCTTAGATTTGCTTTTAGTGGTATTATATATATATTAGCATAGATGTGAAATAAATTCGGTAGATTGTTAAAAATTATTGTAGATATAATAAATAAAAGTAATTACGGAAGTATGAGTAGGAAGAAAACTATTCCGGAGAAAAATAATATAATCTTCTATTTATCTGCAAACAATTCTTTTAAATAAATATTAGGTTCTTCTTCAAATTTTTATTTCATAAATTTTCAGATGATTATGAATAGCTATATTAACTATTATTCTTGTGCTATATATACTGCGAGAAATCAGCAAAGATATTCATGTACCCACCCATAGGGGTATTTCATATTAAAAGGACAAACCAGTCTGTCAATCTTTCTTTGCCTTGTTGATAATAAGATGCGGCTTTATTTCGATTACTCTCGTAAACAATTGTTGACGTCATAAGTTTGTCTATAAAATAGAAGACTCATATTTGGCAATGAACTTTTATTGCTAGACTCATTTATCGGGCATCATTCCGGTTTTTTTTCCATTGACGAACTCTTCGACGTCTTTCACCTCTAGGCTATATATAACAATGACAAACATATGCCAATGATAATAATAGCGAGAATGATATGAAAACAAAGGCAGTTGCTAATATATACATAATTCACCAGACAAAATCATAGTGACGATTTAAATAATATATATATGTGAATAACAGTAGATTTAAAATTTTTATAAAATATTTATTAAGGTTTGATAAGTAAACTTTTCGGTAACAAAATTTTTCTTGACGAGAAAGGTAAGAAATATTTTCATTTAATATTTGATGAAAAGTAAGAACAAAAGATATGTCGATCGAGAAAATATCTAGAATACTTAAAAACTAAGCAACAAAGGTACCTACATGACAACAAAACATCAAAGGAAAAGAAAATGAATTAAAAACTAATTTAATATCCATTTATTGACATGAATAGACTAAGATTGATGTTATTGATGAATGAAAAGAGAATTCCTTCCGATTAGCATTTACCCAGGTAAATTTTCATAACCAGGCATATATATATTTAATCTAACAAAAATGAATGAGGTAAAACTTTGTTCTTAATAACAAAGAAAAGTTTAAAAAAACAATCGATTTAATAATAAGAAATTTTTCTTTTTATATTCATTGCTATGCAACTCGTATGTCGACAAGTAGATTATATCTTCCATATAAAGCTTATAGATAAGATATACACAGTTGTTAATGTTGCATAGCTATAACATATTCCTCTCATATACTTTTGCATGCATATATATATCTTATTCTAATTACATATTCAGATCAAACACATCATACCGTAATCTATAATAGATTTTTTTCTTTTCAAAAGCAAAACTCCGGTACATCGGAAATCCTAAAATTTTCGATATTATAAACCGAAAGTATTATAATATATCGGTAGTTCTTGATCTTTGTCTATGACTGAAATAAAGATAATTGATGCAGAGAGAAAAAAAAGGAAAAGAAAAAAAGATATATCTCCAACAACTCTTTTCTTCTCTCAAAATTTCCGTTTCTTTTTTTCTTTTTCTATTTATCTCGCTTCCTAGTTTCTTTTTCCCCACACATAGATCTTCTTTGCAATAAAGAAGTCAAAAAACTTCACATATATTTATAGATAAGTTTATGTATCTAGTATCTTCATCATGAATTTTGGAATGAATAATACTACAACATCTCCACTTCATAATTATGTGAATATTCCTAGTTTACGTATACTTATTGCAGTTATTTGTATTATTCTCTATCTCATTGGTTATACTGGTTGTATACTATCAATTGTAACATTTAGCTCAAAAAAACTTCGTCGTCATTCCACTGGTTTTTTATTTCTTATTATGGCATTGGTTGATATATTTAATTTATTTGCTAGTTTACAATATTTTCTTAATGTTATCTATGGTATAGATGTATTTACATTATCTATACATTGGTGTCGATTCTTTACAATGTAAGTTTTAAAATAATATTTTATCGATAAACTTTAACCTTACTTTTTTTAGTTGTAATTATGAACTTTATTTTGGATTTTCTTGGATATTTGCTTTTATATCTCTGGATCGTTGGATGAAAGTTGAATGGCCAACAAAAAGCCATTCATTATGTACAAGAAAAAGATTTATTATTTTATGTTTAATAGCATTAATATTAAGTCTTATACAAAATATAATTTACGTATTCGCATGTTTCGATGATAAATGTCAACACAAAAGAGTATTTTGTGACATATTTATACATATTATTTATATAACTATTTATATGATCGTACCAATTGCAATTATTCTTATATCAATTAGTCGTACATGTTTAATAACACTTCATCTAAAAAAACGTTTTCGTACATCAACGCCACGACAAATACTTGCTGCTAAACCTTCAAAATCTTCGATAGTTACAAATTTAAACTCAACAGCTAATAGTAATATTAATTCAACAGCAGTAACAAGTCGTGTATCAACTTCATTGATGAGTCCGCCATCGACGACAACGATTGTTAATAATACAAATCATTATCAAAAGCAAAGTAGTCAAAATCATTTACCAAATTATGCAGCGAGTGTGCGTCCACGACGTTCCGGTTTAGATACTCAAATGATTATATTAATATCAATTAATGTTGCACCATTTATTATTGTTCATATTATTACTGAAATCGCATATCTATTTGAAAAATATTCAGCATTTGTTAAACAATCAAACGTAACACGATTATTGATTGTAATAATTTATCTTTCGTGGTATTTAATATCAGCAACACGTTTTTATACAAATTGTCTTCTATCACGAATATATCGAGAAGAATTTAAAAATCGATTATTTATGTTAAGAAATGGTTGTAAACCACGAATTATTCTAGTTGGACATGGACAATCATATCAACATTCATCAAGATATTATAAAAGAAATATAATTAATGGACCTGAAAATACATTCGTGCCAGCATCTAATTTAAAATCATTTATTGAGACATGATAACAAATATATATTATGTTCATTTTTTTCCGTCCACATTCAACATCTTATCAATGTTATTCAATGTTGTTCTACAAGTTTTTGTCAGCCTTTTCTTTTTGTTATTCATAATAGTATCCAATTCAGTGTCTAATTATTGATTTATGAATTCGTTTTTTTTTTATAATGAAATTACTATGTATCTTTAGTTCTTGATGAGTAAATAAAGAAAGTGAACACATACGTGCATATCATCAGACATGTCTGATAGTTGTTTCGAATTGTAATTTGAATAGAAAAAGGAAATTAAATTATATGCATCTCATATTATTGACACGATCATCTGTATCGTTGTGTAACATAAGAAAGAGAAAAACATTATAAGCACTATCGACGACGCGCATCCGACAGCAGCGCAGTTAGATATTTTTCAAGGGAGTGAACGCCTTTTTTCAAGGAATATATATATCAACAGGACAGAGTTTCTCTCCAGGGTATATATTTATAAACCAGACTTCTTTTATCGAATGTAGAAAAAGGCTGTACAAAATAACTTTTACTCTACTTTAGAAAATGAAAGAATTATTATACGTCTATCTTTTGCTACGGAAAGGGTATGACAAGTATAATTAGAACATTCATCCTTTTATTATTAATTAATGATAAGCAAAAAAATCCAGGAACAAAAAAAAAAGAAGCTTGATCAGTATTGTATATCAACAAATAATATTCTAAGCATAGTAAATAAAGAAATGATTGATGCACATTTTATAAATTTTTTCAGCAGTTAAATAAATACAATTTCGTTATTCCTAATGATTTTGTTTTGTTATATGTTGATGATGTGAAAAACAGCAGGGAATATATGTCTTGGTACTTCGATTAGTAAGAAAACGCGGAGGTGGACAATAAATCATTACTGTCTTTCTCTATATATCTTTTTCTTCTTTGCCATTTACTTTATTATCTTTGACAATACATACAAAGTCAATTACATTATATTTTCTTCTATAGTTATTGTCATTATATAAACAACCAGTGCAACACATATGTATCATATATAAATTAGAATTCTACTAATAGAATAAAGTATCATGCTAATACATAAAACAAAAAGAGACATACATATAATATATTATGAAGGTAATTTATAAGAAAACAATCTTATGAATGGATTTCAAGAGCTATTATTTAAATAGTTCAACCCACGTGAAGGAACAAAGTACATTGTAAGATAGTATCTATGTCGAAACACGTGAAGTAACTTATATTTATACTTGGTAATGAATGACGTTGTAGGTTTATCTCATTAAAATTTGATTAAATATCTATGAAAATGATTCTTACATGTCTATTGAACATGTATCTCGTCTGATGAAAAAGACGAGTACTCATCTTTTAACATTAGTATATACTTAAAAAATAAATAATTGCTAGCACAAAAAAAACAGAAGATATGATACTTGAGTTGAGATACTTATGATATATGATTTAATTTACTATATTTATCTTTCTTTTCTTTCAAATGATCTTATTTTCGGCACAAACCAATCGAACAAAACACTTTCATCTTAAGAACCATTAGCAAAATACAATAATAAAAAAACACGATCTTGTTGGATATAAAACTCAGTTAGTTTTTCTCAATAAATTTAAATTCATACAAAAAAATATATACTTATTTACTAGATGAACTTTGTAATGTTATATATAATAATATAGTATATCAAATTAATGTTCATAATAATAGTACTGTCTGATAAGTTTTTTTTTAGCAATAATAGTTAATTAAATTTTATATTATACAGCTTTATGTCATATGAAAAAAAAACGAACTGATTATTAATAACAACCATCATGATGGTGATTACTTTAATTAATAGGTTTTTTTTACTGGGCTTCTATCTATTTTCTAATGGAAAATAAATATTATTTCAAATGTTCTTAATTATACGACAATGAAGGTTATAATAACATTATTTATAACCTATCATGTATGATAACTGTATTTATAAATAATAAATATTATAATATAAAGTTCTCATTTGATTTTCGAATATCAATAGACAAGAAATCTACTCATTATTATAAGCTTGAATAAGATAAAAATACCTATTTGTTTTATAAATAGAAAGTTTGATTTTTATTGAAGAAATTGGAAAATATTTAAGACAATAATCTCATCTATATCAATTGAATTTTGATAGATACAGATTTGACATTAGGAGTAAAAAGTGATATAAATATCATTGTGCCCTCTTTATTATTGCATGTTGAATAATGTTTGCTTTTTTTAATACTTAATATAAATATTAAAAAATTAAGTATTATTTATAGAATATATTCTCGACTGTTTAGAAAGAGAAAGAAATGCTGATTTGAATATCTCTTTCTAATTATAATATTCCAGATGAATTAATTTTTGTTTATATAATAAGAAAAACTATTGCCATATGGATTAATTGACGTGCAGGAAATGAGATAATTATTAAAAGAAGTTCTTGATGGATTAAATATCGAATAAATATCTAGTGAATTTCTAATACAACTGACATTATTTTTTTATCAGTTTAAGAGGTTCAATAGAACAGTATGCATTCGAACTATTCTCACAAAATATTTCTTTTGTTAATAGTATATTACTGTAATAAGACTAAATGCACTTAAAAATTCATCAAAATAGAAGAGCATCATCACTCTGTGATCGATACATAACAAATAAAGAAATATTTTATCATAATTTAGTAAAAATCTAGGGATGTACGCTGTTATTTTATACTTTTCCATAACGACATATGAGAGTTATCCTTATTATTGAGTGAAATTATTCAAGCAAATATTATATGCGTTCAATTTGCCGTTTACAAATTAAATTAGAATCGATTAATAAATGATAAATATATTAGTGATATTAACACTTCAATATTGAGTTCTAGCAGAATCATTCAATCGAATATATCTCTTTGGATAAGTTTTCAATAATTAATTGAAATTATATAACAATTATATTTAGTCGAAATTGAAATATTTCTGAAGTAATCTGTATCTATCTGCAAGTTCAAATAGTTTCAGAATACATTTTATCTAAATAGAATTTATTTTCAATAAAAAAAATATTCAATTAAATCAAGAAAATATTCTTCTAGGAAAAATGTTTGATTGATTTCTTTTTATGTTGACATCACTGCTGTATAGTATGCATTATTTCATAAAAACTTTTAGTTATATAGAACAGAAAGACTATCACATATCTATGCAATGCTGAGTAAATATATTTATGAAGTGCGTGCGCGATTCTATTACATAATTTCCGATTTACTGGAATAATATCAAAGAAATGTAAAACAAAATAGAATAGTCTCATAAATCTCTGTTGAGTTGATTCGAGTTTCACTCGACATCAAAAACATGATTTTAACATTCACAATCATCCTAAAATTGAGTTATATTTATATACTGATCAAAATGTAAGTGACACTAATTCAATAGATGAGTTCATATAAATCGAGAATTTAAATAAATATATGTTGAAAGAACGCTAATGGTTTACTACTTAATTATCTCGCTGATTCATTATCCACATCGCATTTCGTAGAGATAAACAAACAAGAAAAATTTTCATAAGCGCATTTTTTATTATAGAAAACAATAGATAAAATTTGATTTACTCATAAAACTTATGTATTGTGTTTTTCTTCCACGATAAACTTATGTTGCACTCCATTTTCAGACGCTTCTATGATGAATATTGTCGAAAATGATATACAATATTGTTCTCTTTTATCATTTTCATTCTTTTCCTACAAAATAACAACTAATTTAAACAATTTTCTCCCTGTTTCATATATTTAACTATAAAAATAAAGGAATATATGTATTTTGTGTTTAAACAACATTATCTTGTCAAGTTACACAAATTATAAGGATGTGAGTGAGGATTTGAAGTATGGATACGACTGTTTTCCATCAACACACACAACTACTCCTACTAGCACCATGTTCACAATCTCACTCACCCATTCACGTTCTCACTCTCATCCACCTACCCACCCACTCGGCACACTCTCACCCACACCCAGCATTTTTTATATATATATATAGATTTATTGGTTTTATCACTCGTTACACTTATGTCTAGACATGCTTTCTCTTCTCGTTTTCTTCTTTTCATGCTTTTTTATTTTTATTTTTCTCTTTTCTGATATTACTTACGTAGATATAGAACATTCAAAGTAGTTATAACTTCTTAACCTGATAAAGAAACAATAAGATAAATATTTAAAAAAATTCTCCCTTTCTTTATTTTTCTAACTATGCACACAATAGACTTTGCATCGAGTCATAGGTTTTTTTCCTAGTGATAAGACATTTCATCATCGCCGAAATATTTTATAATTCTTACGCAAGATATTCATATATATATACCATTGTGTTGTAAACTCCATTACTTTCATTCACATACGCTTTTTACTGATTCAAATTCTTATTTTCTATTCAAAACTACTGCTTCATTTTTAATAATGGGAAAAGAAAAAATTCATATCAACATTGTCGTCATTGGTCATGTCGATTCTGGTAAATCAACATCAACTGGTCATTTAATCTACAAATGTGGTGGTATTGACAAACGAACAATTGAAAAATTCGAAAAAGAAGCTACTGAAGTATGTATTTATGATTTCGCATTTCTATTAGATCTAACCACCTCTTTGTATTAATCTATGTTTAGATGGGTAAAGGTTCATTCAAATATGCTTGGGTATTAGATAAACTGAAAGCTGAACGTGAACGTGGTATCACCATCGATATTTCACTTTGGAAATTCGAAACAGCTAAATACTATGTTACCATCATTGATGCTCCAGGTCATCGTGATTTCATCAAAAACATGATTACTGGTACATCACAAGTACGTATCTTATTGCTTTCTATAATATCTTTAACTATAGAAGTTCCTCTGTATTGTTTAGGCTGATTGTGCTGTCTTGGTTGTTGCTGCTGGTACTGGTGAATTCGAGGCTGGTATCTCCAAAAATGGTCAAACACGTGAACATGCTTTACTTGCTTACACCTTGGGTGTCAAACAAATGATTGTCGCTGTCAACAAAATGGATACAACTGAACCACCATATTCAGAAGGACGTTTTGATGAAATCAAAACTGAAGTATCAGCCTTCATCAAAAAAACCGGTTATAATCCAGCAACTGTTGCTTTCGTACCAATCTCAGGTTGGCACGGAGATAACATGGTTGAAGCAACTGCAAAAATGCCATGGTACAAAGGATGGACAATCGAACGAAAAGAAGGTAATGCAAGTGGTAAAACACTTTTGGAAGCTCTTGATGCTATCTATCCACCATCACGTCCAACTGAAAAACCACTCCGATTACCCTTACAAGATATCTACAAAATTGGTGGTATTGGTACAGTACCAGTGGGTCGAGTTGAAACTGGTATTCTCAAACCAAACATGGTTGTTAACTTTGCTCCATCAAACATCCAAGTTGAAGTTAAATCAATTGAGATGCATCATGAAGCACTCGAAGGTAAATATTTATTATTTGTTGATTGATATGTGTTATGAATGATGTTTGATATTTTGCAGAAGCTTTACCCGGTGACAACGTTGGTTTTAATATTAGAGGCGTCTCTGTAAAAGATCTTAAACGTGGTTTCGTTACATCAGATATTAAAAATGATCCCGCTCAAGAAACAGCCAGCTTTGTCGCTCAAGTAAGATTCAGTTCTTATTTGTCATTCATCCACTGTAAATATTATTTATCTTTTTTTTAATTAGGTTATCGTTCTCAATCACCCTGGTCAAATTAGTGCAGGTTATGCTCCAGTTCTTGATTGTCACACAGCTCATATTGCATGCAAATTTGCTGAATTACTTGAAAAAGTCGATCGTCGATCAGGTAAAACCATTGAAGATGCACCAAAATTCGTTAAAACAGGTGAAGCTGCTATGGTAAAAATGGTTCCATCCAAACCAATGTGTGTTGAAAAATTCTCTGAATATCCACCACTTGGTCGATTCGCTGTACGTGATATGCGTCAAACAGTTGCTGTTGGTGTTATCAAAGATGTCGAAAAGAAAGCTCCAGTAGCAGCCAAAGGAGGCAAAGCAGCACCTGCAGCTGCTGGTGGTAAAGGCAAAAAATAGCAAATGCAGCACCTTCGAAAACACACATCACGAACAGATCAACTATATTTCTATTTATCACAACTAAGAGCAGTTAATTCTCTCATTGTTGTTCAACTCTTCTTAACTATTTTGTGGGAGAGACAACGGCAACCGAAAGATTTCTTCTCTTGGAAGTATAACTTTCTATATCCTTCTAATTTTTCTCTTCTTTTTTTCTAATGAACAAAATTCTTTTCTCTTTCTATAATAAGTTATTCTTGTTGTTTTTTTCGTGATATGAAGATCTGATGTGTTTACGAAATCGTTTTTGTATTTTTAACAATTACATTGAAAGAACTATTTAATACAATAATAAATTCATGAATATCTAATGTATTTTTGATTCCTTTTTTATTAGAATTGAATATGAGCATAATTATTGCGAGTATGTCTACAATAATAAGTTTATTCAGAAAGTATATAAGATCAGTAATTGTATCTACAAATAACTGTTAGTATCAAATTAAAGATACATTTTTTTACTAAATCATAGAACTTACATATACTAAAAAAGTTCTTGATGGTGTGGGTAAGAGTGTGAATGTGAGTATACCTATCTCCTCTTAACGCACACCTGCACCCTTCTTTTTTCTATTGATTTTCAAAGATTTATATGGTTTTTAGGTAAGATTTTCATTAAAAGAAATCGATTCATATTCTTCTCTTTTAACACAAAATAATTTCTCTGAATAATAAAGATGAAAATCTCATATTCGTTTAAAGTTTAATATATTCAATTTATATGCAACAAGGTTTGTAACAATGATGTTAGATTTAATTCATTTTTCTTTTCACGTGATCTTTCGATACTTATTACTCAAGTATCATCTTCAGACGTTCCTTCATTTATTAAATACATGAGAATTAATATGAATAATCTCATTTTTCTTCAAAACAAAATAATAATAATATGGATTTATTTAAAAGAAGTAAATAATCCAATTTGTAGATCATAATTTAAATCCATCTAATGTACTACACCAAGTACATGATCAACTGTTCTTCCAGTTGATTCACCAATAGCTGTTGATAATGTTGTTGGTCCAAATAATTTATAGTAAGATGCTGTTGATAATGTTATTGTTCAATAATTTGTTCTGATTAAGTTTAGACGATATTAATGTTGATAGTGAATTGGTGTAGGTTAAGGATATTGATGTATATAGATTTATTGTGTGTGTGTGTGTTTATGTGTTTGGTCAGTTGAAATATTAATTGAATGAATGCGTATGTGTGTTGTTTTATATGACCGGGTATGATTCATTTACTTTAGTTCTAAAGAAAAGAATGAAGAGAAATTGGAGGACTATTTATAACATTTATATTAGTTACGTACAATTGTTGGGTGGATGAACTTATCGGAATATCTCGATTATTGTGGTTTAGTTGTTTATTTTTTTGTTGTATTCCCTCTGGACATATATAAAGAGGAGTCGAACGAATTTCTTTATTCATTTGTGGTTCCAGCGTTCTTATTAAAATAGATTCTTTAATCAGATGCTTGTATTTGTGTCTTTCTTTTAATTTAATTTTAAAATCACTGTTATTAAATATGTATCCGGTTGTAAAGTAATGTTTAGATACTCAAGATTCACTTTTATTTATTATTAATTTTTTATCTATTATTCTAGTTTGTTTTAATAGTTCGTCAATATCTTCGTCGCTCAATTTACGAGGAGTCTTTGATGATTTACCAGTTTGTGATCTAGTGACTGGTCCTTTTTGTTCAATAACTGGTTTAAGTATAGGTTTTTTATTCTTTTCTTTTTAGACAGGTTTTGTAATAATGTTTTTTTAAACATAAATCGTCTTTTTATTCCTTTGAGAGTGTGGGTGGGTGTGAGTGTTAGCGTTAAGATTATATTGCCATCTTGCATACCCAACCGAAAACACACCCACAGCCACACTCACCCCACACCCTCACCCTCACGGACACCCTAAATTTCACAATATCATTCCTGATGATGTGTTTAGTTCGAATATGAAAGTTCGAATCCCTCTCTTTTATTTGTGACTGAAATAATCTTAATTTAAAATGACCTTTGCAGCAGAAATTAGAAAAAGAAATAGAAGAATTGATTGGCGAAGAAAGCGATTATTATACTTCTATCAATGGATTTGAACATGAACAAAGTAAAAACAAAATAAAAACTCAATAATGTTCGATTTTTTTCTTTTCAGAACGTTGCGAAGAAGAACTTAACAATAACAAAGAAAATTCTTGATATTGTTCATTGTCATTTTTTTATTCTTTTTTTTTCTATCTTAATGTATTTGTTCTTTTCCTTTGACAACTTCTTTCCTTTGTTTATCTGATTATATATGAAACTACACACAATCCGGTTTTTTATCTTTCCATAAATAAAAGGCTTCATGATAATTGCTTATTCATAAACAATCTAATGACAAACACTTCATTTGACAAATCATTTGCATTACGATGAACTTTGAGCACTATTGTTATTGTCGGCTATCACGATGATAGTCGAGTTATATATGAAGGTAAAGGTAGTCAAGCATGACATAAGGTTATCGATAAACTAGAAATGATATTCCATTTAATCCGATCTAGAAATTTTTATTTAATCTACTATCAGTTTTTCACATGATTATTATAAATAATGTTTAAGAATTTTACTAATATTCGAAGATATTCAACGACATGCATGAAAAACATTATGTTTTTATACTTAGAACTGATTACAGAACATTTTCAATGATCTTTTACATCACTGTGAGATGATCTATTAATAGAACATAATTAACAAACAATCGAATGATTTAATGTCATATTTTGTATATGAGTAACAATTGACATTTCTCTTTATCGTATTAATGTGCTTGGCAAAAATCCAAAACGTTTTCTTGTTTTTTAATTTATTTGCAAATAATAAGCCAAATCCATTTCTAGTAAAGGAAAGTAAATATAAAAATCTTTTAAATGTACCAATGGGCTGATCATAATTAGTCGTTTCACCTTAGAACAATTGCGTCGCGTTTTTTCTCTTGTGAAGTTATTTGTTGCAATTGTTAAACTATCATAAGAGGTAGTTAATTCGGTTAGATTAGGTATATATGTCTTCATTTCATTTAAAAATTCGTCAACATAATCAACTTGAGGGTGGGTGTCGGTGTGAGCGTTAATAATATATTGCCATCTTACATACTCAACCGAAACCACACCCATACCCTAAACATTCGCATCCTCAAATTTGTTTTACGTGTTGGATGACACAAACAGTAGTTTGTGCATCCAGCTCTCATATTATACATAAATTTTCATTTTGATTAATATACAAACAAAGTTCAATTTTTTTAAATAAAAAGTAATGCATTTCTACATATTCACATTTACATGGACCACATTAGAACTCATGATAATGAACTGAAATACTTTTAACAACTCTGTTAAATATTTATTTATTTATTTTTCTTTAGGGTGATAATACACGTATTCAAATCGATCTAATTGAAGTAAAATAATATTAAAAAATCTATCAAATATTAATTTATTTGTTTTAGCCTTATTCAAAAATGGTTGAATCTAATAATAATGAAGTAAAATCATTTAAAAAATATATTAAATATGTATTTATTTGTTTTAGGTTGATTCTGAATTGAGTCCAATTGATAATAATGAAGTAAAATTATTCTTGAAAATATCTTGAATATTTATTTTTAGAGTAATTTCGATAGCAGTGAAAGCGATAATAATCAAGTAACATAAATTGAAAACTGTTAAATAACTATTCATTTCTATTTAGAGTCTTTTGGCAAAGGTCACAACTGCAGAAGAAGAAGTAATCCTATTATGACATAGATTAAAATTTAAAACTAGTTTGTTCTATATTAGATTTGTCGAGAAAAACAAATTAGACAAGATATATTAAAGAAGATCAAAAGCAAAGAACAAGATATTAAGGATCTAAATAGCAACATGTAACCGACCAGCACTAGTTGTTTTCGTTGATTTTCTATCAGCTTTTGACAAAATGTGATATCGATCGTTAATATCTACTCTAATAAAACTTGAAATGCCACTCGCACGCGTTAAATGGATTAATTCATAGTTAAAAGGAAGATCTTTTGCTATACACCATGGAGATGTCTCTTCAAGAACAATTAGAATATTTGTAGGAGCACCTCAAGGTTCTATACTAGGGTGTGGTTTTGGGTTTGGGTGGTATGAGTGTGGGTGTGTGGGTGTGTGTGTGTGTGTGTGTTACAGTCCATAAGGACATCTATTTTTGTTATTTCTATCGTGTATCCTTTCTACTTTTTTATATATATATACATATGATTCTGAATAAAAGTTAGTTATGCTAACGTATGAACTCGACGTACCTTTATATATGCATATACACAAATCATAACAGTGTGGGTGTGAATGTGAGGTGTTGATAGCATAGATATGATATCAACACCTCACATCCACACCCACCTACACCATACCCACATCCCTCTTTTTTTTCTATTGATTTTCAAAGATTTATATGGTTTTTAGGTAAGATTTTCATTAAAAAGAATCGATTCATATTCTTTTCTTTTAACACAAAATGATTCCGCTGAAATTTTTTCATAGATTAAAAAAATAATATTACTATGAAAGTTAAATGAACTGAATAGATATTTTACACTAAGAAAACATTTTTATGTAACAATTCCTGATTAAAAGTCCCCTTCTAAATTTATATAAACGGATGAACTGAAAAATTCTTATATTGTTTGATGAAAAACTTTTCGTCTCATTGTTAATATATTGTACAATATTATATTAAAGGAAAATATGTTTCATTTTTTTCTGATTATTATTGTTAAATTGCTCAACATACGAGAGATTTTTTAACAATCTAGTTTAATAATTTGAGATTAAATCATGTTCATCAGTACACGACACATCTAATGCTGAATTTTTTCACCAGATTTTTAATCTCAATCTTTAATCTTGTCTGTATAATAAGAGATTTTTCCATCGATTACAATTGACATTGGTCGTGAGAAAATAATTCCATGTACTCAAAATCAGAAATTAATCGTCAACGATTTTCTTCCTCATTTTTAGCGGTGAACTATGAGATTATTTACACATGAACTTTTATTTTACTGTTAAATTTGGAAGATCTTATTACTGACTTAATTAATTGATCAATGTTTTTATTATAAAAATGAATGTTCGCATTAATTTATACATAACTTTATATGCAATTTAATATAGTGAGGAAAAAATCAATTCGAAAAAAGATTAAAAAATTCTCTAAAATCCATGATTTGTATTTGTTTATATCTGAAAGGCTTCTATGCGTATTTATCATTGCTCATTAATTAAAAATCTCGAAAAAAGAATGAATAAAACATAAGTGAGAAGTAGAGTTATGGATTAATATCAAATCATCTAAAATAAACTACATCTTATCGTAAACAAACGTTTCGAGACGAACGATTGTGATGACGAAGCTTAGTACGATCATTTTTGAAATTGTCTAATACCCTTTATGTTATTGTAGTCACGTTCATAACAAAACTAATCTTTTTTTTTGTTTTAAACGTTTGTGATTATATTTCATTCTCCAATTTATAAATTCTTAAATAACTCGTTTGTAGTTCATAATTGGTTATTATAATCGATGATTAAACACGATTTTCTTGACATAGAATGTCACTATGAAACTCGTCAAAGTTTTTTAAAGGATTTCTTTTCTAATGGTGATAATATAAACAATAGTTGAATAGAATAGTTAATGTTTCATTTCAATCTGTAATATCTTGAGAGAATTAGAAATTAAAAAATCTTGTATAACATTTCATTTAATACTAATGGTTTTTTTTATTTATTTTATTTAAGCGAAAATTTGAATAACTTTTTCATCGACATATAATCATACAAGTGATAAAAGATAAAGTTATTTTCCATTTGGCAGAACAGGAATTGAAGGATTGACTGTAGATATAATCTATTAACAAACAATTAATTAGAATTATTTTCTTAAAGTATATACTAAAAATAAATAATCATTTTTTATCTTCGATTTATATGTAATATGAAAAGGATGGATTTGATACTAAAAGAAATTCTTTCAGATATATCATATTTACATTTATCTTTACTCATACTTATTTTGTATCATAAAAGTTAAATAAATAAGCGTTTAGAATAAAAATATGAAATAAATAACCATTATTATCTCTTTTTATTTTGATGAGTATTTAACAATTCTTAGAATATAAGGCTAAGATTTCTTTGCTGTATCATTTATTAAATTAGGTTCAGATAAATAAAATAATTCACTTACTATTTTATCTTTCTCGAAGTTAAAAAATCTCAAATTAAGTTTGAGAATTGCCGATCATTTGTAATAAATCGCTGATTTGCAGGTTATTTTGATGATAAAGAAAAATGATGTCAATGGAGAAATCATCAGAAATTGAAATAATTTTAAAAATCAAAGATATTGAGTTTAAAATTGAACTGATTTTTCTTCAGAATAAGATCGATGAAAATAACGTTTTTTTTCTCGTTCTTTTTCATGGCTTCTATCTGTCATGGTTCGTTGCTTTATTTAACCATATGCAGTTTTTACTAAGAGTAATCAACGACGATATTAAAATATAAACGTAAGGAAGAATGGCCTTATAGATGGTTGTTTGACAGAACGAAAAAAAATGATAACCGTAAGCTTTAGAAATAATTTTTTGTTGTTACGAACAACATAACAAAACGCAACCACGTGGAAAAAAACGTATCTCTTAGACTATTTTCAAATATCTAAATAAAACGAGTTTTACGTAGCAAACCATCTCTTAATCTTATCTTAAGATTTCGATTGACAATTATGAAAAATAAAATATTTGTATTGTGATATTTGAGCAATGAAGAAGAGAAGTAAGTGTATTCTTATAAAAAACATTTCTTTTCGAATTGATATCAATTGAAAATAAGGTAAAGAAGAATTTGATTATTTTAACTAAATCTTATTTATTAAATAATTATTTTAATATTTCAAAAGAAAAAAATTCTTTCTATTTAACATTTTATTATATATTTGGAGATTTTTAGAATAAAATACTTTAATTATTCTCATTTGAAAAATCTGAATATTGACTTTTAAGATGATCGAACTGGAAAAGATTTTATATATAATATTGAGCTATTAGTAGAAATAAATTCAAAAAACATCTTTAACATACTACTTATACGAGATGAATGGATAGTATAAAACTTTCTTCAAACTTATAACCACAGAAACTCAATAGGATGCTCACAAATTCTCTTACTATTAAAACGATAAATAAATCTTTCATTAGTCGTAATTAGTCAATGTCACCATTATCTTTCTTCTTTTTTTGAATTGTTTTTATGAGATAAATCAAAAATTATAACATCTGCTCATCAATATTAGACAAGTATACTTTGAGGACAAATATATATTCTTTTTTTTCTATAAAATAGATAAAACATCGATTACCATCATTTCGCCAACACACTCGTGTTTTTTTGTTGCTGTTTTGAATATGACTCATGAAACTAATCACATATTCTAATAGAGCCACGTTAATAAAAGCTAGTTATCCTGTACATATATATATATATTCATTTTTTGTATTCGATAGGCAAACGTTTATTAGATTGATTTCGATAATGCATTCGTTCATTCATCTACAAGTAAAAATTATATAACCTCCTGCAAATGAGTACAATTTCGACATTCGGATTGATTTGAATAGTTATTTTGCTGAAGTAGGTTCGTCGTCTATTGCTGAAAATTGAAAAATTATGTGTTTTATTCAATAATAATGATAATAATAATATGATGAATTTAATAGGAGAAAGATACAAATGCAACGATGTTAGTGATATGTTTTACTTTGCTGATTTATTTGCTTATTTATCACACATTTGGCTTATCCGCAACAGTGTAAGTAAGTGTGATTTTTCATTTACATTCTAGTTATTTTATCATGTAGGGTATTATGTTGATATTATAGTTTTGATAAATATCATTGGTTTATTTTAATTTTATGTGCATGCTTTTGATTCGTCTTTATTGAGCGGACAATGATATTACCATGTTTTCTTCTGGATTAGAGTTATCTTTATTGAAGAACTTGTAAACGTATGGTTTTTCATATATATTGATATTACTTTTGTATTACATACAATGGTTTAACTATATTCGGAGTTTTATTCGCATTTTTTTTATTAATTGATGTAGTTTACAACTTAATCTCACATTTCAGGTAAATATCAATGTTTTATTTTAATTGAATTTAGTTTATTTCTCTTTGATTTTTGTATATAAAACAGTAGATATATATATAGTGAGTCAAATATAGAGACGTTACTTTATTTTCATTTTGTGAAATACGAATAAGGCATAAAAATTTTTTTTTCTCTAGATCCTAAAAGTTTATCATTTTCAGATAGATTGTCAAAAACTATAAAGTCATCAGCTAAAAAGCATTTGGAAGAGAATTTTTTCCGTCAGGCGTTCATGCCTTACATTCATTTGCTATCATTATTCCATATTAGAATGTGGTTAATGGTAATAAATACTGCAATGAATGTTGCCTGCTGTTATATTAATTGTTTATCTATTTACCGATTACTAGAGGAAAATTTCTGTACTCTTTTTTTATTTTTGCTTTTTAAACTTAATATCGTCTTTATTCTTTAGAAAATGAATATAAAGATTTTGGTTACTTTCTTCTTTATTATAACGAAACATAAAAATAAAATAACAGCCTAGACATGGAACCTTGGTGCACCTAATATTTTGTAAATTATTTTATTTAAAATAATTTGCTGAAAACAAACAAAGAGCGGCTTAAAGAGCCAGATACGACATTTCTTTTATGAGTTGTTAGAGCAAGAGTTTTAAAAAAACTAAGTGGCGTATTTTGTAGGCCCTTGAAGTATCTTTGAAAATTGTTTTCTAATTGGGTAATTTTAAACAGTGTAGAAGTCTAATTAAGTTAAGGAGTCATCGCATTTTTTTTATAAAGTATGCTCTGAGAAATTATACACATTTTAAGACATGCGAAGCAATGATCTCTATAAAATAACCACTGAAAATCGACTGAAAATGCTTTCATTTGACGTTTTATAGTGCCACTAGCTTCTTGAAATAAAACTTATGAAAACGTGACAACTCCTCAATTTGTTCAGAGTTTTGCATACTTCAAGATAATTTTCTCAAAAAAATATTCTATAGATTCTTCGTGAACTTGAAAAAAGCGCTTTTGAGATTTTTGTAAACCGTAGTCACATAATGCTACGATCAAATTATGCTATATAGTGTATTAGATGGAACTTGCTATTGGCTATTAAAATTATTATTTGCTTGTTTTCAACAAATTACTCTTAACAATTAGCATTCCAAAATAAAATGTGTCTTAAAATATTGTTCCCCACAATATGTATTATGTTTTCTTCAAAATCGATTTTACTGGTTTATCTATTTTGGATTTAATCTTTATTGAAGAGTTGATGCAAGTGTCGTTTTTTATTTTTCTATTATTTAATTTATTAATGTTAGATTTGTATTGCATATAACAATTTAACTAGGGATAATTCTTTAGTTACATTTCATTTTGTTTTCTTTCGTTTTATTTTCTTATTGAGTAAGTAATTGTTCCATATATAACGATTTAAATAGATGTGGATTTTTATTTACATTTTATTTTGTTGACGTATGTTGAGTTTGACCATTTTTCTACAACTTAAATGAATATTATTTTTCAATTTATTCTAATTTAATTCAGTTTATTTCTTTCTCATTTTATATTCATCGAAAATCTATCTAAATATAAATTCTTTATTTTTTATTCGATTGTATTGCATTTATTGAGTGTCTCAGTGTGCTGATAATGTTTAATCTCTGATCCATATATCTTATTTAACCATCCTTGTTAGAACCTATTTATCTATTCTCTAAATATTTCGTTCGTCTATCCTTCTCACATTGTGTTTGTCTGTCCTCTAAATATTGCGTTTATCTATTATTTATATCTATTATGTTATCCTTCGTATTTCTTGCATTTAGACCTTGTCTATTCACACTGTCTATCTCTTTGTATGGCGAAGAGCAATCGATTCGTATAAAAAGACGATAAAAGAATGTAAGAGATAGTTGAAAATTAGTATTGTCATATGGTATGTTTAGTTTATTGTACAACTTTTGAAAACGATATCTTATTTACATGAAGATAGCTACCATCACTATCATCTTTCATATCTATTACATCTCGAATTCGTTAGAATCAGTATTTTTGAACTTTCGTTTTTATTATCCAGGTGATTAAAAAATACTTTTTAAATAGGATAATACTTCAAATTCTCTACAAAATCATATATGATTAAGTTCACATTTTAGATATATCCATCCATCGACACCCATAATTCAATATTGTTCTCTTCAATATCATGTGTTCTCGAGATACAATATTTTTTAATATTCTTTTTTTTCCAGATTGAAACTTTATCGGTTTTTGTTTCATTTCTTCCAGTAATCAACTAGTTTATATCCGACATATCTCAAATGATATCCTCCAGCTCCGTTTTAGAACCAGTGGCTATTGTTGGCATAGCCTGCGAATTTGCAGGTGATATTCATTCTGCCAATGATTTATGGCAAGCGTTACAAGAGAGCCAAGATGTAGGTAGTGCAATTTCGCGTGATCGACTTGATCTTGAGTCTTATTGTGCTCATATGTTTAACAAGGATAATGATGGACAATTTCGTCAAAAACTTATTCGTCGAGGATATTTCCTATCAAATAATCAATGGGATATGTTTGAACCAAGTTTCTTCGGTCTGTCCGATGCTGAGGCAGGTAGTATTGATCCATGTCATCGACTACTCATGCTTAAGTTTGTCCATTTACTTGATGATGCTGGTTACAGTATGGAGAAAATGAATGGTTCTAAAACATCTGTTCATATTGGACAGGCTTCTGCAGATCATGCTAGAACATCATTTCGCATCGAACCAGAGCATCGATCGAGATTTCATGGTCCTAATAGTTTACTCTACAATGCTGCTGCTCGGTTATCCTATCATTTTAATTTACAAGGTCCTAACGTATCATTGGATGTTGCCTGTTCATCGTCGCTGGAGGCTGTACATTTAGCTGTGCAAAGTCTTCGCACAAACGAAGCAGACATGGCTGTATGTGGTGGAGTGAATGCTGTCTATTCACCAGAAACTTTCTTATATAGTTCAATTATGGGCGTTCTATCCCCTGATGGACGAAGTCGATCATTTAGTTTCGATGCAAATGGTTATGCAAAAGGTAAATAACACATTTATATACATCCGTTAACATCTTTGGATTGTATTTTAAGGTGATGGTCTTGGTCTTCTACTATTAAAACGACTGAGTGATGCCGAGCGTGATAATGATCGCATATATTGTGTTCTTCGTGATATACATAGTAACCATGATGGAAATGAAGATAAGAACAGTTTTGTTGTTCCATCAGCTGCCGGTCAGGCACGGTTACTCAATGATATTTACAAGCGAGCAGACTTTGATCCTCGACGTATTTTTTATGTCGAAGCACACGGGACTGGTACGCCAATAGGTGATCCCATTGAAGCCAATTGTTTAGGTCAATTTTTCAATCGATCTTGTTTTGATCCACCATTATTAATTGGTTCTGTTAAAAGTAATTTAGGACATACAGAAGGAACAGCTGGTGTTGCCGGATTAATTAAGATTGCCATGTGTATGCATCATCGGAGTATTCCATCAAATATGCACTTCACATCATTAAATCCAAAAATTGAAGCACAACGATATAATCTTCACGTTGTACAGCATTCCGTACCATTTCCTTCAGGCAATGATATTGATTCTATAGCTATGGGCATTAATTCATTTGGCATAGGAGGCAACAATGCACATGCTATTGTTGAAGAATATCAAGCAAATAAAACATCAGCTACGAACAAATTTGAAAATAATCAGGTTCAGAAAAATGATATCGAAAGTGAACAATATTTCATTTTTATCTTCTCAAGTGAGTTACATAAACATAATATTGTCTGATCAAATAGTGTATTTAATTTTTTTCTCTTTCAGCAAAAAGTCGTAAATCTCTAAATAATCAAGTAGCTCAATTCAATCAATGGTTCCAAAAGATATCAATCACTGATATTGACAATAATTTTGTCTTTCTTCAACGCATATCTCAACAACTTCTTCTAAAGCGTACTATTAGTCATGCACACTTAGCCATCTTCATATTTGCCGATATTAAACAACTTCAAGAACAAATCAATGCTTTCCTTGTTGAAGAAACATTACCCGGTCTTTCTATATTCGTGCGTCCAACAATATCATTAGCAAAGATATGCTTCGTTTTTAGTGGACAAGGTCCTCAATGGTGGGCTATGGGTCGACAATTGTATGAAAGTGAACCTGTTTTTACTCGATGGATTCAATTGATCGACGCTGAAATGACAAAGATCAACAATGGTGAATGGTGTCTACTAGAAGAATTAATTGGCAAAACAAGTGAAGACGAATCTCGTATTAATGATACAAATATTGCTCAGCCAGCTTTATTCGCTATTCAAGTTGGACTCGCTGCTTTACTTGTCTCATGGAATATTTATCCTTCAACAATCGTCTCACATAGTGCTGGAGATCAGGCAGCTGCTTTTGTTGGCGGTCGTCTCACGTTGCAAGAAGCTGTTCGTATTGTTTATCATCGATCACGTCTTCAAAATCGTAATACACGACAAGGTGGTCGCATGTTAGCCGTATCTATGAGTGAAGAAGAAGTACAAAATAAACTCCTCAAGGGTATTGAACATCTTGTTTGTATTGCTGTTGTTAATGGTCCTCGCTCCGTCACGTTAAGTGGTGATGAAAAGATTATCGACGAATTACAACAGACACTCTCAACATTCTATCCAAATGTTTTTAAAGCACGTCTTCGTATTGAAAATGCATTTCATTCTTATCAGATGGATCGATTCGATATAGAAAAAGAGATGTTATCGTCACTTAAAGATATCCAAGGACTTCCTCTGAAAGATCCTCAACAAATGTTCAATCCAAAATGTGCTGAAGCTCATCTTTATTCAAGTGTAACTGGTAATAAATTAAGTGATCAAATACCAGTCGATGCTCATTATTGGTGGTCAAATGTGAGACAATGTGTTCGATTTCGTGATGCTATGGTATCGATTCAACAGCATGATGCTCCAACTGTTTTTCTTGAACTTTCACCACATCCAGTTTTGGCTACATCTATTCGAGAATGTTATGAATCGGCAAATAGTCAACCACTTATTCTTCCAACATTGAAACGAAAAGAAAATGAACAAATAACATTACTTACTAGCCTCGCACAATTAACGACATCGCCCTATGTTTGGGAACAATATTTTCATACTCGAGATATAATACCGATAGTAGATAATGAGCAAATATTTGATGATTTTCCATTATATGCATTTGATCTTAGTTCATGTTGGTATGAATCAAAAGATTCAGTTATTAAACGTCTGGCTAATCGTATTCCTATTCATCCTCTACTTGGTGTTCGTCAATTAACAGGACAAACAAGTGCTACATGGAAAAGTCTCATCAATATCAAGCTACCACAATATGCTTACTTGAAAGATCATAAAATTCAAGATACAATTCTCTTTCCAGCTGCTGCCTATCTTGAACTTGTAACAGCTGCCTATCACCAATTATTTCTATCATCAGACAAAGAGCAATCTTCAATTGTTTTGAAAGAAATCAAATTTGTCAAACCTCTCGGTCTTAATGAGCATGAGTTAACAGAAGTGTTTACACAGATTGCCATACCAGTTCGTGAATGGTTTGTTTACAGTCGACCATGGACATCAGCTGGTGCAAATTGTATGCGTTCATCAGGCATGGCAAGTGTTGATGTTATTGATTCTTTTATCGATCCAGAAACTCTCAGTCAATATTCATTACGTGAATTCACTCTACATGCTCATGGTTATATTGAGATGGATGGTGTTCAACAAAAATTAACAACATCACTTTCTACCAGTCCAACTTACAAAACCTGGTCCACAACTGATATAAACAGTATTTATACTCATTTATCAGCACGAGGTTATGAATATGGACCTTCTTTTCAAAACATTCAATCATTATGTGGTACGACATCTACAATTGTTGCTCAAATTAAGAGTAATCTTGATGCAATTATTGATCTCTCTTGTTATCATTTGCTTCATCCAAGTTTACTGGATACTTTTTTGCACTCACCTCTAGTTTTGTTACCTGGTGTTGATACTACGTTCCTTCCGATTAGTATTCGCAAATTTGTTATTATGAACCAAGTGAACACATCTCATTCAAATTTTGAAATGCGTGGAAGATTCCACAATGTCGTGTATGGCTTAAGTCAAGAGCGAACATATACGTGTGACTTATTTGTTCTACCTAACGATGACACGACAGTCAACGAACCGATGTTCATTTTTGAAGATTATGCAGCTCAACAAGTTCAAGGTGCACAATCTAGTCGATGGATATTAGAGAAGTCGATTTTTGACAAATTAAATGCAGCTGCTGATTTACCTAATGCAGATCGTTGTGAACAATTAGACACAATTATAAAAGACTATTGTATGGAAAGAATATGGATGGATTCACCAATAATAAAAAGTGTAGCTGACTTACTTCCATCGTTTGATCAGATTCGTAATGGTGAAATTGATGTTGTTAGTAATCAAGATTTGATTGACTCAATTGAACCATTCAACGAATTAGCTGCATGTTATGCTCAAATAGCAATAAAAGATCTCGATCTAAATCTCGTTGATGATCAATATCGTCCTTTATTAAATGCATGCAATTCTCTGGTCACTACTTTACATGAACCAATAACACTATATTCTACACAACTTCGTCTTAGACATTTATTTGATCGTTTTCCTCGTCTCAAACCACTTCTGATTTCATTGGATACATATGGTTCGTGTCTGAAAGATATTTTTACTGGACAACAGAATGCATTCGATGTATTCTTAGGAAACAATGAAACTGAACAAACATTACAACAGATAAAAAGTATTATCAGTGGAAATAAAACACAACAGATATTTCATGCAATATGCCAACATCTCCATATTCTAGACGATCAGAGTAGCCATATATCACTCGACGATCGACGGCTACGTGTACTTTGGTTCGCTAGAGGAGAACACTTGGACGTTTTACCTGTTCTTCATCTTTTACTTAATTTATCAGGTCAATCAAGTTTATGGATTGATTTACATTATGCGGATATGGATCCAGTACAGCTCGCACAAGCTGAACAACTATTCGAGACACATTTGGCTAATGAAACTCATTTAAATATAACATATGATCAAACAATTGACTTGTTTAACAATGAAATCCTTGAAAAGATTCCATTCGAATCCTTTGATATTGTGTTTGCTGCAAATAAATTACAGGAAAGTGAAGATTTGACGAGATCGTTAATCAATCTTCGTCATCTACTTGTTCCTAATGGTCTTCTTTTATTACTTGAATTAACTGATGTTCCTCTCTATTTTGATCTTATCTTTGGTTTACTCGATAATTGGTGGTTACCATCTAGTAATACACGTGCTCTTCATAGTATTCGTTATTGGACTACAGCGTTAAAAGAAATTGGTGGATTTGAAGATGTTGAGACAGTGATGAGTCAATATGAAAGTACATTAATTATTGCTCACAAGACAATATCTCATAAGATATTGCAAACACTCGATGAAAGAAAACATCAAGCATGGTTATTCTTTGGCAAAAACGATTCTGAAAGTCTTGGTCATAATGTCATATCGCTTTTGCCATGTTCAAACATTCGATTTTTGGATATGTGTACATCAACGATTGACAAAATTCTTTTTGTACTTAAAACTATGATAGATAGCTATAAACAACTATATATTGTTTTTGCTTGGCCATTTGAACAAACTTGTCTAAGTGATAACAGCGATTTGGCATTTAAAGAACACGAAGAGTCTATTTGTGGTGCATTCATCGAACTTCTTCAAATAATTCACGCAACATCACCTAATTTTTACCCTTTTATTTTTGTAATTACAAGGTATGCGCAGCTAAATACTGGTTCTGACTACAATATAATTCAATCACCACTTCTTGGTCTTGTACGAAGTTTAATGGTTGAATATGAACAACATCGACTAAAGCTCATTGATCTACAAGCATCACCAACACTAATTAATGAATCAGTTTTTGTTCATGCTTTGGTAGAATACATGGTAACTTCTCGATATACAAAGAATACTGACGAGATTGTTCTTCGTTTTGACACAAATGAAAAGAAAGCCAAACATATTACATGGCATTATGAAATGTTGCAAACACATGATAAAAAAGAAAGTCAACCAAAACTAAAACAAATTTGTATTATTCCTCGACAAGATGCTGATCAACAACTATTCTGTCTTCGTGTGCCTCCATCTCGTTTTCTCACAGAATTAACATGGGTTCCTGACAATAGAGCAAAATCATTACTACCAGGCATGGTAGAAGTTCAAATTCACTGCGTTGGTATTAACTTTCGTGATGTACTCAAAGCTCGAGGTCTTTATCCACATACACGTATTTTTGCACAACTTGATCAAGATCAGTCACATGTTAATCGAGACAGTGAGCCAGGTTCAGATTTTGTTGGTACTATCATACGTGCATGTCCTAGTGTCAGTTTTCGGCCAGGGAATCATGTCGTTGGCATCTCTTCATGTGGTGTATTTCATTCACATACCACTGTCGACGCAACACAAGTAGTGTGTATTCCATCCGAGTGTCCTCTCACCGATGAACAATTATCAGTTATGCCCGTCGTATGTCTCACAGTCATTTATTCTCTCAAATATCGCGTTCATCTACGACGTGATCAAACTGTTCTCATTCATGCTGCGACAGGTGGTGCCGGTCAAATTTGTATACAGTATTGTCAATGGATTGGTGCTCGCGTTTTGGCTACAGCTGGAACTGAAGAGAAGAGACGATTTTTACGTGAACATTGTGGTGTCGAATATGTATTTAATAGTCGAGATACTTCTTTTGTTAGTGGTGTGAGAAGTATTCTACCACATGGTGTTGATGTTGTCATTAATTCTTTATCAGGTATTCTTCTACAAGAATCTATTAAACTACTTGCTGATCATGGTCATTTTGTTGAATGGGGGAAAAGAGATGTTTTTGGCAAAACTCAATTGTCTATGTTTGACTTTCGATCAGATTGCAGTTTTCATGTAATCGATTTGATTTCACTTCCCGATCAACAACTACCTATGTGCACGGTGATGCTTCAAGAAATGGTTGATTTACTTACTCAAGGCAAATTAAAAGCAATCGAACCCACAGTTGTGTATGAACCATCTCAAGTGATTGATGCATTTATGAGATGTAATAGTGGTCAAGCTATGGGCAAAGCTGTTGTTCGTTTAACCAATTCTAATGAAACACTCCATTTGAACTGTATAGATCATAATAATCCATCCGAAGGTAACCTTTACTAATCTTTCATTATGATTATAATGAATATAAATTTAGATAATGATATTATGTTTCCTTCAACTGTTTGCCATCAAGGAACAATTCTGATTTCTGGTGGATTTGGTGGTCTTGGATTGACAATGTCTCGGTGGATGATCGAGAAACGAGGTGTAAAACGTATTATTCTTATGAGTCGTCGGACATTAGCTGCACTCGAGCAATCTTCAAATCCACAATATGATGATTGGTTACGATTGAAACAAACAATAAATGAATATCAAGCTCATGTTGATGTTGTTCAAGCAGATGTGACAAATTTTGATCAAGTATATGATCTAATCGAAAAATTAAGTCGAAACTCTTATCCTGTTCGAGGAGTTATTCACAGTGCTGTGGTTGCAGAAGATCGAACTTTAGTGAAAATGACACAAGAATATTTGACACATGTTTTAGCAGCAAAACTTCGTGGTGCTTGGATTCTTCATCAAGTAACACAGCTCACTCAGGCTCCTCTTCACTTTTTCCTCATGTTTTCATCAATTCGAAATCATCTACTTGAAGTGGCATCGTCTGGTTACAATGCTGGTAATCAATTTCTCGACGCTCTTGCTCACTATCGTATGACTCAACTAAATTTACCTGCTCTCTCAGTTAGCTTGCCTGCTGTAAGTGGTGCAGGCATGTTTCATCGACAACGAGATATGCTCAGCACTTTACAAAGTACACATGGCTTTGAAGTATTGCCACCAATAGCTGTATTCGAGTTGATCGAACGCTTTCATACAAATCAGAAGATTTGTCCATGTCCTGTTATTTTTGCTGTTAACTGGAAAATATTATATGAAAGACGTTACAAATTACCAATATTTCAATTGAATAAAATAGTAAAAGAACGCTATACTACTATGAAACTCGCAAATATATCAACAACATCAACTGAAATTAATAGCACAACTACTTCGAACTTGAATCGAAAAGAAACTATTATTGAACGAATTCAGATAGCTGTAGCTCGTCTTCTGGGCTCAGCCGATATTGAGCGTATCTTAGTTAATTGTTCACTGATTAGCCAAGGTATGGACTCATTAGCAGCTCTTTCATTGTATAACTGGTTAGGACAAGAGACTGGTGTGTATGTACCATTAGTTGATTTACTTCAAGGATATTCTATTGAAACTATGGCAACAGTAATTCATAATAAGCTCAACGAACGATATCAAGTTGTATCATCGACTACTAAAGAAGAGCACATGGATGCTGATCTAATCAAAGAAAATGAAATAAAACTATCTCATAACTCTAGTTACACTGGCATAGAGAATATCATCTGTCTTCAAAATCCACTGCAGTGCAATAATAATGTTTTCTTCTGCATTACAGAGCAGTCAACAAGCAGTACTGATAATCTAAATAAATTATTCATTAATAAAATATATAAGCAACAAAATCAAACAAGATCAGTTATGATTTATGCTATAAAAATATCATCAGTGATATCAACAATATCGACATCTACTTATGTTCGTGATATGATTTTGCAAATGCGTCGTATCCAACCACGTGGGCCTTATCAATTAGTGGCTGTCCGGAATAAACAGGAAGAAATCATTGCACATGAAATGATACGACAACTCAAAGATCATCTAATGATTATCGATGTTCGACTACTTCTTTTGGACGATTAGAATCAAGAATAATAACAACATTACCACTTTCCAAACATTTATGGTGGGGTTAGTTTGAATTCGATTTTTTTATTTAAATGTACTAGTCCTAATATTTATTAGTTATCATACTATAGAAATACTCGTAGAATTCTTAATCATCAAAATAAGGAAATTCGGAAGTAAGAGTTACGCATCTTAGTACTTTAGTGAAATGTATCAGAAACTCAGCATTCTTATGTATTTTAGCAAGAAATATATAGTTTTACATAAACTCTTTTTCCCAAAATCTATTGCTGCCTTTTCTCAATAAACGATTTTATGTATTTTACACTGAGTTGCAAAAGAAAATTATCGATCTTCGAAAAACTCTGATTCTTCATATTTTGCTTAATTTACTCATGAAAACTCAAAATTTTGATAATCAAAAAAACATTAACTCTTCGACTATTCTTCAGGTATTTCTGTGAGATGATATTTTTTCTAAAGACGTTTTTTTGTGTGAATATTTACTAATAATTAATCAGCTTATATACTAACAGTACCAAACTGGTCTTATCTTTTTCCTTCTTATCTAATATAAGACCATATTATCTCAGTTCTTTTTCTTGTGTAACTGTGAAATATTATTATACGATGATAGTCTATATATAATGCTTATATGAACGATAGAAACTGCAGTTCTAGTTTTCTAATTACAATAATCAATAACAAATTTAATCACGTTGAACTTTTTTCTGATGTGTTTAAATTCATGTTTTGTTTTCGCTTTTATTTTCGTAATCTCTAGATTGTAATCGGTTTTTTGCATTAGCAATTGATATTTTCTATTGATTAATTACACGAAAATGTTTCCAAATAAGAAGTCAACAGCAGTGACCACTGGCCACAAAGCACAACGATTGATGATTTCTGGTCAAACAGAAGCTATAGCTTCATCTGCTCAACAGCGTATCTACATGCATGAAAATCTTTATTTTAGTGCCTCCGATTTGTCTATATACAATATTATGGTACCATTGCAGATCAAACGAGGTTCAGTGTCAATAGAACATATTCGTTCATCTTTAGTATCAATGATTCAGCAGCATACAGTTCTTCGCACTGCCATTCGTTTCAATCCAATGAATAATCAAATCAAGCAAAACATTCTACCACTTACCGATGATATCTATTCCTATCAACATTCGCGAGGTGTTTCCACATTGGAACAACTTGATCATCTACTGACGAATGAAACAATTGGAAAATATTTCGATATTGAAAATGGAAAAGTTTTACGATGTCATGTAGTACAACGATCTCCTGAGAATCATGATGACTTACTACACGAAAGTGATCTGATTATTTTTGTGATTCATCATATCGCATTTGATCTTAGCTCATTCAAACCATTTCTAAAAGCCTTTGAACGGGCATGCTGGCTAAATGCATATCAGCAACCAGTGTTAACAATTCCACAATACATTGACTTTTCATTGTACGAACAAACACTGCTAGCCGACACAAGTGCAGAGTCAAAAATGAACAAGGCTCGTCGCTTTTGGGCTAATCTTATGCATGGATACGACTGGGATAAAATACAAAATCTGGTTCCCAATAAAGGTCAAAATGGTCGGCATCATTCTGGTCGTGGTTATACAACTGCGTTTACTATTGATCAAGATGTCGTTGATGCAATGATGTTATTTGCTTCAACCAACAACGTAACAATGTTTTCATTGTCTCTTGCCTGTTATTATGCATTTTTATTTAAACTAACCAATCACGATGATGACTTGTGTGTAGTAAGCAGCGCAGCTAATCGTCTTGAGAAAGAGATACAAGATATGATTGGTGTGTTTATAAATCTTCTAGTATATCGAATCAAAATTGGACCAAATACTGCATTTAAGCATCTCGTGCAACAAGTACAGCAGCTGAGCAATGAAATTCTCGTGCATGCTTCTTTACCTTATCAACAGATTATTGATTCCCAAGGCAAACGAGAAAAAAATGTATTACCTTCAATATTTTTCCAGTATGAACCTTTGATATTATTAGTAACACAGCAAAAATCAATCGAATTAACTGTGAGCGAAGGTTCGGTTTTGAGTGGTTACTATGATCGAGATCTAATGCACCAAAGCAGCATATCACAATTCGATATGTCTCTTACAATTACCCATGATCATCATACGCGAAGCACAGAATGTTTTCTGAATTGTTCGGCTGACATATTAAAACATCAAGATGATGTCGATCTACTATCAAAGCGTTTCCAGCATGTCCTGACGCAACTCTTTTGTTCGTCGATTGTAGGCGAGCCAATCTATAATCAATCTAATATATCTATCAGCAACTTATCACTTAATTTACCCGAAGAAATCGAAGAAATACAAAAGGTAATCTTTTACAGATTACCGACTATTACAAATGAAGGTATGTCTACCCATTCTGATGTTTTTGAATGTATAATAAAGAAATTCGCATAGATGTACTAGCAAATGATGCTTCCAGTATAATAAAGCTTCTTACAATAACCTTTCTGAAAATCTTATTCGCCAAATACTGAACAAAAGAATGAATTGAGTAGAAATAATCAATCATAACAAGATATATTCTATACTGATTAATATTTTCAATATCTAAATTGTAGAATAAATAGTCGAAGTTTAAATACTTTTCTCTGAGATAAAGAGTGACTAAATTTAGTTTTCGCGATTTACGAAGACAAAGTCAAAATACTACAATTAAATATTTCCCCTATTTATGGAGAGTAATAACTAGTATCGACACCATTCACTCGAAACAGATCAAAGTTCATCGTGGAATGTTTTTAGTCATCAGATTTTTTAGGCATCTTTTGGTTTAATACTGCTCAATGTATAACTCATATTTATATTAAATAATTTCAAAGTCCAAAAAGCTTAAGTTTAACTTTCTATTTATTAAATCAAAATAAATAAACCATTGATACTAAAGTTTCATTGTTCCAGCACCAGCATCATATGCACAAGCACGCATTTGGCTCGATGAAAAAATTCGATTCGATCCAGATAAGCCGCAAGTAGCAATCTACAATATGCCTTTTGTTTATCGTCTTCAATCAGGTCATACTTTATCGATTAAACAACTTCGTCATGCTCTTCATCTCACTGTTAACAAACATCTCTCACTTCATACATCACTTCACTTTGACATCGAAAAGAATCTACTTATGCAACGAGTTATTACTCATGAAGATAAACATAATAATAAGATGTTTTCAATCATCGAAACTACTTATGAAATAGATGAACAACTTAATGAGATTTTACATGACGAGAAACGTAGCCCTCATCTTTTTGATCTTGGTCAAGGTCTTGTCTTTCGGTGTCATCTTGTTTATTATAAACAAATTTCTTCTCATGGTCTATTGTCTGACGAAGATGTAGTCATTTTCAACTTTCATCATGCTTTATTTGACTTTCCATCGATGGAACTGTTTCTTCACGATCTCAATCAAGCATATACAACAGGCCAATTACTATATGATGACAACACTAATCTACGTTATCTCGATTGTAAATATAAATAGTTCTTGTACTTCACTCTTTTCTAATACATTCTTTTCTTTACTTTTGTAGATGCTGTTATTGAACAACAAATGTCAATGACTGGTGCAAGTATGTTTTGGCTTGATACTCTTCATAACTGTAAACTTGATCAACCTTTGTCATTACCATTTGATCGATATCGTCTCTCTAATGAACATCGAACTGGTCGTGGAACATCTATTTCTTTTGATTTTGGTCAAGATCTCTCACATGACTTTCTTCTCTATGCATCATCAAATAGCATATCACTGGAACAACTTGCACTTGCTATTTATTATGTGTTTTTATTCAAATTAACGAATGGAGAAAAAGATTTATGCATTGGAATAAACACACATGGACGATATAGAGATGAATTTAACTCTATCATTGGAATGTTTGTGAATGCTATACCTTTGCGATGTGAACTCGATCCTCATTTATCATTTCATAATCTTACCAAGCACGTTCGAGATATTATGATAAACTACATTAAATATTCATATTTTCCTCTTCAACGTATTCTCAATCAACATTCAAATGTTTCAAAACCAGCATTTCTTGATATAACATTTCAGTTTCTATCATCTATGAGAAGAGATGAGAAGAATGAAATAATGATTGGTGATAGTCAACTGTCTTTACTACCTTATTCTATTAATATTAGTGAAGATGAAGTAATGAGCAAATTTGATTTCATTCTTAGTTTTCATCATGATCTGAATCTAGATGAAATCTCATGTACAATCGATGCTTCACTTGATTTATTTAATACT